GTGATACATAGGCACTTGGAGTAAAAGAAAATCTAGCGCCAGTTTCAAAATTTTATTTTGCGCATGCGCAGTGCCAACTTTTTTATCTATGGAAGTATTTAAGTGAAATTTTATACATAGGCGCTTGAAACAAAGGAAAATCTAACATGTGCAACGCTATCTTTCATATTTGTGGCCGGATTTTTACGATTTTAACAGAAGTTGCATCTTACAAATGGGAAATGAATGCAAGTGGAAATGCGCTTTATGTAAATCGTTTACGATTACTTTTTAACTTGTTTTTTTATTTTTGTGGAAATGCGCTAAAAATCACCTAGAACGCAAAAAGTAACATTATTGTTGCTGTTTATTAGATCAGAATAATAGAGGTAAGTAATTGTAATTGCAAATGGACGCAAATTTGCACTTCCTTAGATGCATCTAGGTCAGTGCTGTGTCCTCACCGGTTAAGGATTCTCTCCTTTACGTAATAAAATGTATGACGTGTCCACTGTTTTACTAAAGATACTAGTAGATCACCTTCAGTTTTTTACCATATAAGGAATCCTCTGGCGGGCAGTCGACACCGCCTTCACCTGTATCCAGCATATTATACCTACCTACATAACGTCTCCGACATTTCGCAGAATAAATTTTGCCGTTTTGGTAACGACAAGGCAAACCTTTTTCGAAAATGAATTCATAATTTATTCTTAAGTCGAACACATGTTAATCATTTGCGGGGAGAAAGTTAAATTACATTTGTGCCTTGTGCGTTTATTCCATTTGAGATTTATTGTACTGCAAAACTAAAACATAATCCTATTGGGGATTGAAGCAAAAATAGCGCTTTTTGTTCAAGAAAAAAATACCAAATATTTTTACTAAGCTGTGAAAGGGATGACCACTATTAGTGTTGGGGCAATAAAAATATTTACCCAATGAGATTTGGCCCTCCCCGTCTGGCAACCTGATTTTTTTATTGCCTCTATAAATTTATGGGGTTGCAGATATCTACCGTGCCGTGCACTAGATATTTGCCACATTCTTGTCTTTAAGGTCAATTGATTTAAACTAAGATACGAAAGTTGTTCATTATCCAATTGTTTTTGATTAAAAAATTGTCATCCAATTTTACGGTTGACTAAGTGAGGCGTTCACGTCATTAACTTGTTAAGTAATGTGTACCTGCTTTTGATCGTTAATTTTTATATATCAATTTTAATGACATTATCATTAGAAACGTTTGTTATTTAATGAAGCTGCACTTGATTGTATACACAATCTAAGTCTAAAGAGCTACTCCATTACCAGAACCAGTCAAGTTCAAATTTACCTCACAGGTGGCCAATGTACTTCTCGTTTTACAGCCTAATTTCCAAAATTGAAGAAATAAAGTTGAAACAAATCAGCCAGGAACTGGTACCTATATCTACTCCCTGTGCTACAGTTGAGGGACATTACTCTTAACCCTGACTGTACTGTACTGTACTACATATGACACAAACCGTAACTTGAAGCAATACACTAGTACCTATTAACTTTAGAAGATTAATTATGAAATTATTGTCACGTACTGAGTATATAAACCCGGCAACCACTAAAAATCGTAAATATCTCAACACTGATTTAGGCTCGTATAATCTTTTCAAAAACATAAACACTGCAAATAAATAGAAGTCATTAGGGTTAGGTACTTCAAAATTCAAATTAAAAAATGGTTCATTATTTCAACAAACAAATGTGTATAATTATCCTGTCCATGTCAATGTAAAGATTTAAAAAAAATGTACATTCGTGTTTGGAAAACTGGAAGAACCTTCATTTTTTGTGTGCTTGCTTCGACTTTGGTGTTTAGCACAAAAAATTAGTAATCATATACAAGTAAGAGGGGTCCTGCATCGTATTTTTCGCAAACTCTTTTTGCCTATACCTATAAATAACTTAAAGCCTCATTTATTCTGTATTGATCAAACAAATTCTGTATGGAACGGGGTTAACGTACCTACTGTTCTCTCAATAAGGAATGTATTACGTGGGCACTCAAGTCGACTTTTTTTCTCGGCACATGATTGATATTGACGTACAAGAACTAAATAACTAATAAATTTAGTACCCGTACTAGGGGGCGTCGGAACTTTCACATTACCACTTATTCGGATTTGAATAAGGCATTTTAGTTTTCCAAGTTCCTTTGGGTATGTGTATTTCTAAAAGGACACGCCTAAGTTATTTCAAAAAAGAGATATCTAAAACCCAAGTGCATTTCCAATATTTCATTGGAGGTTTTTGAGATTTGGAAAAAGGTAAAAAGTCGAACAAAAGATTCCAAAAGGTTTACTAGGAACATGTGAGAAAATTTTCAAAAAAAGATTTTCGAGACTCAAAGAACGTTTCTAAGAAGATTCCTAAATGTCAATCAAAAATTTTTTTCCAAGAAGCTTTTTAAAGAACGTTTAAAGTTTCCTGGGTTTCTTAAATTTGCGGTAAAGTAATTACTAAAAATACTCTTCTAACCAGGGTCCCTGCTAGCATGTGATCAAGCGACCCTCTGCAAGGAGGGCCAAAAACAATTTTTCAACTTCTTACAACGAGGCCGACATTTATAGAACAGACCTTTCTGGAACAACATAGTTATGAATTGTACATTAAAAGTAGGGCGGAAATAATGTCCGGAACACTGAATATTTCTTCAAAGCACCATTTTTTTAAAATTATTTATCCGTTCAAAGAACACCAGAATAAAATAAAAACGAAATCGGTAAATTTGTGTTATCAAAAAAAGTTTGATTTACACGTTTTTTTCTTTAGCATTAATTAAATACAGAAACACGCCACTATTCATAGCTTTAAAGTTCGTAAATTTGTTGCCATTTTTTAATAATTTTTGATACAATAAATTGCTTTGACAAAACTAACAAAAGATTAACGTTTTTTCAACGCCAACTAGTAAAATTGTAAAATTATTATTAACATTTTCAAAAATGTGGCACGTTCGGAAATTCCGGAAGTAGCTAGTAATTTCGTTATTTTAAATAACAACCCCTATTTTTTATTGCATTGTTGATTTTAATTAAAATTTCAGCTCTTTTGACACGCACATGTCAATATCTACAATTTATGGTTTTTAAGTTATTTTGACTTTTAAGAAAATGGCGCATGCAGATGGTAAAGTAATTACTGTTGTGGTTATAGCACCCTATTTTTTACCAGTGTATAGAGGATCGGGCTTTCCTTGATTTGTTTAAAATTCAATTGTCATAAAATCATAGCCTACTACTAAAAAGAAAATCCGAAGATTCAATGAAATGGCAATAAGTCAAGAAATATGCCCATTTTGGTTCTCTATCAAATACAATAGTAAGAAACTGGTCAGTTCATTAAAAAAAATGGAATCTTGAAATTTCTTAAATTTGGATGTCCATAGGTGCGGTCGCTACTGTTTTCAAGTAATCAATTTACAAGGTGCCGTCTGCATCCGCCTGCCGCCATTTTCTAAAAAGTCAAAATAACTTAATATAATGTCTTTAAATGGGCAGTTTACAGACGAGCAACTGATGAAACAACAAAAAAGTGAGGAAATACAAAAATCATTATTTCATACATTAAAAAAAACTAAAGCCAAGTATATCTACAAAGGGCGAAGTTCACAAAAGAAGAAATATTTTTTCGAGCACTTTCACTTAACCCAGAAAAATAAACTTAAATCCTAATATATAAAACAAAGTCGTGAATGTTACACCACTTATAACTCAAAAACGGCGGGACCTAGTTTCATGATCTTTGATTTGTTGAATTCCTCTCCGATCCGAATAGAATAACTATGAAAATATCGAAAAAAAACACGAAAAAAATACAAACAAAATTATTACAAAAGTTAAAGTAAATTAATTAAAGAGTATACATTGCAATTAGCCTTAGCCAGCCAACAAATCTTCAACATGTTCTGAAACGACATCTCTTAACACACAAGTCTTCAAGTTACTGTAACGTGATTTATAAATTCGGTTTCGATTTATATCAATATTTATTAAACAAAACTAAAACACTATAAAAACTGTACAATTTATATCGACTATTTATATTACACACTTCGCAATTTATATCAGATTTTCGCGCTCAATGTTTCGTCCGTACTCGATCTCGTTCGGTAGTAAACTCCCTGCGATGTTCGGTCCGCAACCATTTACACACGCAAGCAATGTAAGTCCAGAACACTCGCGTAATTACCAGATACGTCGCAAACATTCCCACTATCGCGCGCCTAGAAAACTCCAGAGCGCCAAAGGCGACGTCACGTCTGGAGCGTTTCCGTTACATTACGTTTGTGAAAACGAAAAGTTTAACTAAGTACTACTTTTACTACCTATGTAAAGATACAAAAAAACACTGCTTATTTTAGATATTTCACGTAGAAAGCAGTGACGTAGAAAAAAAAATTTTTGGACCACAGTTTTTGAGATTTGATCTAATGTTGGTATTTTTTTAACTGCAACACCCTGAATATCTTAGTCAATTGTTTTTATTCTTTGTCTTGATTACATTGATTTTGAACAGTAAGCCATGGATTCATGGAGATTTTGTTTTGTTTATTGTATATATATATCCATGGCCGATGCCAATGAATAAAAATGGCAGACGGTAGACTTACCTTTGTCATTTCAAAAATTTGAAAACTATAATATAGTATATAAAATATAGGATTGTGAGACATCAATGTAATCAGGAAAAGGAATGTCAAAAATGACGTTAAAATCTACAGGGTGTTGCATTTAAAAAATACAAACTTTGTGTCAAATCTCAGAAAGAGTGGACAAAATTTTATTAAAACGATTCTATGTAAAAATATCTAAAATGATACCTTTTTTTCTATCTTACATGGATAGTATGATATGAGCCAAACTTTTCGTTTTCACCCTGTATCTAAGAAACAAACATAGCTAGATTGATTCTGTTTGTGGTATTAAGAGCTCTTTTGCACGGTGATACTGTATCCAGGATATAAAGTATAACTATGAGTCATACCGAGTTTCAGTGGTTTTATTTTAAAAATTGTTGATCCAAGTAGTATACGACGACCGTACATTTCTGGATCACAGCTATTTGAAATCAAAATTTTGTTTGTAGATGACATTTCCGACCATTTTATTATCTATGATTTTACATTTTACCTATTTATTAGTAGTACTTTTTGGTGACGCTATTGACGCACAGGAGACTAATTATAAGTTTAGGTACGTCCAATGTAACACTTAAAGGCATCACAAAATAAAGTGCCTAGTGAAATTAAAACAGATCATCCAGTACCAAAACATTAAGCGACCCAAAATTTTGGATGTGACCACAAAGATCTCTCACTTCACCTGTGTTAACTGTCTTAATTTCATTATGTTCGCATTCTCTCTTGGAATTAGTTAGTACAAGTAGACGTTCTGCTAGGCTAAGGAAACGAGTTGTTGGTACGCAAGTGAGGGAGCCTTTTGGACTTGTGTACATCAAGGGGCGGCTTGTCGGTGTCCTTGAAGTAAGATTTTTTTTGTAAAACGCTCGCACCTGTCTACTGTTCCATTGTAGCCTTTCACCGATCTTTACCAATTGGCACCCGTTCCAAGTGATCGTGAAGGTCTCGTAGGGATACTAAACGAAGGTCGACAAGCCGAGCCCAGCGAGGAATTCGAAACCGATCAAAACGAATACGTACGTTATACGGACGAGAACTATCCAATGATTTTGACAGATTTCAAAATCGACAGTAAAATCAATGCTAAGCAAGACAATTGGCGGCCTTCTAATGAAAAGGACAATCATCGTCAGGGCACTGGTCGTGGTGATGAATCTGTTAAAACCACATCGGACTCTAAGAAGTCTGATTCGTCAGATAAACTCGAGCGGATAGAAGGCGATCTGCGTGGACTCATATATGATTTGGGCCTCACCGACTCGGAAGCATTAAAAAATGGAAAAAGAGCGATTAAACGAGACACGAATATCGAAGACGAGGACTTGGAAGAGGGACCAAATAATATTCAAATTGTAAAAGCCACGCATGATTCCGAAAGAAAGAAACGAGCTGCATTTAGCGCTACCTCCGCGAATCAAGAACCCAGATCAACGGAGCAGAATGTCGATGAAAGAAAAGCGACAACTGTTAGTTATCAAAGCGTGGAAGAGGCGAACGTGAGGAACAGGAGGCATGAGTCAGTTGATCTGAACAAGTCGCCAGTGGTCTATTCCGAAAATGCTCTATCAAAATTAGAAAAACGCGAAGGCACCGAAACAACGATGGAAAAACAGTTTGAGAAAAATATACAACGCATACATGCGATAAAAGACGAAATGAAGGGAGGGATAGCGTCTTTACAAACCAAAACTTTGGATAATACACAACGGAGCAAACATAAAACCTCCGATAGTTTACAGGAAGTGGAATCTAAGGAGGTTTATCCTTTGGAGCACAATGTACGTACCAAACGAGATGCATTTGGTGATGAGAGTGCGTTTACCGCTAAGATAAAAAGTGGAAAAGAAAGTGAAGATGAAAATACTGGTACAAGAGACACGATGACTACCGTCACAAGTTCAAATCCAAGACAAACAGGGGCACCCCAAACTCTTGGCATGGCATTGCTTTCCAATGGTGTCAGTGAACCAACACACACCGAAAGTTTGGCATATGACGCTTCAACTCGGAAGCCGTCCAGGAAGCGACGCGAGATAAACGGGCGTAATGTTGCAAATATAATTCATACGCGGAAAAAACGGGCTGAAGCTCTAATACCATACGGTAACGTGGCCTATTTGCCGTACCGCGCAGAAGATGAGGAAATCGACGAAGAGGGTGATGAATACCAAGATGACGGTTTTGACGACCGTTCGGTCAGTTTCGGCCATTTGGGCAGATATTCACTAGATTACCCGAGTCATTTGAAATACGAGGAATCCTACGGGACAAATGGTCGCCCAATTCGAAAATATTTCAATCCAGACGTTTACGAGCATGCTCGAAGCATTCTGCAGGATGCTTCCCCATATATTAGAAGGAAACGGCACAATTTTGCAGCGTTACATAGCGGAGGTCTTACGCGTCACCGTTTGGCGGAGAGACAATTTCGAGAAGAGGCTTCAAAGAAAGGCATCGTCCAACCTACTGAAGGTGCCACACGGGAACAGCAGCGCATTACCGATTTGTCCGATACCGACTTATTCCGTGCTCTTCCGCAGAGTTACGAAGGTGAATTGTCGCGATTTAAACGAGTCAAACGAAAAACTGCCTTCCCAAAAGGGGAGGGTTAACACTTGTTTTATTTAATTTATTGGTAACTATTATATTATTTAATATTATATTATACTAAAATGGGTATGAATCGTGATCATTCTTCCTTTCTCATGGTAGATAATATAAACTTTACATCTCGACTATTTTGCAATTCTAATTTTTGAATTTTAACTAATCTCATTTCTGAACTTTCTTAGTTCAACTAATCTAAAGGTTAAATCAATTTGGTACAATTCACCATTAGACTTTGGCAGCCACGCCGGAAGTGAATAACGGTTGTGGGGGGGGGGGGCAAAAATCAGCGACCATGGAGTCTGAAAGGTCCCTCCCATGCAAAATTGTGTTGGATATAATGCAAAGCAGTGGGTTTTTAAGTGACCCTGTAACCTGTTTATTTAATCAATCAAATAATGTATCATTAATAATTTTATTTAAAAAACAATGAAAACTAGAACATACAAAAGTTACAACAATTTTCTTCCTATTTATTGCACTATTGGGCATTGTAAAGAAATGCAAGTATAAAAAATTAAATATATCCAAAAATTTTCCTCTTTTCCGCAGTTTTGCTGGCAAATATTTTCAATACAGGGTGTTTACTGTCTTCTCTGTATCCGTTTAAGGGCGGCAGTACAGCTCAAAAGGAGTCGACAAACCCCAAAACACCTTAGTAAAAGTTATTTAATAAGCGAGATAATATTTGTTTTATTTTTTACATTAAACGATTAATCTGTGTACAAATCTAGCAATCTACCACTTAATCACCATTGTCCACAAATTATTTTTACAAAGGTGTTTTGGGGTTTGTCGACTCCTTTTGAGCTGTACCGCCACCCCTTAAAAGGATACAGAGAAGACCGTAAACACCCTGTATGTATATCCTCTACTTGTACACTATTTGTAATTTCTGCATGCACATTCAGTAGAAGACGTGTTAGTCGCTTTTGAGTGATTTATCTACTCATTCTTAGAGGGGGCGCGGCCTCCCTTGTGTAAAAACTGAGGGGGCGGCTCGCCCCCTCTGACCCATACTTCCGACGTCGCTGGACTTTGGAGCGTGTGGTGGTGGTTGGTTTTGACGCGTCTCGGAGTCATCTTTTCTTCATTTTTCGTGCCAATTGTAATATCGTTTTCCCTTCGGTTACTTTCTCACTTTAAACTTTAGTACTTTGAAAACAACGGTTCTTCTCTCAGCGCACTCTTTTGATGTGGATGTTCATAGGATGAGCATCCAAAATTCACGCCCACCTCTTGCATCACCGAAGGACCTTGGCTGCTACAAAGTGAATTAGTGTAAATGTCAATAGCACATTTTCCATACTTAAATTGACTCACTTGACTTCCCCTGCATTCCGATACCGAACGTTTTTTATAGTATCTCGATATGTACAGGGTGAGTTAACGATTGCGCGGAGTAACTTAATGCCTTGAAGATAAGATTTTTCGATAGAGTGCTTTTGTATTATGATGCCGTTGAATATTCTCTACATTTAAAAATATTTGGAATTATACAGGGCGCGCTCACAAAGTAGGGCGCCCAAATGGTACATTTTAAATAGAACCCCCTGTATTTGAATGCATTTTTGAATTCTATGTGTAATTGTACGTCTTTTTTATTATATGGTTAATATCCGAGAAGCTAGTAGTTTCAAAGGTAATTCGATTTTTAAGAAAAATTGGGCATTTGCAAGCGTCAGTATATTGTCAAAATTATTACTTAAATTTTGATTCCAGGTTTTATATATATCTTTTATCCTGGGTTAAGTAAAAGCATTGAATAAAAACACTATAAGAAGCCTAACGCTTATGGAAGAAAGCGCGACAAATCTCACAAATCCCCTTGCACCCGCATTGGTTGTGACCGCCGAACTCTCTTTGCGGTAAATAGGAGGAAAGCAAATTCTCATTCTTCTCAGCTCAAGAATCGACTCTATTGACAGTGTTCCCATTATATTCTCAGTTCTGCTACAAAGTGAATTAGTGTAAATGTCAATAGCACATTTTCCATACTTAAATTGACTCACTTGACTTCCCCTGCATTCCGATACCGAACGTTTTTTATAGTATCTCGATATGTACAGGGTGAGTTAACGATTGCGCGGAGTAACTTAATGCCTTGAAGATAAGATTTTTCGATAGAGTGCTTTTGTATTATGATGCCGTTGAATATTCTCTACATTTAAAAATATTTGGAATTATACAGGGCGCGCTCACAAAGTAGGGCGCCCAAATGGTACATTTTAAATAGAACCCCCTGTATTTGAATGCATTTTTGAATTCTATGTGTAATTGTACGTCTTTTTTATTATATGGTTAATATCCGAGAAGCTAGTAGTTTCAAAGGTAATTCGATTTTTAAGAAAAATTGGGCATTTGCAAGCGTCAGTATATTGTCAAAATTATTACTTAAATTTTGATTCCAGGTTTTATATATATCTTTTATCCTGGGTTAAGTAAAAGCATTGAATAAAAACACTATAAGAAGCCTAACGCTTATGGAAGAAAGCGCGACAAATCTCACAAATCCCCTTGCACCCGCATTGGTTGTGACCGCCGAACTCTCTTTGCGGTAAATAGGAGGAAAGCAAATTCTCATTCTTCTCAGTTCAAGAATCGACTCTATTGACAGTGTTCCCATTATATTCTCAGTTCAAACTCTGTCGCGCTTTATTTCCACGGGGTTAGGCTTCTTATAGTGTTTTTATTCAATGGTAAAAGTCAAATAAATGCATCTACAATGAAACATGAAAAAAAATAGCTTACAGGGTATTTTTTTCTAGATCCAAAGTTACAAAACTTCATATTAAAAAATTTCACTTTTTTTAAATGGAACACCCTGTATATTTTTCTGTCATCATTTAGCTCCTCCAAAAACCTTAAACTTTTGATAATAATGTCCTATACCTATCTCTGATAGTTTTCGAAATATCTTGGTTTTCCTGGGGTTTATATTCTAATCTTAAATAAGTTATATGTAATTTCATAATAGTGAGGTGGCCATGCAAAAAAAGGCAAAGTGCACTTAAGACAAAATATCAGGGTTAAGGGAGGTAGGGTGGGGGTGAAGAAACAAATTTAGTTCCCGCTCCAAACCAGGTTTTTTATTTAGGTAAAGTAATTCGAAATCGGGGAAAAATAATTAAAACAGCTGAATTTTTCCGCGGGTGAAATCCGAGGGTAAAAAGGGGTGGAAATTTTACAATTTGTGGCAAAAGTATATATAAAAGTAAGTACTTAATCATTGTAGGGAATAAAAAAATGAACAACTTTTTTCACATAACGTCAAATTTGCGAGCAAAACCGGAAAAACAATTTTTTTTCGTTTTCTATTTTTAATTTTTGAAAAAAAGTCGTAGAGGTCTGAAATTTGGAAAATAACAGCTTTTTTATGACATAAAAGAGGACAATTTGTTTGGAATTGAGCCGTTTCCCCGATACTCACGTTTTTTGAAAAAAACACCTCTTTTCAGCGGGATGAAAAATCTGTTTTTTTTATCGTACAGAGCTGCGCGTAGTAGTAACATTTTGAAAAAACTATTTTCGATATACACATGATTAATCAACGTGTTGGATCCGCGCTAATATAGATATTTTTAAATCTGTCTTCTCTCTTTTCTTTAATGCTGTTGAAATACTTAATGTAGTGGCAATTATTGCAATAGAAATACTGAAAAAAGAAATAATCAAAATGTTTTAATTAAAGTAGGTTGTTGAGCATAAGAAACTAATGAAAATATGTTAGCAACATTAAAGAGAAGAGAGAAAACAGATTTCTAAAAATGTTTATTTGCGCCGACCAAGGTGCTGATCCAAAACGTTACAAAATTTAGTCAAAAAAACGTGTATATCGAAAAACTGTTTTTTTCAGTTTTTGGTGATTTTGTTGAAATTTTTCTATCGGAATGATCTTCTTTATTTTTGATAATTAAAATACAAGTCGTTAGGAAAATTGCTACTCCGCACAGCTCTGTATGATAAAAAATGTAATGCCCTTGAAAAAGAGGTGGTTTTTTCAAAAACCGTGAGTATCTCGGAAACGGCTCAACTTTACGGGCCCAAACAAATCGTCCTCTTTTTTTGTGATAAAATGGCTATGTTTCCTCTAAATTTCAGATCTCTATAACTTTTTTTGCAAAAATAAAAATAGAAAACGAAAAAAACAGTTTTTCTTCAAACGTTTTCCCCGATTTCGAATCACTTTACACATAAAATGGGGATCGGGAAATTTTTTGTTTAAATAAATAATTGTAGAAGTATTTAAGCATGGACCAACTCTGTTACGTTACTACGTTCTCGTGAAACATAACCGATCTCACTGGTGGGGGGAAAGGGACGGGATGGGAGTTGATAGAATACGATTCATTTTGTAGTTTTTTTAACTCACAATATTTTTCAAAATTTTATAAATGAAATATAATCAAAAATCAAACTTTAGGTTTTAAAAATTACGTCCTCCAAATGTTGCTCATATATCCCCAGAGAACGTCAGGGGAACGAGGGGGACCAGGCTTCGTCCGGGAAAAAGGTGACACCGTTTTGTCTTTGATCCCCTTGATGTGTGGGCCGTCGCGCAATCTTGTTGGAACCATATTCTTTGTCTATTTATTCGTTTTCTTCATAGCTGAGAACAAGAAATGAGCTCTATTTCTAAGGTGTACGAGTATCACTTTAAAATTTTGTGGGGGCGTCCAGAAGTGCAAAATTCCGTAGGTGAGAGCTAAGGTCATATTATGCACCTTTTTTGTTTTCTCTTTCAATTTACCTTCTATGGAGGCGTTCCTCTACTCCGATTCATGTTTACATTTTTATAGCTGCGTCCTCGACCCTCGTCTGCATAAATTATGCTCGTCATTTTGGATCCATGACAAGAGTTGTAGGGTAAATAGATTGGATGTTTAATTTAAAATTCAAATTGGACATCGTAATTAGAGAGTTACTGATAAATGTTTGGGTATAATACCACGAAATTGCAGGCTGCATTACTATTAATTTTACACAAAATATATGGTAGGTGTTTTAACAAGAGTGAGTCACCAGAGCTAAATAACACAATGTGTGGTGAAACGCGCCGCACGTGGGTTTTCTCGAGGTGAATTCGATAAGTGTGTAGGACGTACTTGTTATACAAAAGTCAAAAACCAATCCCATTACAATTAATAAGACAATTTAACTTGTATTTCATCCTCACGTCTTCTCTCTCGTATAAGAAATTGCATTCACTAACTACCTACCTACATGTAGAGCATTTGTACCTACGTACCACAATTAAAATAATATGTGAATACCTACATGTCAGACGTTCGTCAAAGTTTTAACCTGTACAAATTATGTTTGTGTGTTGATTTCCATCTATGGCGTAGGAGTTCTGAAAAAGTGAGTGTCAATGTATAACGATTGGATTATATATTATAAAAGAAAGTATAGTGGTCGCGCGGTAGATTCTTGAGGCACTCCCCTTGGTCCTATTAGATCTGGGAGCGATGAGTGCGAAACAAATTGCTCCTTGAATATTTTAATGTATTCATATTGAGAAAATCAGAGCAATTGTTTTGGTACTGGACTTTTTTGTCAGATTTACGCCACTGTACAGGGCTGCTAAAAAGTCTGGAAACGGTTGATTATCGGGGAAAATATATAAAGGTTTTTTTACAAAAGATTTGAGGTTCTTTAATGTCTACTAGGCAGTAGTAATTTTAATTATACAGGGTTGGTCATAAAGGCGTGGCACAGTAATATTGCATTTTTTTAGTGGAACACCCTATATATAATTCGATATTTGAATTTTTCTCTCAATTTTGAGCATAATTTGTAAGAAGCATAATGTACCCAAATGCAATCGTTTCCGAGTTATCGAGTTTTGAAAATAAAAGGTATTGCTTTAAAATATAATGATTAAAACTAGGAATAAAGAACAATAATTCGTGACATTACGAATTTCTTTTGAAAACATTCTGTGGTTCTGAAAAAAACTGTTTGTGAAGTTTTTTATGATTGTTTGGAAACATGCTGGTCACTTTTTAATTGGGCGAAAGCCTGTTGAGGTTCCATAACAAGAGAGAGGAAAAGTAAAAAGTAAAGTAACATTAATTATTGTTTTTTGCTCAATTATTAATGATTTTTAAAATAATAGCGTTTATTTCCAAAACTCGAAAACCTGGAAACGATTGAATTTAGGTACACTATGCTTATTACAAATTTTGCTTATAATTGGGAAAAAAATTGAAATATTTAAAAATATACAGGGTGTTCCAATTAACAAAATGAAATTTTGGTGTGCCGCGCCTTTATGAGCAACCCTGTATAATTAAAATTTTACTACCTAGTAGACATTGAAGAACCCCATAACTTTTGTATAAAACATATATTTTGATATCTTGTAAGTTTTCGCCGACGTACTTCCAGACTTTTTATCCGTCTGGCCCACCTTCAAGGTATAGGCTGCCTACTACAAAAAATTCCAGGGCTCTAGGACCATTCCTGTACAAGTAGTTCAAAACGGCAGAAGTGGGTCCGGACGGACGGACAAAACGCAAACAATAGCACATTTTTTTTTAATTCTTAAAAAATAAAAAATAAACTTGTATATACATACTCGATGCAACATGGCCGCCGATCTCGACAACCAATCAAAAATTAGACAGTCATTGTCGCCACTGTCTCTATAGATTTCAATGCTCTATAGTCTATAGTCATCTTTATTACGACCATCAAAGCGGCGGCGAACATTGCATGCATAGTTTTTTTTTGTGCGCAAAATGTCCCAACATTTTAGCTGGAGGCTCTCTGAACGACACGAAGTGTAATTTTGTAAGAAATCGAGAGGAACTTTACAACTAAAAATGCAAGGAGTAACGGGGGATCAAAAATGAGTTGTTGTCGAGTCGCCTTTGGAAGTTCAAGTTTTCCATGTAAACAAAAATTCCAAAGGCGACTCGACAGCAACTCATTTTTGATCGCATAGTATAAACGCACAACTTAAAATTGAAAAGCACTGGAGAGATTCAAAAATATTCTCGAAATTTATTTTCATTGCCGTGTAAATGTCGAGATATCAAAATTTCGAATGCGCTTTCCGTTGCACGCCTCGAATTGGAACTTTTTTGATCCCTGGAACTCTTCTTCATCATCCTCCTCAGATTCTTCATCTTTCGGTACTATTAGTAAAGCGAGATCGGGCTCATCCATTGCAAACACTCGCCCGCCGCAGTACTGCCGTCCTAGATTTACAACGCAAGTCCACCGTTATACGGTCATAAATTTACCCCCCCCCCCCCCCCCCCCCACGTAAGGAAGTATAGTGATGGAAAAAGTTAAGGAAAAAAACCAGCAATGATCAAACATTCGGAATACATTTCAGTAAATGAAGAGAGCGCTGAGAAAAATGTTGCCAAAGGATTTCTGAAACTCTGGCAATCGGATGGTGATCAACAGTGCTTATCCTATTTGATGATGGACATTCTCCAGCAGCTCCAAAATTTTCAGAAAGACTGTGTTTATTCTGTGTGACATTGAAGTTGGCCATTCTTATGGAAAAAGACCCTTATCCATGGTGGATATGATGATGATTTTGGATTTTGGAAACAAAAAATCGTGAAGTCCAGGACCCTGAGAGTTACGATCACTACAGCAAGAGAGATCAAAAAACTCTTTGGTGATACGTTTGTTTCTTCCTTCACGGACGACAGCGGACAGTGTTACTGACACAACTAAGGCACAGCGTGTGACTGTCTTTTCAAAACGAGTTGAGGTTTTCATTTCTTTTACCCCACATAGGACAGGACATAATCAATACTACTCTATACTGCATTCACTATAAGAAGGTAGTAGATGGCGCTATGTTTGAAGATAAACACACACAGGAAAAATATACAACGGCACCAAATTATTGTAAAGAAGAAATATCCAGTACTGCGAACAGAAATAAATCTTTGAAATTAACAGTTAATGACACTTCAGCAGTTTAGTTGGCAACATAAACTACCAGCTTACAAAATTCGCCACTCGTTTTATGTTTCATTGTAATACTGACTCGTGTTTTAACCAATCATAGTGAAGGTCAAAGCTTCCCTATGCTTTCTACCGCTACCTTCTTAAAATGAATACAGTATAAGGGCAGTAAACAGATGCCATCTGCGCATGCGCGATTCTGCCCTTTTATGTCTAAGAATATGGTTCAACTGTTTAGCCGAAAATTGAAGTACAGACAGACCGATCGACATCATCGGGATTTTGTTTGATTCAGATTCCTGGTGCTTTAACGTGTATTTCCGTAAAAAAAGTGGGAGTCATTTTTTTTACCCCAATGCAATACCTCTCTTATTCACGTGCGGGTGGTAAAAAGGGGTAGAAATTTTCATTTACAAGACTTTGCAGTGGATTCTTGTCATATATAATCGCGTAACTGGTTGCGACAGTGTAGCGTGCGGCACAATATCGTTTCCTTTTATGATCAATTTAGTTTCCTTTTCACAGTTTATTGTAAATTATAATGTTGTTGCCTTGGTCTACTTCTATACTTAGTTTGATTTAATCTGTACCTACTTGGTATGACGAGCTTTTAGTTTCGATTTAAGAGGCGTTTCAATTCCTTTCATTCCAACAGGAGCGTCTAATTATTTTCAGTTCAGGCAGTTACGTGCGTCGCGAGGTCAAGCGTCGTTCTGTAACCTACATTCAAAGATACCCAAGTTCTTTAATTGATTTTGACGTTCTACCTTTGCACGACGTCTCGTTAAAATGTAGGGCATTGTGCGAGTTGTGAAATTGATTCTTTTCTTCTATACTTTTGTTCAATTTTTAATGCGTGCGTCAGTATCCGCCAAAGCTCGTATTGGCATCGGTAAAATCGGTTACCTAATTAATGGTTGGTTAATAAGTTTCTAATATTAAAGTTTATAATCGTATCGATTATTTTCTACCGGATAAGTTGCTGGATTTTTATTACCTTCACTTGTAATAAATTTTACAGAAAACTCTAAATTAGTATGCAAGCTCAAACTAATCAATGGATCTATTAATTATTGATGAGATTAGTATTTATAATTTGAAAAGATCTACCGTAATGAATGGACGGAATCTATGACTCTTTGGCTTTTCAGCGCTTTGCACAAGATTGCAAATGGTATTAAGAGGTAGGCACTGATGCACCAATCCTTACAAAACTCGCGCTCTGAGGACTTTTCATAATAAATCATTTGTTTCTTTTTGCAGACGCCACCATTGTCCACACAATCCAGATGAGTACAATGATCATTTGCACCCAGAAGGACCGTTCTACGGTAAGCCTGTGGAACCGGCAATCACAAAAGGAGAAAGGGCCCCCATAGTCATTCCCAAAGACAACTTAAAACCAGAAGGTGAGTTTGAAAGGCCCAAACACGACGAGTGGCGTCCGGGCGAGCGCGTACCCGTGAAAAAGCCCGAAGATAATTTACGTCCCGAAGGAGATTTCGAAAAACGCAAACCGGAAGAGTGGAAACCGGGCGATCGTGCTCCGGTTCGTCGCCCAGAAGACAACTTGCGTCCAGAAGGCGACTTTGAAAAACGCACGCCAGAAAAATGGCAACCCGCCGAACGTCCGCAACCTAAAAAGCCCCAAGACAATTTGCGCCCCGAAGGAGATTTTGAGAAACGCAAACCGGACGAATGGAAAGCGGGCGATCGAGCTCCGGTCCGTCGTCCAGAAGATAATTTACGTCCAGAGGGCGACTTTGAACAGCGGACCCCAGAAAAATGGCAACCCGGTGAAAGGGCAAAACCTAAAAAGCCCCAAGACAATTTGCGCCCCGAAGGCGATTTCGAGAAACGCAAACCAGAAGAATGGAAACCAGGAGATCGCGCACCGGTTCGCCGCCCGGAGGATAATTTGCGTCCCGAAGGTGACTTTGAAAAGCGCACGCCCGAGAAATGGCAACCTGGCGAACGTCCACAGCCGAAAAAACCCCAGGACAACCTACGGCCCGAGGGAGAGTTCGAAAAACGCACGCCAGAAGATTGGAAACCGGGCGATAGGTCCCCTATAAAAAAACCAACTGATAATTTACGACCGGAAGGCGACTTTGTCGGTCGCGAACCGGAGAAGTGGAGTCCCGCCGAGCGACCTGTTCAAAAGAAACCGAAGGACAATCTTAAACCCGAAGGCGAATTCGATCGACCAGAGAAACCAGGTTTTAAACCCGCTGAACGCCCTGTTGTTAAACGCCCAACCGACAATTTGTATCCCGAAGGTGACTTTGTGAGCACAACTACAAAATCGGAAGATTATCGAGTAGTGCGAGGGGAACGGGCCGATATCACTCGACATGTAGACAATATTACCGTTACTGGTGAATTTATTGGTGAGTACTCAAAGTATTTCTAACCCCTTTTAAAACATTGCGTATTTTTAGATGAAACCACATCTAAAACTACTTTCACGGGTGAAGTTGGCCCGAGACCTTCGCCGATTAGAAGAAACACATGGACTAAAATTGAAGGAGACTTTACCACTGACACTACCAGCCATACCGATTTTGTAGACTTTTCGACAGTTGAAAAAACCACTATTGTGAAGAAACGCGAAGATAACCTTATAGTAGAAGGCGATATGACCTTCGATACCTCCTCACATGTAGACTTCACGAAAAAGGTAACGCCTGTGGAACCTCGTAGAAAACGTACTTGGACCAAAGATGATGTTGACAAGTTTTATGGAACAGAAGAGATTGATACGGTTACAACCACTCAAGAAGTCTATAAGACGTTCGACAACACTGATGTTCGTCAAACGGTAATAATCACCAGAGATAACTTAAGACCCGAGGGCCCCTTCGAAGGTGTGCCTAAATCTAAAGAAGATTATGTGCCAAAACTAACCGAGCGCCCAACGCCGCAAAAACCGAAAGATAACTTGAAACCGGAAGGTGATTTTGAACGCCCTGATAAGCCAAGATATCGCCCCGGCGAACGACCAACGCCTAAAAAGCCAGAAGACAACTTACGACCTGAGGGTGATTTTGAACGTCCAGAGAAACCTGGGTTCAGTCCGGCGGAAAGACCCAAACAAAAACGACCCGAAGACAATTTAAGACCAGAGGGTGACTTTGAACGGCCTGATAAACCTAAATATCGACCGGGTGAACGTCCCACCCCTAAGAAACCCGAAGATAACTTGCGGCCGGAAGGCGACTTTGAACGTCCGGACAAACCCGGCTACAGTCCAGCAGAACGGCCTAAACAGAAACGCCCCGAGGATAACTTGAGACCGGAAGGTGATTTCGAACGACCAGATAAACCTAAATATCGACCGGGTGAACGACCTACCCCCACAAAACCTCAAGATAACTTGAGACCGGAAGGAGACTTTGAACGTCCAGATAAACCTGGATATAGTCCCGCTGAAAGACCGAAACAGAAACGCCCTGAAGATAATTTGAGACCAGAAGGCGACTTCGAGCGGCCCGATAAACCAAAATATCGACCGGGTGAACGTCCCACACCTAAGAAACCCGAAGATAACTTGCGGCCGGAAGGCGACTTTGAACGTCCGGACAAACCCGGATACAGTCCAGCGGAAAGGCCAAAACAAAAACGGCCAGAGGACAACTTGAGACCAGAGGGTGATTTTGAAAGACCAGATAAACCGAAATACAGACCTGGTGAACGACCCACGCCTACAAAACCGGAAGACAATTTGCGACCCGAGGGCGATTTTGAACGGCCGGAAAAACCTGGGTATAGCCCTGCGGAGAGGCCGAAACAAAAACGGCCCGAAGATAACTTGCGCCCGGAAGGAGATTTCGAACGACCCGATAAACCGAAATATCGACCAGGTGAACGACCCCAACAGAAACGACCAGAAGATAATTTAAGACCCGAAGGAGATTTCGAACGACCCGATAAACCGAAATACCGCCCAGCCGAAAGACCAACTCCTAAAAAACCCGAAGATAACTTGAAACCGGAGGGAGATTTTGAACGTCCAGATAAACCTGGCTACAGTCCGGCTGAAAGACCTAAACAGAAACGCCCTGAAGATAATTTGAGACCAGAAGGCGACTTCGAGCGACCCGATAAACCAAAATATCGACCGGGTGAACGACCCACACCTAAGAAACCCGAAGATAACTTACGACCGGAAGGTGATTTCGAACGACCGGAAAAACCTGGATATAGTCCAGCAGAAAGACCTAAACAAAAACGACCTGAGGATAATTTAAGACCAGAAGGTGATTTTGAAAGACCTTCGCCAACAAAAATTGGACCTGCTGAACGGAGAACACCTATAAAGCATGATGACCATCTTCGTCCGGAAGGAGATTTTGAACGTCCAGAGAAACCTAAATACAAACCTGCCGAACGTCCGCAACAAATTCGACCTGATGATAACTTGCGCCCTGAGGGTGATTTTGAACGGCCAGATAAACCAAAATACCGACCTGGTGAACGACCGACACCGAAGAAACCTGAAGACAACCTACGCCCGGAAGGAGAATTTGAGCGTCCAGAAAAACCAGGGTACAGTCCTGCGGAAAGACCAAAACAGAAACGACCCGAAGACAACTTGAGACCAGAAGGCGATTTTGAAAGACCCTCTCCAACAAAAATGGGGCCGGCCGAACGTAGAACGCCTATAAAGCATGACGACCATCTTCGTCCAGAGGGCGACTTTGAACGCCCAGAGAAACCTAAATACAAACCTGCCGAACGTCCGCAGCAAATTAGACCAGACGATAATTTGCGACCGGAAGGTGATTTCGAGAGACCAGACAAACCTCAGTATAAACCTGCGGAAAGACCTAAACAGAAGAGACCCGAAGATAATTTGAGACCCGAAGGAGATTTTGATCGTCCTGAAAAACCAGAGTACAGCCCGGCCGAGAGACCCAAACAAAAACGACCCGAAGACAACTTGAGACCAGAAGGCGATTTTGAAAGACCGTCGCCTACAAAAATGGGACCAGCTGAGCGCAGGACTCCTATCAAACACGACGATCATCTTCGGCCAGAAGGCGACTTTGAACGTCCCGAGAAACCTAAATACAGGCCTGCCGAACGTCCACAACAAATTCGACCCGATGATAACTTGCGACCTGAGGGTGATTTTGAACGGCCAGAAAAACCCGGATATAGTCCAGCAGAAAGACCCAAACAAAAACGACCCGAGGATAATTTGAAACCAGAAGGCGATTTTGAAAGGCCATCTCCAACGAAGATGGGACCTGCTGAACGGAGGACTCCCATTAAACATGACGATCATCTTCGACCAGAGGGTGACTTTGAACGTCCAGAAAAGCCCAAGTATAAGCCAGCGGAGAGGCCGCAACAAAAGAAACCTGAAGATAATTTGCGACCAGAAGGCGATTTTGACAGACCTGATAAGCCACAGTACAAACCTGCAGAGCGACCGAAGCAGAAGAGGCCTGAAGATAACTTAAGACCCGAGGGAGACTTTGAACGGCCAGAAAAACCCGGTTACAGCCCGGCAGAAAGACCGAAACAAAAACGGCCCGAGGATAATTTGAAACCAGAAGGCGATTTTGAAAGACCGTCACCAACCAAAATGGGACCTGCTGAACGCAGAACTCCTATTAAGCATGACGACCATCTTCGCCCAGAAGGTGATTTTGAACGTCCAGAGAAACCCAAATATAAACCTGCAGAGCGTCCTCAGCAGATTCGACCAGATGATAATTTACATCCAGAAGGCGATTTTGAAAGGCCGACTCCGACAAAGATGGGACCAGCAGAACGTAGAACCCCCATAAAACGTGATGACAACCTCCGCCCGGAGGGAGAGTTTGAACGTCCAGAGAAACCTAAATACAAACCTACGGAACGTCCACAGCAAATTAGGCCCGATGATAATCTACGACCAGAAGGCGATTTTGAGAGACCAGACAAACCTCAATATAAACCTGCTGAAAGACCCACGCAGAAGAAACCGGAAGATAACTTAAGACCCGAGGGAGATTTTGAACGTCCAGAAAAACCCGGTTACAGCCCGGCAGAAAGACCAAAACAAAAACGGCCCGAGGATAATTTGAAACCAGAAGGCGATTTTGAAAGACCGTCACCAACCAAAATGGGACCTGCTGAACGCAGAACTCCTATTAAGCATGACGACCATCTTCGCCCAGAAGGAGATTTTGAACGTCCAGAGAAACCCAAATATAAACCTGCAGAACGTCCTCAGCAAATTAGGCCCGATGATAATCTACGACCAGAAGGCGATTTTGAGAGACCAGACAAACCTCAATATAAACCTGCTGAAAGACCCACGCAGAAGAAACCGGAAGATAACTTACGACCCGAGGGAGATTTTGAACGTCCAGAAAAACCCGGTTACAGCCCGGCAGAAAGACCGAAACAAAAACGGCCCGAGGATAATTTGAAACCAGAAGGCGATTTTGAAAGGCCATCTCCAACGAAGATGGGACCCGCTGAACGGAGGACTCCCATCAAACATGACGATCATCTTCGACCAGAAGGTGACTTTGATCGTCCCGAAAAACCCAAATACAAACCTGCGGAGAGACCTCAACAAAAGAAACCTGAGGATAATTTACGACCCGAAGGTGAGTTTGAAAGGCCAACTGCTACCCCTCTCGGTCCTGCGGAACGTAGGGTTATAATTAAGCATGATGACAATCTAAAAGTGGAAGGAGAGTGGGATATTCATCGCCGCGATGATTATTCAACGGTGACGACAGTGGTAGATAAAGTGAAGGTAATAAAACACGAAGATAACTTGCACGTTGAGGGTGAATTTACTGATACGCGCTCCAGAGACGATTACAAGGTCGTTAAAGGCGAACGTTTCGAACCGGTCAAACCTCAGGATAATCTGAAACCTGAAGGTGAATTTACTGATAAGAGAACAAGTGACGAATACCGCGTTGTTCGAGGCGATCGTGCGCAGGTGATAATAAGGGAGGATAATTTGAAGGTCGAAGGAGAATTTACAGACTACAGAAAACGAGACGATTTTGTTACTCAGAAAGTTGAAAGGACGGAGGTAATCAAACACACCGACAATTTGAAGTTGGAGGGCGACTTCGAACGGCCCACTCCCCAAAAGTTGGGTCCGGCGGAAAGGAGAACTCCAATTAAGCACGACGATAATTTACACCCCGAGGGAGACTTTGAGCGTCCGGATAAACCGAAGTACCGGCCTGCGGAGCGTCCCACCCCTACCAAACCGCAAGACAACCTTAAACCTGAGGGAGAATTTACTGACAGTAGGAGTAGAGATGAATATCGCGTTGTACGGGGTGACAGGAGTCAGGTGATTATCCACGAGGATAACTTGCATATGGAGGGCGAGTTTAATGAATATAGAAAACAAGACGAATATGTTACGCAAAGAGTGGATAAAACGGAGATTGTCAGACACACTGATAATCTGAAGATGGAAGGCGAATTTGATCGCCCGACTCCTTCAAAACTCGGGCCCGCAGAACGCCGAACCCCCATTAAGCATGAGGATAATCTACATCCCGAGGGAATGTTTGATCGTCCAGAAAAGCCCCAATATAAACCTGCAGAAAGACCGACACCTAAGAAACCTCAGGACAATCTCAAACCGGAAGGCGAGTTTACTGACAAAAGAACCAGTGAAGAATATCGCGTGGTTCGTGGTGATCGTGCTGCAGTTGTCGTCCGAGAGGACAATCTAAGAGTGGAAGGTGAATTTAACGAGTATAGAAAACGGGACGAATTTGTAACGACGCGAGTTGACAAAACCGAGGTTATTCGACATACTGACAATTTACGCCTTGAGGGGGAGTTTGAACGACCGTCTCCTACGAGGGTTGGGCCCGGAGAGCGTCGCTCGCCTATTAAGCACGAAGACAACTTACATCCAGAAGGAGATTTTGATCGGCCCAGTAAAGTACAGTATAAACCGGGAGAACGACCGACACCACAAAAACCGCATGACAACTTAAAACCGGAAGGAGACTTTGAAAGACCTTCTCCTAGCAGAGTGGGCCCTGGAGAACGCAGAACGCCAATTAAACACCCTGATAATCTCCATCCAGAAGGTACGTTCGATAGGCCCAAAAAATCTGAGTATACACCTGGCGATCGGCCTAGACCCAAAAAACCACAGGACAATTTGAAACCTGAAGGTGATTTTGATAGACCCACTCCCAGTAAAGTGCATCAAGGTGAACGAGTTGAAATTGTGAAGCATCAGGATAATCTTCGACCGGAGGGTGATTTTACTGGTACACCGCGAAGTCGAGATGATTTCAAACCGGCCCAAGGCGATCGTGCGCCTATACGTAAACCACAAGACAATCTCAAAATTACTGAGTACCAAGAGAACGGCGTCGAAAAATCGCACTACACCACAACAACACGACAAACTTTCGATCAAACTCCTAAAAAGGAGTCGCCTGTTACTCCCGGACGAACGACCGTTAGTAGGCGTAAGCACATGGAATCAAGTTTTACTCTCGGAGATGACACGACAGTTATGAAAACGACGAACCAAACGAATTATAACACTTACACAAGACGTACTGACCGTCAGAATGTAAAAGTTGACACTCAAAATGTACAAAGAACTGATAAGGTTGTTACATCTAAGACGAGTGATACTCGAACGTTAGCCGACGGATCCATTGTCACGACAACTACACATACAACTAAAACAGCGAGTGGATCTGAGAAATCACCTTCGCCGGTTACAACCGTTGTTCATAGGGATACTACAGGAAATCATATTCAAAAATCATCTTCTCAGACTCGAGTTCAAGAAAGTCATCAACATACCGAACAGGTTAACCGCACTCAGCAAAGCAATATTGTTCATTCTGCAAGCCATCATAACGTAACGGGAAGCAGTACGGTAAAAACTGACACCCACCATCGAAGAAATGTCATGCAAACAGAAGCGGATATCACAAATCAAGTTTTGCACCGCAAAGGAGTGCACACTTCTACCGAAGCACTACACGCCACCAGCTCAGCTGCACTGGCACAACGCAAATCAATTTCCAATCTGCACGATCAAGGAAACTACATTAATCAAAGCACCGATAGACGTAGCCTGAGCAGCATACACCGTTCCAACGTCCAGGAGGCTCACCACGCGCGACGCGGTCAGGAGTGGTCCTCTGCAACTTACACCTACGAGCGACCGCAAAAAATAGTTCGTCAAGATAACCTGTCGGTGGGTGGTCATTTTTACGGCCAATCAGAGGCTCACTCGTACGGCAACTTTACCAAACAGCAAAATATTCAAAAAGTCGAACGGGTATCGCGCAAGTCCAACATTTCCAACATCAACCTGGGTGAGAGTCACGTAACGGTTGTGACGTCGTACAAGAACGAATTCGCGCCGAGACATACGGGACCGTGTCCCGCTTCGTTAATCGACAAGCCAAAGGGACCCTTCAAGCATACTCGCGACACGAAATCTCACAAGTTTTATATGCCTGTCGTGCAAAACTAACCGTCGGATCGACTATATTATTATTAGATTAAAACTAACCAATCTAACTTTGTGATAAATTCTTTTGTACGCACTGTTATACGGTAGAGGTATACGTAGTTGTTAAATTTAACATTTTCTAAACAATGCTAAAAGCGAATAAGCTACAGCTTCCGGTTATTGGTTTTTTTTATATGTTAACTTTTCACGCCAGAAGCTTCTAGCTTTTCAAAAAAGTGATAAGAATTTCAATAAATAATAGTTAATAATAATTTATTTATTTACTTACGCAAACCTTCGAGGATGTGTGAAATGTTCAACCACTATTCGCGATAGTGAATTGATCGAAGTTGATTAGTGTAGCGACACAATCACACCAACAAGTAAGAGAACTTACTTGATATGGTGTTCATAGTGACTGTAAATGGAGGCCAATAAAATTATTTTTAACAATCTTTGTAAGATCATTTTCTTTGTTTACCTTCCGAGGAGACAAATGAAACGTTAAAATAAGTTCTCAGCTTGTATCGCATAGTGGGCTCCATATTTTTCATTCTATAGTAGTGACCGAGGTCCCAAGTTTTGCTCAATTTGACTGCCATTGCCCGGAAAAATGGTTTAAGAGGTTCGAAAGTTACCAACCAGATGGCGTTGGGGCTTGATCAGAAGCCAGAAGAAAAACAAGTGACTTCTTTAATTTATTGTATGGGGGAGAATGCTGAACATATTGTAATGGAACCGAATTTGCCCGCTTTGTTTCTTCTCTGCCCTACATTTAAATGGACCATAATTTACAATAAAAGTGTCAAACATAATGCTATACGAGGGCAGGTAATGATCCATATCGACCGGGCGCGTGGATATTAACAATTTTCATCTCGAAAAATTTGTAGTAGTAGTGAGTACAGTTCGACAATTACACAAGGTGACGTATTCCTTTTATCTTTACGTCTCTTGCATCCATTTAGTAATTATATGGTGGTGTTAGATGCCAAATTAACGGTATTCCCGTATAGCATGGGTATTGTCATTTATAGCGCATTACATATACAAATTACTCTTTTATAATTAAACTGAACATACTTTGAATTAAATGCATAGACATACCTACCGGCAAGATTCTATTACGTTTTCTACGTAAATATGTTGTTTTGCAATTTACAGTATCCCTTTGTTCCTTATAGCGCTGGTTTTACCTGCCAACGCGCAGTATGAATTCCTAACAGATTTACGTGTTTTTTAATTAGATGGGGATGATGTTCAATGCAAGCATGCAGAATTAATAAATGCAGATTTAATAAATATTATAGCGATTCGTAGATCGTGCTGTATTTGGAAACATCGACACTACATTGTTAATCTATAATTAAATTTATTGCAGCATATTTTCTTTCTTTTGCAGGAATATGTTAAATACTGTTTATTTACAGGGTGCTTCATCTGAGGGCGAGTGAAGTACAACGTTAGATGGTTGATTGTTACATATTATGCAATTGGCATTGAGAATTAACTACTTTATAGTAATGTTTTACCACGACATGTTCCTTTGCTTTGTTGTAATGTGCTCCTTCTATGTATTTGTACCGGGTATAATTATGATTATTAATAATTGGCAGGGTAACTTGTTTCAACTGTGCTGTGCTATATTTGCGATACCGATATTTAATCTCGCTTTGACGTGTCATGATTTGTTTATTGATAGGTTACTGTCAGTACTCATGGTGGAGAGCTACGAGTAAAAAATAAAAGGAGAGAACCTTGCCTTAAAGGGGGACGAGACGGACATGGACAAAAAGGTAGTTATAAGAGTGGGGGGAAACGTGCCGTTATTGGCAGTGATGTAATAAAACAAAACTGACATCGTCGCTTCTGCTTTATGATAAGTCAAGTCGACATAATAACTGACCAGCGCAAAGAAAGTAATATGATAACGACTTCCATCGCGTGCTATGCTATTTTCCACCACCGTTATATTCTCTCCTCTTATTTTTTACTCGTAGGTGGAGAGCTTGGCGTTCAGTCTTTTATAACCCGGCACCTTTAACTAGTGGGTTGCACTGGCCCTCTAGAGGTGTGTGAATGAAAGATTTGGGGTCCCGTTTAGTCGTACATGAGGGCGCTGGCTAGGCCCGACCTCACTTGTGCAGGGATCGCGGCGTGTTCTCGTTGTGCCCTTTTGTTTTTGTATCCTTTGGGGTATCCTTTCCGAGTGAAATGCTCTTCTGAGAGGCCAAGTCCTAGCGTTTTCATACAAGGCTGACATGTCATGACCAGAGCAACTAAAGACTACTATCAGTGTGGAATTTGGACTAGCCATCCAATATACAAACTTATGTACATTTATTTGTAATGATTTAATGATTGTTTCTTTTATGTTAGGTGTGTCAAATATTAATTCTTTAGGAATTCCAGAGGAGTCTATGATTCGACAGCATATTAATTTACTTAACCATCATAATATGCATTCATGTCATTACAGAAAACTAATTTTGCTATAAAGTTTAATATATTAAGTTCGTTGGCTGGTTTTTGTCTTGGTCAGTTCTTTTTTTTCCCAGCCTATTGTTATATTTGTACTTCGGTGAACTACCATTTTCTAAATGTAATCTTGCACTGCGAATTATTTTGATTAAATCTCCGATTTTTATAGCATGTGCTTGTTTTATTTGTATTCCTTACTTGATCCTCACTCCGACAAGCAACACATATCTTGTAGCGACTCTTAAAACACAACGTAGTAAGTGGTCCTAGTATTTTGTTCTTCAGATTAAGGAGCTTTGTCTAGACTAAATGATCATGTGCCATGGGCTTCAGTTCTTAGACTATGAAAGAGCTTCAGTTAGTTCGGGAGGGAAAGTTATTTTGAATTTAAAATCTTGAGTTGCGCAGTCTTTCGGTACTGGCCTGGGTACGTGACAATATATTGACTCGCTCCCAACTTCCTGATGAGGAAAATCTTAACTCTTATAAAACTGTGAAGGTCGCATTTGACGAAGCTTTTATAGAGAAGCGGAATATAATTGATGAACGTGGCGCATTTAATTCTGAAAACAGAAAAAGGGGGAGATCTTGGAACAGTTTCTCACTGATCTTGTTCGCGACCGTATAGTGGTCGGTATTTCAGATGAGGCTTTATCCCCTCAATTTCAAGAGGATGCTGACCGCACTTTAGAGAAAACTATACAAAAGGCAAAGCAGCGAGTGAATCGATTAAAAAAACAAGCTTATGAACTAGAGGAGATTCAATCAAAACCTTCATCATCAGAAGTTGATCGTATCAATTCCAGTTCGTCTAGCAAGTTTTCACTAAAGGAGTGATATTATCAAAGGTGGGTGCTTGAATTGTAGAGGTCCACGACACTCACGAAATTCTTGTCCAGCTAAGGTGGCTAAGGTTATTGTTATTAATCAAAAGGTTAAAGCTAAGTTTGATTCTGAGAATGGTTCCTCTTCCTCAGCATTCGTCTCTGATGCTGATAGGCAAGAAGAGAGACATATTGTAGAGAACGTAGCTCCGAGATCCTATACCTGGGTTTGATAATGAATGTTTATGTACTTATGTAATTTTATTTTTTCTCAATGTGTTAGTCCTCCAAAAGTACATTTCAGAAACGGCTTTATCGAGCTATAGTTTGGCTGGTATGTCCACACACGAAACCGATATCATTCTCTTAAAAGTTTCCTACCTTGTAGGCCACCAGCGGTGGTCTTTAAGGTACTAAGCAATGTTGTTTGCATGCCCGCCAGGCGCTCATAACTTGTACTATAATATTATTATCTACCATTTGGCACAATCTACATGAGAATGTTGTGACATTAATAGTAAAACGAAAGAAGAAAGTTTAAAGACAGATACAAAGCTATTTAGTATTAGTGTATAATGTATTTTCAAGTTTTATTGACTAATAATACCTAAATTTATGGTTATCTCTCACTAGAGAAGCTAAAATATCAACTGTCAGGATGGCCGAGCGGTCTAAGGCGCCAGACTCAAGGTTACCTTGCCCAGCTAATGGGAATATGAGCGTTCTGGTCCTCTATGAGGGCGTGGGTTCGAATCCCACTTCTGACAGACTTTTTTTTTCTAGAATCGAGCGAATGATATTTGTTGAACCTCTTTATTTAATGATCGAGGTATAAAAAATGCAATCATTTGCAACTATAATTATAAATTCATCATTACAAATTGCGGGACTCTTCTCTAAAAAAATAAAAAGTGCACTTTTTCGCTCGTCTGTCTGTCTGAGTCACAAAAGCTGGGATTATGGGATCTACAGGCCACATTCTATAAGAAAATTTTTTTTCCGGGTCGATCTGAGACAATTCCTTTTTTACCAAAAATCGATTACACCAAAATTTCTCGGGAAAATACTTTTTCTTATTAATTTTGGTGCGTAGAATCCAAAACAATTCGTACTTTTTCGATTAGACTTCTCAATCAAAGGTTATAGACTAGAAACCAATTTGAAAAGAAAATTCAAAGGGCTGTAACTTTTGAACTAGTAGCCCAATCTTGGAACTGTTTGAAATTGTGGAATCTACAGGCCACATTCTATAAGAAAATTTTTTTCCGGGTCGATCTGGGACAATTTTTTTTTCGGGGCTCAAAAAAAGGCAGTGTATAACCTTCCTTTTTTACCAGAAATCGACTACACCAAAATTTCTCGGGAAAACACTTATTAATTTTGGGGCGTAGAATCCAAAACAACTCGTACTTTTTCGATTAGACTTCTCAATCAAAAGTTATAGACTAGAAACCAATTTCGAAAGAAAATTCAAAGGGCTGTTCTGCAAACTTTTCACTTTAAAAAACACAATTAAACACGTTTTAAAAATAATTTTATTATACAAGATGTGTATTAACAATTTTTTAAACGTAGAATAAACTTGACTGTACAATCCAATTTCCTAGTGCAAAGCAGATGCGAATGGAAGAAATGTTTTGCATATAATCCTAGACAGGTGAATAATCGCATTGCACTAAGAGATTCACGCTTCTATAATTGAGTGATACAAAGAGAATAAATTAAATACTACTCAAGAAATGTGTAATTTCGGAAATCCTAAGAACATGCTTACATAATTATTCAACACAAGACAAAACTTAAGGCTCAACAAATGAGCAAATATGTGGAGTTCGTACCACCGAAAATGCAACTAGGACATTTGTTTATTTGAAATCTTAGTGAATTCTTGTAAGGTCTTCCACCATTTTTATGAGATCGTCCACTGTGCACTCCTGCCTCATACTACCATCGCCAATCATCTAAAAGATAAGAGTATTAGTGAATGAAAATTAACTGGTAGCCCTCTTGTAGAAATTATAGTCAACTTATTCCCTCTGTTCCAATTATTTCTCGACACCCACGATATCGTTTTTCAAGTTGATTAACTGTTATTGTTTTTACGAATGGTACGCAGTTGCAATTAGCAGCAGCTCTATGCCTTTGTTGTATGAAACTTCGATACTGTGACCACAGTAAAATCTAGTAACTCAGTTGAATTAATCCTAAAGCTCCAGTATAAGCAGTTACGTTCATATTAGATCGTGAAACAACTGGAACACAGTATAAACTGAACTTATCCTGCAGTGAATTGATCGAATTGAAAAGACCAAGCAGGGACTCCAATGAGTATCTATCTAGAGTCGACATGTTGGGAAAAGTGCATTCCTACTATTAACAATATATAAATTGGCATACCTGCAAGCCGTCAACAACTTCCTTCATCTTATCTGTAGAAAGATCCAAAAAACTTTCTATCAAATCCCCATCGATAAATCCCTTACACGGTTCTGTTTTGATGTCCGTGTGGAATGACCTCCAGTGTGCATGTTCAATTTTTCCTACCGACTTTATAATTGACGACATTCTATTTTGTACTTCGAGCAAGAAATCGAAAAATTCTGATGATATTTGTGTGACCAAGCCTACAATTCGGTGTAAAATGGTACAACAAACTTTACACATGCATACCAATGGCACCTCCCACTGTACCAAATAAAACACATCCCGTCGTAGGTGTTGAAGTTTCGCCAAGATTTTGCATCACCAGTGACCCGTGTCTAAACACATTAATCATATCACCGACATGAAACTGCCCGACCTCTTGCATCTGTAGCCGTTCTTCATCCGCCGTAGCTGCGCTATCTTTTTGACAAACAAAAATGTTAAACGAGTTCTCCGAGCCCAAAAATATGTCATCGTCCAAGATTTCAACACCGGTCATCCAATTTGGATTGTAATCCCTCGCGATCTCCTCAAAGCTACCCTCCATTGTTTTATATTGCAATAAAGTCATGCTCCTCATTAAATCGCCGACTAATACAAAGTCTCCTTTGGTTTTAAGATATAGCGTTATGATATTGTTAAAGTGTGAACATTCGAGCCTCAATTCTTTTTCGGCGGTCCACTCGAACAGTCTCACGGTACTATTTATGCTCGCCAATAATTTCCCGTTAAATTCCGCTAAAGAATAACAAGCGCCTTTGATTTCCTTTTCGGAAATTGGCGTCAGTTTATTGTCAGCCCATTGGAATATTAGTAAGCGTCCCTGTTTTGGTTCCGATTCCTCCGGATTGACAATAGCAGTACCTACACATTTAGATGTCAGCTTGAGGTTGGAAATGTGGAACCACCCTACCTATAATGTAGTACATGTTCGGATCATCTCCTAACTGGCAGGAAATCAGAGACATGGCGTACTCTTGCTGCATTAGCTGATGCGCGTGCAAAACCTCGAATGTATGCTGGTCAATGATTAACAAGTTGTGCACTTCAACTTCTTGTCCATATTCTGGCGTAAGATTTGTTCCAGAAATTCCACTCACACTGGATTTGCCTAGTGAGAGTGAGCCCACACTACTCGACACCGTGACTGATTGAGTCATAGTTGAGGCACTCGGTCTTGCCGGGTTCAATCCAGTAGAGTCTTGTATGTCCATACGAACCGACACCACGCCAAATGTCTGCAATGTAAAAAATGGAAAAACGCCATTGTACAGGGTGAGTCAACGATTGCGCGGAGTAACTTAATGCCTTGAAGATAAGATTTTTCGATGGAGTGCTTTTGTATTATGATATGGTTGAATATTCTCCACATTTTAAAAATATTTGGAATTATACAGGGTGCGCCCACAAAGTAGGGCGCCAAAATGGTACATTTTTTATTATATGGTTAATATCCGAAAAGGTATTAGTTTTAAAGATAATTCGATTTGTAAGAAAAATTGGGCATTTGCAAGCGTCAGTATATTGTCAAAATTATTACTTAAATTTTGATTCCAGGTTTTATAACTTTTATCCTGGGTTAAGTAAGTCAAATAAATACATCTACTATGAAACATTAACTCATCTTAAATGAGTTATATGTAATTTACATATTTAAAAAATGTACCATTTTGGCGCCCTACTACTTGGGCACCCCCTGTATAATTCCAAATATTTTTAGGTCCAAAATTGCCCCAATTTGTAACTAAAAAAACGCATTAAAAAAAATCTTCGAAAATAAATATCACCGAAAAACTCAAAATGTCAAATTTCGTTTTCATTTTCCCTTGCCTACACGGTCCGAAATGAACGGTTTTCGTTAGCACCTTCTATGGGCACTTTTTGGAGAATCTGAATCTTTTATCGCCATTTCCATAACACGCTACATGTAGAAGGGGCAGACTACTACTGTCTTACGTCTTATGGACGCCATATTGGAATTTTACGAAATGAGATAAGACGATAAAAAAAGAAATTCATTTCAATGTATCGTCATTATAGCCATATTGATTCAGCAAGATCTAGTTACCCAGATGTTTTGCTGAGAAATGAGTGTAAAACGTTCGATTTTGAAATTTTACTTGTAAATTTATGTAAAAGTGTCACATGTCATTATTTTTCTTTTTTTGTGCTGTCTCTCATTCAACAAAAGTCCAATATGGAGTCCATAAGAAATTAACTAGTAGCCTGTTTTATTTATGAAAATTCTGATAGCAGATTTGGATTCTCCAAAAAAAAGGTGCCCACAGAAGGTGCTAAGAGGAATCGTCAATTTCCGAAGGAAAAATAAAAACAAAATTTGATATTTTCAGTTTTTCTGTGATATCTCAGTAATTTTGAAAGATTTTTCAAAAAATTCAAATGCGTTTTTTTAGTCACAGAAAGGGGCAACTTTGCCCCCATTTAACCGACACTATGTCTCACTATTACAGAGATCGCAATGGTGAGCCACGAATTTGAACTTTTGCAGGTACTCACAATTTATGAAACAGTAAATGGAATTTGACCACCTCAAAACGTTTGACTACGATTCTCGAATTTCTTTTATAAACAATTTGAAACGATTTTCTCAATTCAGTTTTTAATCTAGAACAAACTAGTTAGTTATTTAGCGGGCAGTTTTACTGTTAAAATTAATTTAATATTTTGAGCCTTGGTCTCAAGACTTGAAATATAGCCCTATAGTCCGTCTCACCTTGACTTTACAAGACAGCTGGTATGAGTCAAAGAAATCCAGTCCTTTCATTAAAAAATTCAAATATATTAATAACCCTTGTCACATTCGACGTAAAGAGCTTCATTTAAAGTGAGTGAATTGTTGTGGGCCATCCGGCTGCTAAAGCCTCAAATCCAGATGGCGCCCAAAATGGCGACTAAAACTCACTGTAAGATCCTTTTCTTGTTGTAAACAAAAATATTTTTATTTTATTTTTATTTAGTACATACGTTTTACTATTTATACTATTTTATCAAAAAATGTGTAACCAAAAAAATCAAGATGGCGGTCAAAATGGCGGTAGAAACTTGGGTTAACTAATTTCTTTAATTGCGAAGAAAAAAATTTGCATTTTTTTTATATGGGGGTTGTACAAATTGGTTAAAATGAGTTTGTCTATCCATTGTTAATAATACTTTCGAAAAAAATAAATCAAAATGGTTCCCAACATAAAGGTATTTTTATGAATTGATGATATTTTAATAGCAAATTATCGAAATTATTTGAGTGCAGAGAAGTATTAAGAGGTAATTTATTTTACAAATAGAACGCTAAATATTGTTTACACAGCGTTTAAAACACGCGCGTAATTACCTAAGGACCTTTTAGCACGGCGACAACGCGAATCTGCTGGATACAGATACGACAAACGTCTGGCAAGTTTTAACTACAGCGCGTTCGCACCTCCAAATGCAGTATGGTGCTTATGGACATACAGTACTTACATGCTTGCCAAACGTGACAATGACAGCACAAGGAGATTATGTTTTGTTTTAATACTTCAATTTAATCATATGTCAATTTGACATCAATGCGGTCAGACACAAGGATAGTATAATCGCAGAATGACGCAAACTAGTAAGAGAGGCAATTAGTCCATAAGCGAACGCGCTATAGTTTAAAAAAAGTGCCAAATTCTTGACACAACAGTTTAACGTCTTCGCTTTTTTACTCTTGTTTGTGTTACTAATAATTCATATACTGTTTAAAGTCTATACAGCTCCTTATCCAATCGAAACGAAAGAATAAGAATTAAAGTTTTTGACAGTTTTACATCCTTTATGCCTAATGTACATTTGCAAAATTTTAACGAAATCATAGTAACCGTTTTTTTAGTTTTTTAACTTTGACATTTCTCACACAATTTTTGTAGGTTACACACAGAAAAATAAGGTCTTTAAAATAAAATTTTAGGTTGCTATTTGAAAACAAAAGTGCGATGCCATTGCGTATCAATTTTGAGGTTTGAAGAACAGTACAAATTACGACCTAGAGAAGAGTTTTCATATTAAATTATTCGATTTCGTACCCAAAATTACATCAAGTGTTCATTAAAAATGTTAATTAATTCTTTGGAATCGTGGAGGCGGTTTAGGCTGCCTAATTTCTCTAATTATTCAGATTTAGGTCATTATCGAGATTTTCGTCGAGGCGTAGGCCGGATGTGCCCTAGAAAAATTATAATTATTTCTTTTAAAGTGTTTTGTGGGTGGTTTAGTGATCGTTTGCCATTGCACATAGCAATATGTGTCATAGTTTTTGACATATGACAATTTTTCTGCAAAAATTTGAAGACGCTAGGAACCATTCAAACATTCATATCTTTTGAAACATTCAAAATAAGTGTGCTCCTTTTTTTAATTGCATCCTAAAAGTCTAAGGATTTTTTTAGAGTTTCTAGGGTTGCTACGAGTTTTTAAAATTAGCGAATTAATTCGAACACTAAGATGGCCCTATTTTACATTTGATTCAAATAACAAAACGATTGTTTCAGTAGCCTACTGCACCTAATGGAAAAATAATTAATTAAAAATGTCAATAATTCAAAAACTACTGGATATAGGCATACAGAATGTTAATAAAAGTCTGGAATCAAAAATTGTTGCACTTTAAAAAATTGAAGTAATTAAATAACATTGAAAAGTGTAGTGTTATCTTACTCTAGATTGAACACTGCTTTGAGAAAATTGTTTTAGAAGTCATCGTTAATAACAAAAAAAAAATGGTTTACTAAAAAGAATTGTGAGTGACTTTCTCATACCCGAGAATGAGCAAGGTGGTCAATATTTGTAATAAAAAGCAGTATAAGTATACCCACCTGAGACTGTTCTTGATATGCTATCCTTCTTGGTGACTCTTGCAATGCAACAGTCCGTATATGTAATTTCTGAATTTCATCTATTGTACCTATGGTAACTGAAGTGTCCGTCGCTAACGCTAAACTGTAAACAAATTCCGAAGGATTATTACCACCAACGTCAAATGTGGACACTATCAAACCTGTCCGGGAAAGCTTCTGCGTTTAGGGAGCACATGTGATTTACTTCTTTCATATTGACATTCGAAAAGACTAACTTATGATTCGATGAGTATATAACGGTAGGTCTATCTGAACAGGCGAAGACGTTTGTAGTGCTAAGGGATTTAAATGTTCTTAAGGCGGTGGGTTGTGTGCCTAGGGTGACTTTCTTCTTATCAGTTAATACACCGGATTCTCTGTGTAACGAGAAGTAGAACATGGATCCGTCTCCAAGAGCACATAGAAGATAGGTATGATTCTCAAAAGTCGTCATCAGTACAGATCTAGGGATGATTTCTAGAAAGTAAAAATTTTTTGATCCACTTCAAGATGGCAAATACAAAACACCAGAAATAAAGTGAGATGATATTTTTATTGTGGTGGTGAAAAAAATAATCAGTTTTTTGAACAGATACTCCCAACAAAGGAAGAATTAAACTAATACCAACAGCATCAGTCTTAGTAATTCTGACACAAATATTTCCATGAATATTACATACCTCCACCCAGATTCTCTTTGTAGACTTCTGCAAGATCCGGCAGTTTGAGAATACAGGCGGAAATGTCAGTCCATAATCCAACTGCGACCAATTGCGACGACGTGGCGTTATTACCAAGTGGACTTATATCCAAGCATGCAATTTCAACATTCAGAGTAGTGTGTCTGAAAGTCAATCATAGAGCATTTACCGGCTTACTATCCCTCACCCTTTCATTATGAGCTCGTTCTGATGTATTTCGATATAGTATAAATCGGAACCGGTCGAAACTACAACCTGCTCCGAATTGGAGGCGACGACGCTTATATTTTTTTCAGTAGGCGGTTTCCACTCCGCGACGAGCGTTTTATTCTGAGCGGACACTAGCCGCGCGGAAACGGGCGTGACCTGTATAATTTGTTCGTATCTAACGTTGCCACAATAGAAAGTTTGTTGGTCAGATGTGAATCCAGCGATTTCCGTTTCCTCAACCTCTTCTCCATTGAGACTTAGAACCCTTGTTTGGCCCACAAATGCCAGCACCAACGTGTTATCATGTTTTCCATCTAAATAAACAAACAAATTTTATTAATAATACACATGGTTTTTTAAACTGATTTATTTATTGAAACAATTGTTTATAACAACAATACCAATTCATCTATTATCCTGTGGCCGTTTTTGATATCCGTGATTGTAATGAAGCCGGGCTCTACCTACCTATTTATTTCAAAACCGAGGTTTTTAATTTGGAAAAATATATAATCTCATATTGTATAATGTACCTACATAATTATGAGGACATTAGCTTGCTAAATTAATGGTAGTTCTGGAAATAGGCTTACTTTATGTTATTTGGGTTGCTGAATCCAAATTTTTAACTTCCCACCAGAAATTCCCTCCGCAACTCCCCCTCAAATCTTGAAAATAAGAAAAAAATAGTACATTATATATCAAGGTAGAGAAATACAGTATTATTGCCTGAGCACCAAGATTACATCTCGAGGCGCTTGCGCCGAGGGGTGTAAGGTGCGAAGGCAATAATAGACTTCTCTACTGTGGTATATATACTATTTTTTCACTACTAGCACTGGAAGTCCTCTAAATTAACATATTATATTGACAAGAAAGTGAACGGTTGGACAGAATTTTTTGTTTATTAATTTAACATGTCAATCAAGTACGTGGAAGTACAAGTCAAACAGGCCGTATTTTGTTCTGTCATTGAGATATTTTTAAACACAATTCAACTCATGTATAAAAAATCGCATAAGCCGCAGTGCAATTGTCACTTTGACAGCGGCAAAAGTTACCTACAACTTTTCCAGCGACAAATTCACTAGTGGTTTTTTCACTTATTCATTTTCGAACCAATTATCGCATTATCCTTTCCCATATGACTAGTCTGACGTCTGTCAATAATTGATTAGTTTGGTGAATTTCTTGTTCGTTAAATTGTCCTGCCGAATTACACTCGAGGTTTGTATTTAAACCGAGTAAATTTGGGTTGTTGGAATTCAAATCTGTTTCCTTTTAGCAAGTGAACTCGAAAAACTGTCAACCTAAAAATGTTCCACCTTCGGTGTCGCATTTTTATTAGTTGACAGTTTGTCTCGTCTAATTGCTAGGCAACAGATTTTCATTACCTAAACAACCCAAATTTACTCGGTAAAATACAAACCTCTTGTGCAATTATAAGTGAGTAATTTCGTTCGAATTGTTTCAAAATGTGATAATTTTAGGTATGTAATTTCTCTGGAAATGGGGGATGGTGGCAATTATTCATTTTAGAGAACTTGTCCAAACGTTTATTGAGCGAAATTTCGGGTTGTGTTTTCTAAAAGTGACAGCGTGACAGTTCTCATTATTGACTACTAGTTAATAATGTCCACATTATTAACCACTTTGAACAAATGCCGAGAAAGCCTACTTTACAAGTGGAAAAAAGGTTAATAATCATGTCATCAGACGCTAGTAGTGAAAAAAATGTTTTTTTAAGAAATCGTTTTTTTGATGCACCAATAAAATACCTACAAATTGGAAATGTAGATAAAGTATGCAACCAAAAACGTCCTAAAACATTTTGACATACTACGCACGTAGGGGGCGCTGGCGTGCCTTGAAGTATCCGCATTGGCGACTCGGGCCGAGTTAAGAACTTCGCTTACCATCCCACGGTGTTCATGATCGCTCTTCCTTCCCTCCCTTTATCTTTCATTTGAACCTCCCCCCCCTAATCTCTTTTATTTTTCAACATCTGGAAGTCAACTCCCAACCTCCAACTTTTCCTCACCTACTTTCAGACAAGTTGAGAATGAAGAAACACATCGACATATTTAAAAAATATAGAAAGAAGAGAGATTCAGTCTACATTTCCCTACAACTGCCATAATATCGTCCTGTACTGGGAGGGGAGGGATTCCATTCTCCCAAACCCCCCGGTGATGTGTTCAGCCTGAAAGCGTTCACCCTTAAAACCTTTTCCAAAAATTATTGTGTAAGTGGTAAGAATACTACATACTACATTTTGGTGTAGAATGTTGAACCGGAGGGGTCTGGGAGGTTGGGAATACTCCCCAAGAAAGACACATCATAGAACCTTCGGCTCTGATGGCATTCCGTACTCCCCGTTGATGCGTTTTGGTTCAGTCCTTAAGATTGTTTCAAAAATTATGGTCCAAGCGGTAACGGTACCACACATTTTGGTAAAAAATATACTGGGGGGGAATCCATTCTGCCAGACCCCGCCCCCGTTCTGCTTCAAAATGTTCTGTCCTTAAGTTGCTATAAATATGACACGACACAGGGTACTGGGTCGAATTCTCGACTAACATGATTGTTGTAACAGAAGGCATAACAGGGGAAGGGATGGACCAAGAAATTGAACATCAAAGGCAGTGATAGACCATGCAATGATTGTCTGATGTCCCGGTGTGTGTGTGACACCAAGGCCATGTTCTGAGACGCGTTAACGCCAAACCCATTCGCCCTATGATCTTTTTGTAGGCAATTTTGTCTTTTGTCCGAATTTTCAGATAGTGTTTCACTGAAATACACAAAATAAAGGTTTTTTTTCGAAAAAAAACAAACGATATTTTTTCTATTTTTCAAAATTTGGGGGGTTGCGGGGGGAATTTTTGGTGGGAAGTGGAAAATTCGGATTCATCGTCACGCAAAACATAAAACCAACCTATGTTCAGAACTACCATGAATTTTGCATCCTAAAATTATACAGTGTGTCCCAAATCGGGTGGGATTGCATGGGTAACTTTCTTATTATTAAAGATAGAGAATTGGTTAAATGGGCAATGTTTTGCAGTTTTGGATGCTTATTTAAAATTTTCTTATGGAAATTCAAAATGTCACATAGGTTCGACGTACATTCAAAAAAACTGAAATTGACCATTTCCTTGAATGTATTATATCATCGAAAGTATAAGAGATATAAAAAAATGTTTTATATAAAAGTGACTGTCTTTGATACGCTTAATTTAGAATTGATGTCAAAAAAATTCAAGATGGCCACTTTTGAGGAACATTTACCAACTTCCTAAAGTTAAATGGGCGCCATATTGGATTTTTAGATTACTTGATAGATTTTTAAATTCTCTTTTCAACGAGCTATTATAACATAAGATTGAAAATAAGATACCAGTTATATTAACGGTTTTTGTATTTTAATCAAGTAGTCTGTGACGAATAAAAAAAAACAAAACAAAATCTATTCGAGGCAACAAAACAATGAAAACAATTACACCAGATGTTTAAAATACTGGCCATTATTAGTGAAACACACTTCGAGACAGTTTAGTTTAGGCAACGTGTTGCCATTGATGATTATTATTATTATTGTAGTGGTAGCTACTTCCACTTTACTTTTATTTTTTAATTAAGTAATTACTTTTATAATTTAATGTACTGTACATAATTCGTGAATTGTGACCTGAGCAGCCAGTTTGTTGGTAGGTAGCATAAACTAACCCTTCCTTCGAAACATACGTTGTCGAGAAAAATCCTTTAAGGAAGTTTATTGGAGAATTTGTAAATAATGGTGAGCAGTTAAAGATCCATCGAAGATTATCGGTCCAATTACATGACTTCCCATTATGCCATAAAATACATTACATAATTTAAAAAAATATTACTTGATTTCGGCGTGAAACTACAACATGTAGGTTTTCCTGTGACGAGTAGTGTTCATAACGTCGATTTGAACACTTCGCAGTTAGAAAAATAAGATTCATCTGTCCATATACTTGGACTGGTAAAACTATTAGTTTCGATATTCTTGCGGATAAACCACCTACAAAATGTTACCTGGGACAATGCATCAATGGTAATACATTGTGTAAAATTAAGCGAAGTGTCTTGAAATGTCTTTAACTGGATAATGGCATGACTTTTTTCGAGGGGATAGTTTGTAGTTATACCACCATTTGTAGGTCTGTGAGTATGGATAATAAGTCAATAAGTGATGTTATAAAAATCAAATTTTTCTAGACCTAATGCTTATATAACATTTTGGAGGGAGTTGTAATGCCCAAACCCCCCCTCTCATGAGTGCGTCCCTGATTTTTTTAAACATCTGATGTAATTATTTTCATTGTTTTGTTGCCTCGAATAGATTTTGTTTTGTTTTTTTTAATTCATCACAGCCTACTTAATTAAAATATAAAAACCGTTGATATAACTGGTATCTTATTTTCAATCTTATGTTATGATGGCTCGTTGAAAAGTGAATTTAAAAATCTATCAAGTAATCTAAAAATCCCATATGGCGCCTATTTAACTTTAGGAAGTTGGTAAATGTTCCTCAAAAGTAGCAACCTTAAATTTTTTTTTGACATCAATTTTAAATTAAACGTATCAAAGACAGTAACTTTTATATAAAACTTTTTTTATATCTCTTATACTTTCGATGATATAAGACATTCAAGGAAATGACCAATTTTAGTTTTTTTTGAATTTACGTCGAACCTATGCGACATTTTGAATTTCCAAAAGGAAATTTTAAATAAGCATCTAAAACTGCAAAACATTGCCCATTTAACCAATTCTCTATCTTTAATAATAACAAAGTTACCCATGCAATCCCACCCGATCTGGGACACACTATATATTTCCTGGACTAACTACTATTTGACAAAGAATTCGAAAATGTTACACAAGCATGGATTATGAGTTCAATGACATTTTTCCTTCCATGACCTACTCCATATTTCCTTAAGGACTGCGAAGATAAAATTACATTTAAACAGAAAAGCAAAAAAACTACGTAGGTATTCCTGATCACTGCAAAGATTAAAAGTTGACGAAATGTTAAATTAAAAAGACAATTGGAAAGACCTATATCCATTCTACTACCTAGATCATACCTGGCAATTTTGGTATCAAATGATAACGTCGTTACTTTTTTTTAAAATCTACCTTATGTTTGAAATTTGTTCTTAATGACTTAATTCTCAAAACCTTTGAATACCAGGTGATCCAAAAATATTGCGGACAATTGAATTTCCCTCAAAACAAACATTTATTATAAAGCTGATTACATGCCCAGGTAACATGCCAAAGCCATCAGTACCCTTGCGTTTTGGGGTAGAAGTTGACACAGAGGCGGTCTAGGGGATATGGAATACTACTCAGAAAAAAAGAATTTACGATTTAAGACCTATTTTGGGCAATAAAGTAATAGATGCCAACTCTTCGCCGCCGAGACCTTCATTTCCGTGAATATGGCGGCACAATATTTTAAATATAAATGTTAAATTATGATTATAAGGGCAATAAAATTCCGCTATGTTGTTGTACAAGTTGAAAGCGATTATAATTTTACAATACAATGCAAATCTAGCATCTAGCACTTTTCAGTAGCTCTTTTTCCTTCCTTGATCACTAAAGACCCTAGAGCTACTCTCGTGCCGGTGAGGCAACTCTTGTTTGTATTTTGAATAATGAGTGTTTTTAACACATTTAGTTAAATTTCACTCCTCAAAATAACGTAATTCCTACCTACCACTACAGGTTTGTTACTTGGGGATCATATGCAATGGGTTTCAGTTAGTTAGTCCTTGGTTCGAATCCGGGTTTGGGCATGGAAATAAATTAAACAAATATAACAACTGTTCTAAATGTATTCGGATTTAGTGAGGTTCTACTGTACTGCTGGGTTATGCTTATTACATGCATGACTCATACATAGACCATTTTAGAATAATCTGCCTAGCTGCAGCCATTATCTTACAGTACGGCGATTTAATCGGTGCAAACCCCTGCTCTGCTTATATTCAATTTGAAAGATTGGACTCTTTTTAAATAAGTTCAGTACATCCAAATTAATCTTACATATAATAAATAAGAGAACCAATACAACGGTTTTGCAATGTAATTACCTGAGGCAACTGTTAACGCCCACATTCCCTTAATTCCTGGTAAATCAATTGAGGCATGTTCTTGTATTCCGATACCATTCCTTATAATTCTTAAAGAACCCTCTTTGTAGGCACCCGAACAGGTAACCAACTGGCCTTGCCCTTGTCGTTCCAAATCGACAACGCACATGTCCATAATAGGTGCCAAATTTGTAAACGACTCCATTATAGTCACATACGATCCATTATCATCTGCCTTTGTATTTAATTTGACAAGTTGCGAATCGCCCATCCTCGAACCGATGTACAACACACCGTTATCCAAATACGTAATGCACTCAGGAGATGATATCTCACCTAAAGCGCCAGTTACTTACTTAACAATATAAGCGAAGTAACAGCTTACCTAATAATTCAACTTTGAGATCCTTAACTACATCCGAGCCGTCTCCTTTTGTTTCCACATCAAGAAACAACATAAAAAGATGTCCGGCCATGTCGCCCAAAAGATACCTTAAACCGCTTGGATCGACTTTTGCGTAACAAATAATCGTACTTTGCTGTAAATGCTAGGTTACCACCAGATCTGCTGCTCGTAAGTGCTTACCTTAATAATCGGTGGGGCTACTGCAACTGACGTCATACCGTCGTGATACAAGATGCTTTCTTGCCCGACAATTATAGCACCACAGAGAGGAGACGGAACCGGTATAATCATCGATGCTTCAGTTTCCACATTGTCTTGACGCCATGGTATTTTAACAAACTCTTTATCACGCAAGGAAATTTCATGTGTTTTCACATGTCTGCCGTTCACATCTTGATGTATTAAAACAATCGTAGGATTTGCACATCCGTGTAAAAATTCTACATCGGTAACTTGCAGTTCATCCATTCTAAAACACTAAATAAACAACTGCCGTTAATAAAGTGAGTTTCACCTAATGCTCGACGCCTTCAATTCGCTGTTTTCTTTATCTAGCGGTATTATTTTAAAAAGACCATCATATAAACGTAAACCAATTACTCTCGCTCTTGGATCAATGACAGCAATTATACCCGTGTCCGATGGCTTTCCGATACGATCCGCAACATTACCGTGAGCTTTCGTTATTATTTCTAAGTTATCGTCATCACTCACACACTCTAATATCATAGCATGATAACGCATGGTAACAATAAATAGGTAATCTTTATTCTCTTGCTAAAAACGTATGCGTATTAAGTGCTACACAAATGAGACATTTACTTGTGGACGATACAATTTCATAACCGCTACTTTCCCATATAGACCCACCTCCTTTATGGGTCTCAAACCTTCGGGAGTAACTAAATATATCTCCAAGCGGGAATTTTTCGCTACAATTAAATTAAGATCGTTGGGAGATGTGAAGTTCCCTAAAAGGTTATGTTTAGCCTCAAACTTGGAAAAACTCTCGTTACTCACCTGTAACGCAGGACGTTACTGCGGTAGGCTTGTGAGCCGTGACTACATAATGAAACGCCATCGTAATTGCTATTGTCGCGCTAAAGTTTCATAAAACGAGACATAAAGCGTACCGTTCAATTCACAAAACGCGGTTAAGCGTGAAGTTTGCTTGAAGTATAATAAAAACAAATTTTATAGTGACAGTGTCACCAACCGACAAAAAATTACTTCACATACCGAGCCTAAAAATGTACAGGAGCTATCGTCAAATTTTATCTCGTTTTAAGCATACAATGGTTTAAGATAAAGCAAAGCTTTTTTCTTAAGGATCACAGTAGACTGCTAGTTTGAGAATAAGCCGGCCCGTGTGGCGCAGTTCAGTTGAAGCTGGACTGTGGTGCTAGGGTCCCTGGTTCGAATCCGGGTTCGGGCATGGATATTTTGTAAATGTATAGTGGGTTGGGTTGGTAGAGCAGCCTTGGCTGAAACCCCGCCCACTCAAAAATAAAGGCAAATAAATAAAAAAAAATAATCCAAAATAGTGAAGTAGTTTAAAATGTATTATATTGTTTTAGATAACGGTAGTTACAGAGTTTTAATTTATTTGTGATAAAATTTGCAGTACGTTAGCTTTCTTTATTAATAAATTGCTAAATAAGTTAAAAGTCAAAGGAAAATTGTTTTTAAACAAATTATATTATTTACACTCATTATTTAAAAATAAATGAAAAAACAAAATAATCTAGGCACGATTCAACATTGACCTAGACGTTCAACTGTTAATGCTCTACCACTCAACCTAGTACACCATTCCACACGTTATTCACAGAGACATATAAACAGAAAAATAATTTTGTTTACAAGTTTACACATAAATTACAGTTTATACGTTTGAATCGAACGTCACCTAAATTTAAACTTGGGATTGTTTGTTGATGGTCTGTGGTTTAATGTAATGTGTGTTGCCTAACCTAAGCACATCGGCACGTGGGCTGTACAATTAAACTTAAACAACAAAATTTGTTGACATTTGTTTTTTTACCGGATGAGAAATTCTTGTTCTTCTTTGGGTAACCTTGTTTTTTTGTTTCCTAGGCAAAGGTTATACCATTTTATGAACAATTATCTATGAAATGTTAACCACCATTCTATGTTTACGTTTATAGTGAGTTTTGTAGTCTGTGTTTCACATTCCTTGTTCAATAAAACTTCTCCAATTTTCCGTAAGTTATTTTACTTTGTACTATTTTAGTTAGTAACGCATATTCCCGCGTTTTACCACAATTAAGAACAAACATGAACGTCAATTCACAAGGTCCTAACCTAACTTTTTAATTATTCAATTGATCCCGTAATACCGTACAGGGCATCCTTTATAATATAATAAAGAAAACACTGTAATTCTACATACGTTTATTATATTTTTATTTAAATTAACTACCCACTGCAAATCGTTTGCGAATTTTGTTTATTAAAGATTTATGAATAATTGCGTATATACAGTGTGATTCAATACCAGTTGTAGGTACATGATTAGCAGTAGCGAACTGAAGTAATCTGTACAGCTTACTTAAAGCATTGTATATTTAATACAATGCTTAAAGCGAGGATCTGGACCGATTAAGTTTTATCTTTGTTTTACTGACCTTGTAAACAAAAAATTTGAGTTTCAGAGTACAGCTAAGCGCCTTTTAAATGCTGAAAGTTTGAAATTCTAGTCATGTGCAGTAGGTGCTTTTCTTGAAAGTGAATTAACTTTCAACTTTTCTGTTGGGACGTGAATAAATCACCTTCAGCTAAAATTTTAGGGCTGCCAATTGCAAAATTGGACATTTAAAATCAATGTAGCGTTTTATGTTAATTATTGTGTTAACAGACGTACAGGCAGTTTAGTGAGCGAAAATTACAACTGCACAGAAACAAAAGAAAAACAAGTTATGAGAGACCTCTATCTAACCTATATTTTTTAAGTTGGTATTGGCAAAATTGCACTTGCAATTGCAAATTTTCCGGGAAGTTATTTTACATTCACTTTCGAGTTTCATGTAAAACGGGCTTTCAGTACATTCAAATATCATCATGATCTTTTTGGGTTCATTGTTGAACAATGGAATTTTGTAAACATTCGTGAGCACACTTGAAATTTTTGAAGTTAAATCATTTTCAAAAAATTAATTTTTTAAACATGTTATAAAATATAAGCTAATAACATTTGAAAAATTAATTTTTTGAAAATGATTTATCTTCAAAAATTTCGAGTGTGCCCACGTATTTTAGCTTTTATTAAACAGTAAAATGTTTGCCCTCAAGAAAGGATCATAAAATGTAATCGACCCCAAATCCCTAATGCAACAACCTTGCCTTGAACGTGCCAATATTTGTTTTGCGATGTTCCTAATAAAAATTATTTTTGAAATTGGAGACAAAATGTCTTAAAGAGGGAGGTTTTAGATTTTCAAAATGCGCCGTTCCACAAGAAGGAAAAAGCCATTGGCTATTGTCAATGATGAAGATGAGGATATAGCAGAAGAAATATCGGCAGTAGAACAAAACAAAAAAATGGGGGACGCTCAAGATTCATCAAGCGACAGTGATATTGAGAACTATCTGCAGCCAGTTGACAAACTAGATCTAGATTCCTCATTTTTTCAAATTCAAAAATCGCCAGAGATCCAATCATTTGAATCCATCGAAAAAGATATATTCGCCGGTACGAATAGACTAAGCGATATGGATTCAGATGAAAGTGATCCAGAACAAGAGCCAACGCCCACAACTTCCAAACTTAATTTTGATCAATTGCACAGTTATACAAATAAATTGGACCAAATGAAGCAAGCTATTCAAAACTATAAAACAAAGCAAAAAGTAGCAGATGCAAAAGCAAAACCACATTCGGATAATATATCAGATTTATTAGCCCTCGGTGAAATGCAAGTCGATAATCCAACTGATAATCACTCGCTACATTCGAGCGATTTTCACTCTTGTTCGGAAGTAGAAGACAACGATTGGGAAGAGGTTGAAGATAAGCTAACCAAACCATCTACCTCGCTAGTAAAGGATGGAATACAAATTACGGTTTCGTTGCCAGATACAATGAAGAAGAAAAAAGGAGTCGACTTACTTGCATCACTAAAAAGGCGTTTGAACCGCATAAAAAAAGAGCATCAAGTATTGATTCATAAAGTACACCTATTGTGTTGGATTGCTCATGGGAATTATATAAATAAGAATCTAAATAGTGAAACTATACTTGGTTTGGCGTTGTCTCTCATCCCATCTCAACATTGTTATCCCCCCGACCGGACAGATTTAACATATTTAGAACAAATTTTAAATTGGTACAATAAAGTGATGGATCTTTCCGAAAAATTAGTTTCAAAGCAATGGTCATTGGAGAAGGTGTTAACATTGCAGTTGACACGTAGACAGGCATACAATAAGAAAATGTTTACATATATCTTTATATGCATACTACGTGCACTTGGCATACAATGCAGGCTGGTACTGTCTTTTCAAGTGTTACCACTTCGACCATTAAGCAATGAGCTTCATTCTTTAAGTACCAAAGCAAATAATAAAAATGAAGTGAAAACGGATCACAAAACTACTAGCAAAATATCAGAAAAAAATGAACCCAAACAAGACACTACACGAAAGAAGAACTCAAAAGAACAGATCGAAAAGAAAACCACTGAAAACAAAAAAGCTAAATCAGATAAAGTAGAGAAGGTTGGTAGTGGGAATAGTACGAAACAAAGCACAGAGAAAACAAGTACCAGTAAGTTACCATCAAGCACCACACAAAGGGGAAAAACGAACCCCAAACAGTCTAAAAGGCAGTTGGCCCAACTGGATGGTGCAAATGATAGCAGTGAGGCCGAGAAGTCCACCAAACCCAACTTAAAAAACCTATCTAAGGAAAGCAAGAGACAATGCCCCAAAAATCACCCCAAACGTCTGAAGAAAACACCGAACTATAGAGAAACACATTCTTCGAGTTCGGAAGAAGAGCGCGAGGAAAAAACGCAACGTCTGATAAATTTACAAAATCTGAAGGATAAACTGAAACCCAGATCCAAAGCGTCAAAGTCCAGTGACGTAAAGAATGAAATTGTTTCTATAGTAAAGACGCGAATTAAGAAGGAAAAAGAGGCGAGTCGATCTAAGCTCGCTAAAAGTCGCCAGTCGAAAGGAAAGTCGGAGGAAGATAGCGATTACGCACCGGATCCCATTCACAAAAAGTACGACAGCGACGATGATTTTCAGCAAGACAAAGTCAAAGTGAAGAAACGCATCGAGGTTAAACGGAATCAGCCAGAGTCGGAAAACGCGACGAAAGGTATGGATGTGTGGGTGGAAGTTTATTTAGAAGCTGAAGAGAAGTGGATCAGCGTCGATGTTGGAAAAAACCAAGTTCACTGTGTGAATCAGTTATACGTAGGTAAATTAGTTAGTGGTGTATGTTCACTTTGTTTTTGTAGTCACGTGCTTCTCACCCTGTTTCCTATGTAATTGCATGGAATAATAACAACTCCATTAAAGATATAACGCAGCGTTACTGTACAAATTGGAACACAACCACTCGTCTGCTGAGAGTTGACGCAAAGTGGTGGAGTGCCACTTTGAAACCGTACACGGGAGTAAAAACCGCAAGAGATAAAGAGGAAGATGAGGAATTAGCGCAGTTACAGCTTGATAAACCGCTACCGTCCACAATTTCAGAGTAAGCTTTTAATCTTTTGAAGTGTATTTTTGAAATTGTCTTTTAAGGTACAAAAATCACCCGCTGTACGTGCTCAAACGCCATCTGCTTAAATTCGAAGCATTATACCCTCCCGATCTTCCACCGGTGGGTTTCATCCGGAACGAACCTGTCTACCCGCGCGAATGTGTGCATGTTTTGCATTCACGCGAGATCTGGATGAAGGAAGCGAAACAAGTGAAACCCGCTCAGCAACCTTACAAGATTGTTAAGGCAAGACCAAAGTACGATAAGGTAACGTCCATGTTGCAACTCTTGAAATTTGAAACACGTCTTTGTAGCTTTCTGGTAAGGTAATTACGGATCTTCCTCTCGAAGTGTTCGGCATTTGGCAAGTTGAGGATTACATTCCCCCCACTGCTGAGAATGGTGTTGTTCCACGAAACGCCTATGGAAACGTCGAGTTGTTTAAGCCGTGCATGTTACCTAAAGGCACCGTGCACTTACAGTGTAAGTACTTTGTTGAGTCTTTGTGCCACTTAACTGCAGCTCTGATTTAGTGGCGGGCTTAAATAAAGTGGCTAGGAAAATGGGAATCGATTGTGTTCCTGCAGTGGTAGGATTTGACTTTCATTCCGGATGGAACCATCCGACTTATGATGGATTTGTTGTATGTGAAGAACAATCCGAAGCTTTAGTTGCTGCTTGGTTTCAGGTACGATTCTTATGCTGTATGTGTTAGTTAAATTGAGAGGAGTGGAATCTGAAACTTCCTGCTAATTCTCCCTGTATGTGTTGGAATTGGAAAACTTTTGATTATTACAAATTATGTGATTAGAAACTAATAATATTCCGCACTAAATATCACCAATTGCCGAACGATAACCGCTATGTAACAATATCGTTACTCGTTAGAGAATAGGCCCCTAGTATAGGCACCATAACTTTTACCCAAAATCGTCCTGAAACCTTCATTTTCATGCTTACTACTTTCTGTCAGGAAATTTTAGTTTCCATGACAGAAGTAGAGCGGACTACGTTTCCTACCGGTTGTCACTTTACCGGCCGCGTTTATGACATTTGCAAATGTCTATAATGACTCCTGTCATCACTGACAGATTGACATTAATCAAAAGTCCTATATAAAAATTGAAATGTTATATTAAAAAAAGATTTCGGGTAAAATTTAATACAAAACTCGTCAGTAAAATAACATTACCTGACTCGGAAATTAAAGTACTCGGCCCCAAAGGGGCCCCGCACTTCAATATTTCCTCGCCAGTAATGTATCATTTTCCGGACTTTTATGTAAATAACTATTTCTACAGATAATCTGCACGTGAAATTTAACGCTAGTCACAAGGCTGAATGATTCTGGCACATCACCTTTAATAGGATTACGACTTACGAGCAGGTTATGAGGTGTATTGTTGAGTAGTTACCCATTCAAATACGTGTAATAACCAAGAGCAACGTTGCTTGACTGTACAGAGTTAATAACACTATCGTATACAGAAGTCTCGAAACTTGAGATTGTTTTCCATGTGAGAAGTGAGTCCGCTATAGTACCAAAAGTCGTCACGGGCGGCGCAAGAGTCGAGGAATGTTTTCTGGCAACTGTCATGGCTGTCTTGTAATCAAAGAGTACCGCTACGCAAAAAATTGCTGTTTTGGGAAAAAAATGATGAAACCGTGCAGTTTGTCGAAACAGGGTGCATTTTTTAAGTGGCGAAAGTTGCGGAAATTCGTAAAAAGTGGATGCTACCGATTCCGGAAAGTTGTTTTAACGGCGTTTATTGAATCGGATAGAGAATTAGAGGCACATTTCTTCCATTGAATGTACCAGAATGTGCCCTTAAAAATTATAATTTAAAAAAAAAAACGATTTTGCTTTCGTTTTTAAGCCAAAACCTTTCCCGCCACCTCTAATTTTCGTCTACAACAAAGCCGCCTAGCTATTCGTATAAATTAAGTCTTTCGTAGTATATGTTCCGCTGTAACATCATAACTGTCATCGTTTCTATGAATTAAAATAAAACAAAAAGTAAAAAAAAAACGCGTACACTTGGATTCGAACCCGCGTCATCGTGGTCGTAAGTCGGCGATTAAGGCGCTGGTCTCCTTGGCCCGTTAAACGCGCCGGGCGCTTACATCAGGACCCGTGGCCGGCGGCGGTTGCGTCGTCTCTAAGCTCAACTTCGCGCGTTTATCAGCCGACAAAATAAGCGACAAATTACTGTTGCTTTTACTGTTGGAAGAAGAAAGAAGAAAATATTAAGATCTTATTCAGTCAAAAAGTATAGATGAGATATTTCAAAATAGAGATAAACGACGTACCTTTTCAGTGTTACAGGTTCCACTTCCCAAACCTTGTTTTTACTATATTGTCTAGTCCCTATGCGTATGCTTATCGTAAGTAGCGCAATTACACTGTTCACAAATGAAATGTTTGAGAAAGTATAGTGTGCGCTAATAGGTGACGCTTACTTGTAGCCTAATTCCACTGCTAGCAGTGATAGCAAATTATTCAAAGCGGAGTGTGTCAAAGATATATCTCCTATTTTTTAGGTGTGTAATTACACTGTACACAATGGAAATGTTACGCGTTAGACGATGATCTCTTAACATATTCTTATTGTTGGTTGCATAATTGCACTGATCATATTTAAAATTCTTAAAAGTAGCGTGATAAAATGTGACGTTTTAAACTATCCTTGCTCTTTAAGGTGCAATTACATTGATTGAAAATGAAATTTTTGCCAGTGTTTTTACGTAAAAACTACAATATTGATTACTTTGGCCATTGTAAATAAGCAAATGATGGTCTTAGACCACCAATAGTAATTACAATGGACTGCCACCAGAGGTCTCACTATTAATCTCTAAATCCATAGATATATTATACCTAGATACAGCCATCCTTAATAAACGTACGTAAGCATTTAAAAAAACATATCAAAAAAATGTTTACTCTCCGCATGCATTCATTGTTACACACATCAATGTCCTTTCCGTAGAAAAGAAGTTCGTCCAGCCTATCCCGATTTTTGACAACCAAGTCATTAACGTCTTTTCCGACTTCAAAAATAGAAGAATTTATTTACAACAAAAAAGTAGAAATACGATTTTACTTGTGCTCACCCTCTTTCCGAAATCACCAGCCGCCACTGTACTTGAATGCCACTTAATAAGCACTTCATTAATTTGTATACGTACGGGGTGTCCCATTTATCTGGTGACAACTCTTCCAAAAGCGCGATTCTTAATTTGAGCTAGGAAGCTGTTCTGTCAAGAATTTGGCACATTTTCTAAGTTTTTTAATGCATCTTCTTGGGTAAAGCTATTCACAACTTGTTATCTGTTCTTTAGCCCCTCCTCCTTTTCTATGATACCTTATTACTGTACAATTTGTTACAGGATCAAGAAGAGCAAGAGAAGAAAGAGCTTGAAAAGATTGAAAAACGGGTATACGGAAATTGGAGGAAGTTAATTAAGGGTTTACTAATTAGAGAAAGATTAAAAAAACGGTACGATTACGGGGAACCTTCATCACAAGGCGATAGTAAAGGGAAAAAACGAAAGCAAAAGGCTGCAAAATTTGTAACAAAAAAACGACGTATTTGCAGTAATTCAGAGTCAGATTAAAAATGGTATTATTGATTTTTATGTTTGTCTTTTTAAGTATTTTCTGAATAAAATCATGTTTTATTATTCTTCTTCTTAATTATCTTATAAGTATTCTTTGATAATATGTAGCTCAGTCCTCCTGCAATCGTAGTGGCTGCAGTTATATACCTACAATATTGGTTTATTATTTCATTCCACCCAGAGATATTACCAGAGAGATTGCAGCAATGGATGCCCAACGTAATGAAAAACCGGAGCTGCCAGTGTAGAACCCACCAGAGCCAGTTGAACTCCTGTATTAATTTTACTGATAAAAGTCGGCTTAATTTGCACAGTTGCATGTGAAATATCAAAAAGTTTTCCCATAGTTCGCTAGAAACTAAAAACATCACAACCGACAAGTTACCTTAAAAAAACTTACCGGTGATGAGAGTGACTTGTACCTCAGTGCGAGTGCAGCAGCTACCAAAAGGACGTCTCGAAGAAGTATTAAACCAGTAAGGCTCACCGGTATTAAATCTGCATACGTTAAAGATAAAAACAATGTGGCTATTAAAACCTTATCAGCCATTGGATCTAAAAAACTACCCATTATTGATGATTGGCTGGCCCATGTTCTCGCAATCCAGCCATCTAACTTTATATGTACACATTACATAATACAAGTGCAATTATATAATGTACTTACTAAGTCAGTCACTGCAGCTACCCCGAGAAGAGCTAGCGCAAAGTGGAACTCCGCTTGCACAATCAGCAAACCTAAATAAGGCGACAGCAAAATTCGCGAAACGCACAGAAAGTTAGGAATAGTATAGATGTTTTCTCTCTGCAATAATCGGGATAAATTTTGAATCTACCGACTGTTTACCGACCTCTATGACCTCTTCAACTTTCTCTTTAACCTTATTTTTTGTGTCTACAAAGTCTTTTCGTAGAGTTTCTCCGCAAACTTTGATCCTTTGCTCGGTCGCTTTAAGCTTGATTTGCTTCTGCCTTATGTAAGATTGTATTTCCTTCTTCACATTTTTGCTATCAAAAGGAGGCCGGCCTTTGTCATGTACCGTGCAGAGGGTCTGGAATTTGAAACGCTGATGCTTCTGCAGATATTTGTTCATATGAAAGTATGTGAAATTTACTTTAGGGTTATAACTAATAAAAACCATATCACAGCAACCACGTAGACGTGTTTCAAAAAAACGATGTAATATACTAAATGATTTTAAGCTATTCATAGCTAAATTTTAACTCTTTAATTTATTATAAACCAAATAAAAAGACAATTTGTTTACAATTTTCTCAACCCCACATTTCTATTCCACTTCCACAACCCACTGTCCACACGTGATACATTTCCCATTTAATAAATGTTCCAACTGTTAAAAGTCCCGAATGTATAATGCTCCCGTGAAGTTGGCCGTTTCAAATTTTCGGCATGAAAAAAAAACCAAAATTCAATGTACAGTCTCTTGTAAAAGTAATGTCCCTCGGATACCTACCACTGTAGCATAGGCAACCAACATCCCAGCCGACTAGTTCAAGTTGGATTTGCGGGTGTGGGAGGTAGGTAGGTATCTAATGCGGTTCGTTTTCAGCAGGTATTCCCACTTTGCCAAACTAAAAATAAGTAAGTAGAATGAAAATGAATGGCATTTATTAGCTCAAAAGATCTGCGCTGCTTTAATCTATCCTTGGTTTAATACAATAGAAATTTTTACATTTCTTTCAATTGGTTTGGTGCGTTTTAAATTTGGAAATAGTTTAGCTAAAATAATGACCTTTTACTTTTAATTTTTTCGAGTAGATTTTCTTCTAACAAAATAAATGTGATGATTTTATCGTTTTATACTGACATTGAAATTGATGTCTCATTATTAATTACTCGGGCCTCCTAATGGAATGCGATTATCTGCACTGGAAGCGCGACAATGCCGTTCCTTTTGTAACTACCACCTCCCACTTCTTTCAAACCCCGGGATGACACCCGCGGAAAAATTCAGCTGTTTTAATTATTTTTCCCTAATTTCTAATCATTTCACCTGCATGAAAAAGCCGGTTTAACTGGTAACTAATTTTTTTGTCAAAAAATATATGTATAACCTGGACTAAATATCCTTATAATATGCCTACCTACTCAAAAATATGCAACGTAAAAGCTCTCCTAAACTAAATTCGATATTAAATCAACCACGACCAAGTATCACAAATGCATATCATTTAATTTCTGATGCTAGTTACAAAAGAAAGGTATTGTTGCACAGTGCACTTGTAGGGCAATTAATCGCATTCCATGAGGAGACCTACTCGCAAGTAATTATTAATGACACTGGAATTTCAATGTCATTAAAGGACAAGAATATCACCTTTATTTCGTTAGAAGAAAACCTACTCAAAAAATTAAAAAGTGAAAGGCCATTATTTTGTCTTAATAGTCTCTAGCTAAACTATTTGCAAATTTAAAACGCACCAAACCAATTGTAAGAAATGTAAAAATGTTTACTGCACCAAGCCAAGGATATGCAGCGCAGATCCTTTGAGCTAATAAATCGATGGCATTCACTTTTATTCTACTAACTAGTATTTAGTTTGGCTAAATGGGAATATCTGCTGAAAATGAACCGCATTAGATAACTACCTCGCACACCCGCAAATCCAACTTGGACTAGGCGGCTGGGATGTTGGTTGCCTATGCTACAGTGGTAGGTATCCGAGGGACATTACTTTTACAAGAGACTGTACCAAAACGTCCAAAACCACAGAAATTATATACAAAACCAAAAACTCATTTCCATTGTACCTCTGTCTTTTTCTGAAAATACGGTTCTGAAAGATCAGGGTAGGCAGATTGTGATTTGGTAAATTTAATTATTACCGAAAATAGTGAAGGTACAAATGTAAACGAGTTGATACGTTGAACTACATTGAATTTTGCTATATTTTGAAATAGAAAAAAGGAAACAAATTTTCCTTGTGTTATTGCCTAGATATTAACATTACGAACTTATAGCAATTTTGGAAATTCTTTCAACTTCATTTATAGATAAATTATTTCATATTTGGGAAGAAAGACTTAAAAGAACGCGAAAATTAAATGGTAATGATAGGCAGCCCACAATACATCAAGTCCCCCAGCAAATATCTGTAGCTGTGCATACATATTACCATTGTATTTTTATGTTTATAAATACAATGATATTACTATTGAATAAAATTATAGGATATTACCTATAATGTGTCTTTATCATTCATAACCGGTATATATATTAGGTACCTACTGATAGAAGATGTGCGTTATAATAGACAACTTTACATACTCCGTTTTGAAATAAATATCATGTACTTACCGAAATATTTCAACAAAAAATCAAATCAAAGTTGTGTACTTTGTCAACACTGCAGCAAAATTTTCCAGTCGCAGATAGAAAGATTACAACATTCAGTACCTGGTCATCCAACATCATGTGGTTTACCGTTTTCCCAATGAAATTAGTCTTAAATGAAGATTTATATTCAAACTTGCACGTCCAACACTATTTAGTTTTTTGCTCATCAATAGGGAAATATTCTACAGCTTTCCCACCAATGAAATCTTGTCCTGTACAGTGGCGGAAAGAAATAATAGCAATTTTCATTTTTCAAACACCTTAAAAATAAACAATTTAAATAAAAGTTAATTTCGCCTTAGCAAATATCTTTCAAAGGAGATTCATAATTATAATAACATCAATGATGATTTTATAAGTATCAATAATAATGAAAGTGCTATTTAAGTTAACAACAAAGAAAGGGCTGATCCATCACCAAGATGAGGGTAATTACAAATTAAGTGACACATTACATACTCGTTCTTGGCTAAAATAAATTAAAATATGAAAAATAAATAGGACACTCAGTTATAACTTTAATTAAGTTGCAACAATGAACTTCTCAGTTTGGTACATTTCATACGCAAATTCCTCTGTGTGATTTGGATTGTACTCTAATCCAATATAATCGATTTCTAAAGAAAAACCTCCCTTTATTTTATCACCCACTGATATACCAAAATGAGTCACTCTGTTTAGCGGAATTGCATACTGTCTATCTTGTATTCGTCCTTTGGATGTGAAAAAAAATTTTGAAAACGGTATCTAAAAAAATAGCCATATATATTTAAAATTTAAAAACTCCCGAGTTACTAAACCTTGGAGACCTGCCAGTAAGGACCGCCACGAGTGTACAGTACATAGTGATACGTATCGTTCCATGTGAGATCGAATCGACCCTTTGTTGTAATATTTAACATATATGAACGTCCGTCGCCTCGTACTTTCATTACTAGTAAATTGTATGGAGCCCACTCTAGGTAACTGTCTCTTTTAAAGGATTTCTACTAAAAATTGACACATTAACTTGCGAACATACAATAACACCATGCAATTACCCTTGCTCTTAGAGTTCTCATATTGCAATAACCAGCTCGTTTAATACGTCCATCGTCAGGCACGTCTGTGTTTAAGAAACCCGTAAATAGTCCCTTGCCATACTTATTAACTACCAAATCACATTTACTATGCCCCTCGTTATGATCACTGTCGCTCGTAATTACCCATTGTTGTAATGCATTTGGCGATTCAAAATTCCAAACGATGTCTGTTTCACCGGCTCTGTAATCCAAAATTGGATCGCACTCAAATTTTTCCTTCATTTCCTGCGACCATAGAGCTATTTCGTGCTTTAGTTCTTTGAAACCGTCCCTTATCATCTGTGTTCTCGGAGGTAGCTTACGATTATCTGCATAACCTCCCTTTTCGTCGCGTTCCCAAAACGCGTTTAAGGGAGCGCTAATATTTAATTCCAACTTTTGTATATTGTTTAATTTTAGTTTACAACATTTAAGTGTTTTTGTCAATATTAAATTCATCATATTTGAATTTTCTTATATTAGGTTATGTGCATTATACAGGGTGTTTCATAACCATTCCTTTCCTCAATTTACCTTTTGTCAGATTATATACAGAGAAATTCGTGTAACCTTTCCCTTTCGACTGCAATTGTCTAATTTTTCGCGGAGTTTCCCATTTATCAGCTCCTAATTTAATAGTATAAAATATACACCAGATTTAAAGAGGTCTGCAAAGTTCTTCCAAAAAGTAAGTAAAAAATAAGAGAAAGGGCACGAGACGGGAATCATATAAAGGAAGCTATTAGAGTGGGGGGAAACGTGTCCCTTGTGTTTTATGACAAGTCAAGTCGACATAACTGACCAGTGCAAAGGAAGTAATAAGATGGATGCTATGCTATTTCCCACCACTGTTATATTCTCTCCTATTTTTTACTCATGGGTCTGTACTTTCATTTCTGGCTAAACCGATTGGAACCAAATTTGGTACACATATTCTTAGACCTAAAAGGGCAGAATCGCACATGCGCAGGTGGAACTAGCCGCAGAAAATTTTTTACTTTGTGCCGATATCAATACAGACTTATGTATCATAAGTCACTGCTAAAATATTCATCCAGAAAATACACAATCCTATTTATTTTGATGAATACAAGAAAAATAACTGTGCACCCTAATTACATTATAAAAAAAAAACAATACAGAAAATAAAATAAATTATCTTTACCAAAAAATTATATGAGATCTGCCACATTCATAGGCATTTCATCAATTTGTGTCGAGTAATATTGCTCAATATCTCTCAAAATCCTTATATCGTCAGATTTAACGAAATTAATGGCCACACCCTTTCGACCAAATCGCCCCGAACGTCCAATACGATGAATGTACAGTTCACGATTGTTAGGCAAATCGTAGTTAATAACTAAGCTCACTTGTTGTACGTCAATACCTCGAGCCCAAACATCAGTTGTTATCAAGACCCGACTTTGTCCAGAACGAAACTCTTTCATAATGGCGTCACGTTCTTTTTGTGGCATGTCACCATGCATTGAGCTTACGGTAAAGTTCGCTTCGCGCATTTTTTCGGTTAACCAATCGACCTTACGCTTAGTGTTGCAGAAGATAACGGCCTGCGTAATTGTGAGTGTATCATACAAGTCACAGAGGGTGTCAAATTTCCACTCTTCTCGTTCCACAGCGACAAAGAACTGTTTTATACCTTCCAGTGTCAACTCATCACTAAAATTATCAATTAGCAGTGTGCAACGACATTTAAGTTAGGGTTACCGTTTGACCAATATGCGAATTGGGTCCGTCATAAATTTGGAGGTAATTTCTAGAATTTCATGTGGAAGAGTGGCCGAAATTAATACAACCTGAGTGGATGGAGGCAAAAAGCGATAAACATCATAAATTTGTTCCTTAAAGCCCTTGTTCAACATTTCATCAGCTTCATCCAGTACCAACATTTTAACAGCCCGTGTACGTAAAGCCCGTCTACGGATCATATCTGAAAGTATGCACTTATAAAATTGTACCTACATTATAAGGTGATCTTACCATACACACGTCCCGGCGTACCGCTCACGACATGCTGACCATAATCAAGTTTTCTAATATCCTCACCCAGATTTGTACCACCGATACAGGCGTGACATTGTACATTCATAAAATCACCCAAGGCCAATATTACCTTTTGAATCTGCACGGCCAATTCGCGTGTCGGTGATAAACAAAGCACTTGCGTTTCACGCATGGTTAAATCGAGGGATTGCAAGATTGAAATTGCAAATGTAGCCGTTTTGCCTGTACCGGACTGTGCTTGAGCAATTACATCTCGACCTTTCATTATCGGTTTAATCGCACGTTGTTGAATTGCAGACGGTTTTTCAAAACCTGTACCGAGAAATGGGTTTCAAAATTCGTTCTTTAGGTTACATTCACTTACCATATGCAAAAATACCGCGCATTAACTCTTCTCGTAGACCCATATTCTTAAACTTATCAATAACGTCGACCCCCTCGCTCGTCTCAAATTCCACATTGGAGAGATCTTCCAGGGTTCCTGCACGTTGTTTAGCCATTTTTTATAAACTTTGTTAATTATTTCAATAAAATGGAACGAGAACAAATTTCGTTTTCCGCGTTTACTGACCTAGAACGCCATTTTGTTTTTCAGTTTTTTTTATCGGATACAGGTTGCCATTTCCACGCGGTACAGAGGAATAGCAACATTGCACGTGTATTGCGAGTTGCCTGATGCTGTAATATACAGGGCTTTCATTTCAAAACGGTGTTACTGCAGGAAATGTAACAGGCGAATTATATTAAAATCCAATACAGAAGAAGTGATAGAACCTCTGATCACACAATATTTGCAGAGTCATAAAATGCGCGACAATGGAGACGTGTTGCTAGATAAAGAAAATGTTTAAACTTTCAGCAAAAAAGGGTCCACTACATTATTCTCTAGCTAGACGATATTCTGGTAAATGATTTGCAGAGGGGATGCTGTAGAATGGCCACCCCGACTCCGACTTGATTCCGTTTGATTTCTTTCTTTGGGGACATTTAAAAATGCTGTAGTGTATAATGCTCCACCTGACAATATTCAAAAACGTAATATTACTTTCCCTACAACGCGCTTCTTCTTTTACAAAGCAAAAATGTTTCTTTATACTTATACAGGGTCATTCTGGACGAACGTCAGTTAGAAAGATATGGAGAAAGTTGCTTAAGGATTTTCGCACATGATGAATTGAACTAAAATATTTTCAAGATGGCACCACTTTCGCAACTACTGGAAGTAGCCATCAACTTTGTTATTTTAAATATCATCTGCATTAGTGTAACCCAAACGAGCCATTATGTGACGAGAAATAAAAGTTCAAAACTGTTCAAGAAGCGAAAATTTGACGTTTAGACGTTATGATAATAAAAACAAAAGAATAACATTAAGCGAATTCATTTTTTATCAATGAAGAGGCTCGGAAGACTTCCATATGGCTAAGTGATTGGGATGAGTGGAGGAGTCGAGGCAGCCTTGGACACGGGCGGATCTGGGAGGAAACCCTCAGATCCGATCCCCTCCTTGCAAGAGGTATATGTTCCGGGCTGTTTTACTAAGACCGAAGAGTTATATGGTCACCCTTCGGGACAGCGAGCAGTGGCTGAATGTTGTGTGATGGATATACCAAAAGTCTGGTCCATCTATACACATTAAACTCAATTGGGAATTTTTTATTCCTGCCATGAAAAAGCCATTTGAACTTTTTCTGAAGCCATTGACGCACGAACGCTGAAAATCGTCAAGCTGCTAATACTCCTTTGGGAGGCCCAAAAAGTTAGAACTGAAACGTTTAAGGTGACAAGGCGGTTCAAGAATGTCTTCGCTCTCTTAATTGACTCATTCTCCTTTTCTCGTGCGTTGCGTCGCAAACTTTCGTTCAAGTAGGCTACTTCTAACTCCTCACAGGTGAAAAGCAGTGGCAGCATTTTTTCTCTTCTGATGATACACAGGTACTATACCTGTGCGCACCAGCTACTCCTGCAAAAAAAACAGAACCGTTTATACGAGTATTTGGACTCCCTCATGCAAAATAGGTCGATGGGTAATAGAATAATTCTCGTACCGTACTCGTAACCGTTGGCAATTTTGAAGGCGTTACGGACGTTATATAAAAACTAGCAAAGTATCGCATTTAAGTATATCCCAGTTCTAGAACGCACATACGAGTGGATAAAAATATAATTTATGCCTTACTAACCTATAATAGCACATTTTATATCTGTGATACGCGGGCATAAAGTACCACTTTATGCCCTAGGGCATTAAGTATCACCATCACCACTCATTTATACTTAATGACAAAACAAACAAATATTTGCAGGCCATTGAAAATTAGAAACGTCAATTATTAATTGTCAATACCTACTAAATCACAAGATTATTTCGTATAGTTTCTGGAACTTCTTGCTCATTCACGATGAATTGTATTATTTAAAATTACGTTTGACGTTTGGATGCTTTCAATCACATTAACAAATTCGAACCACGCATAATCGTCAATCGATCAAACATAAAATTGCGTATGTACCACGGGCATAAACTGACGTCTATGTTCTCGGGCGACTAAAAAGCTCTCGAGCCATAGGCCCTCGAGAATATAAACATCACTATTATGCCCTTAATACGACATAAATAACTATTTATAACACTTTCAAAAACGATAAAGCAAATAGGTAAAGGCTAAAATTTGAAAATGAATCCTGACTGGAAATACTCCATAAAGATGGAGTGAATCAGGTTTTAGGAAAGCAATACCTTTCAATCGGAAATCATCAATCAAAGATTGTGTTTAAAGTAGTTAAAGCTGTACACTCTTCTTGTTTTCGGCAATACGAATTTTTAACATTTGGATTTCCAAAAAATATAAGAATAAGAGTGACTTTTTAAATCGGTATACAATTCCGCATTGAGGAATGATTGTTTCATCTGTTAATTTTTGTTACTAATAATACCACATACATGTATATGGTTCACGCTAAATGCTAGACAATGAGTTGGACAAAGGCAAATTGTTTAAGATTTTGAAAAGCTACATCGGTATAATGTCCCTACAATGCAAAAAGGCAAGACCTACCTCATTGAGATTTATGGCAACATAACATTTCGCAATCGTTTCCTTAGTAAAGTACCTATTTCATTTTTATGGTAGGTATAAGTAATTGCGCACGGTTGTAAATTAGTTTATTTTTGTTGCACACGATATTAACTTAATTACCTGTGACAATTTTAAGTAGAGATGTTATTAGGTGTATATAATTATCTCACTTTTACTATGTTGCAGTACCTAGATAAAACCTAATGACGAATAAACAATTTATTTAAATGAAGTTAACAACGAAAGACGTAAGTCTTCCATAAATAGTTATTTTGCGATAACATAATTATAGAAACAAATATTATCAAAGTACAGTTATTATCACATACATGAATACATGATAAGATGATATGCATGACTGTTTTCTCCATTTTCAAGTTTGTTTCAGGACCCGTACTAAGTGCCTATTCATTTTCAAGTTGTGCGCGTTTATGCTAGCGATATGTCGGAAGTCTCTCAAAGGTAACCGCTTGTATTGAGTGATATTAAACGTTTATTACTTTATTGTTAAAGAAACTTAACGGAGAAGCCGGAAGAGACAGATCAAATTAAACAAAAATTAGAAGAAAGGTGGAATGTAACCGGCCGACAAATACTTTTGCATAATTTAAACAATCTAAGAGTACCGTTTATCGTAGGCAGCTTAATTACAACACATAAAGTGAAAACGACACTAATTAATACAACGAAAGTGCTTGAAGGTACTGTCATTTTAGATGTAAGCTGCGGTGGAGGAATTTTAACAGAGTCGCTTGCGAAACTGGGAGGCAGGGTTCATGGCATAGATCCTTCAAGTGATGTAATAAGTGCAGCTAAACGACACGCTCAACTAGATAAGTCTTTATCAAATTTAGAGTACTTCACAAGTACAGTGGAAGATTACGCCGAGAAAAATGTCGAAATCTACGACGCCGTCATCGCATCGGACGTTTTAGAGTGCGTCGTCGAGAAGGAGGCCTTCCTGGAAGCTTGCCTGCGATGCCTAAAGCCGGAAGGATCGTTAATAATAACCACATTCAATAAAACGTGGATGTCGTGGATACAAAATGTGATAATCGGTCAAGGCATTCTAAACATTATTCCACGCGGCACACGTAAGTGGGACCAATTAATTAGGCCCGAAGACACTCAGGAAATTTTAAATAAACGTAATTGCATAAATTTGGTTATTTATAGTTACGTTTAATTATGTTGTTTTTCAGATAATTGTAGGACCGTCGAAATTCGAGGCATTAACCTTAATTGGATGAAGAAAAAATGGTCCTGGACTTTGAACAACAATCATATTTATGCTTTACATGCAATTAAAAATCGATAAATTAAAGTGTAATCTCTGAAACTTGTTTCCAATTTCTATTATTTTATACCATATAATTTTTGTATGTATCTACGCCTACTTATAACTGTTATATAAATAAACAATGTACCTAAACCTGTAGATGCGTATAATTTTATTGGACCTTTTTTTATTTTTTAATGTACGTTAATAAATTCTGTTAAAATTTTAGAAAAAAAAACATTTATAAATAAGAAAGTTGAGTTTGCGCATGCGCAACCTGTTTTTTTTCAAAAAGTGCCCAAATGACCGCGATTTCCCCCAGAAGCAATTTTATTTTTCTCTATCAACGCATTTAACCGTTTTCTCAATCAAATTTCGAGTTTCTTTGATTCAAGATGATCGCTATAGTAGAGCAAGTATACAATTTCTAAGCCCAAATAAACGGTAAATCTGTAAAATGTTAAGACGCCAAAAAATAGATCATTTGATGCCAACTGTCTTTTGTAAGAGGCACAGAAAACATTCCTTTCTTGGTGCCAGCCTCGACACCATAAGTCCATAACTAACCATAATAGCAAAATAAAGTAGCTCTAAAGACTCTGGTACAACCACGATTCATTCCTTGACGTGTCGTGTTTTCAATTTGTTTTGTACAAAAGGCATCTTGAGTTAAAATTTCAGAAAACAGTGGTACACATAAGTTGGGTTTGAACATAAGTAATCCTTTTTTGGGGTGACCCAGCATTAGGCCGCCGTCATTTTAGGATGCGGACATTAGAACACAGATCCTAGGCTAGGACTAGATGTTAGAGCGCATACACGATACACAGATGAAATAAGTAAAATAACATCGGTTTAATTTAGTTTTACCTTTTATTGTCCTACCTGCGACTTAATCTCTACTTTGTAAGGTGATCTACATGATCCTTGCGTTCTAATGTCCGGGTCCCAATTTCTGCGGTCCAATGTCCGCGTCCTAATGTCTTGCGGTCCAATGCCATAGCGCCCTTTTTTAGTGCATATCCACAAAAATTAAAAAAAAAATGCGGTATTGTTACCACTTTGTCCGCCCGTCTGTCCGTCCGCACAGCGGTTCAATGGCTACTAGTGCTTTGTCTTATGAGCTATTGTTTCACTTTTTTCGCTATTTGGTTCGTTATGGTGTCGAGGATTGTACCAAGAAAGGAATTCTTTCTGTACCCCCTACGGAAAAAGTTATGGTGAAATAACAATTTTTTTCATGTAAGTACCATAATTGTACACTTTTGCCGTTTATTAATGATCCTTGCGATCATTTATAATTTTGTAATGCTATCTGTCTGTTTGTCCGTGTGCAGTTGTGCACGATAACTTTTGTATTTGCGCAATCAATTTTTTTTATTTGTCGTATACCGTGTGTACCAGATTGAACGCACCATAGGGAAACAGACTTCGTGGATCCTTCGCGAAAAAATATATTGCGGTTTCCCTGCCTATGGTATAGTCACCTCAAATAAAGGTAGAACTAATGCTGAATCAAAAAAATTGTTTTGCGCATGCGCAATCCGATTATTTTATTTGCTAAGCTATTTAAATGAAATGTTGTATGTAGGCACCTCGAATAAAGGTCTAAAGTCAAATTAAATAAAACAACTTCACCGAACCTTAACACGCTACCATTGTTGAAATATTTTTTAAACAATGGCACTATACTTACGTTCCTTGTAGGTGTAGCTGAAATCACTATTTCGCATACGCAATGGGATTAGACTAAATACACGTACCACAATTACTACGCGTGCCCAGACCCATGTTCGTTTTTGTAACCTAATTCTTCTCAAATTTTAGGGTAGCATCCAAAAATTGGAGTATTGATAAATTAACTGCAACATTGAGTGATAAACGTTGACCCACTGCTGAAAGGAAAAAAAAGCCATTATGCAAAATAAATGACGAGAGCGTTTTTAATAATATTAATGCTAGGACCAGGAAAAAATACCGGTAGGCACGAGATCCTTACTCCATTCTCTTTCAAATGAGCCGCCTATCATCGAAGTCTATACAGTTTAATGAAAAATAGTGGAGCGTATACAAATACATACACTAAAAAAGTTACCTTGCACATGCGTTAAACCAAATTTTTGACACTGCGCATGCGCAAAACCAAATTTTGCAACTGTATAAAATTTCATTTAAAGGCTTTCATAAATAAAAAATTTAGTATTGCACCTGCGTTAAACCAACTGCGCATGCGCAAAACAAAAAAAATGGGTATGCCCGGAATCCTTGCACCAAGTCCTTTCAAATGAGTCCTATATCGCCAAAATCGGTTCAGTGGTTTAGGAGTACGTGTGACGAACAGACGGACGGACGTCAAAGTGCAGCCAATAGCGATTTTTCACTTTGAGGAAAATACGCTAACAACCAGTGCAAACGACAGTAACTGAACAAGAGCAGATTACCTAAAAATAGTTCCCGTTAATCTCAGCAAACAATTATATACGTACATTTAGCCCCCTATTGCCTGGATTTACCTATTGCAAATAAAACTTTATACACGAGTTAGTTAAGAGATTTCAATGACAAACAATTGTAATTTTTGAGCTCTGCAAATATGTATATATAATTCCAGGTCAAGTTTTTGTGCACAAATTACGAGCTATCATTTATAAGCATTATAACTTTTAAGCACCAGACTTAAAATGGCAAATAGGTATAATCGTTGGAACTGCCGTCTATTTCAATGTAGCTTTCCATTGTTTACACCTATACTCATTTCAAATCATCGTAAAGGTAAACACTGACATACATAAAACTTCTTCTCTGATTTGCTATTTTAAGAGAGAGAAGCTCAAAGAAAACAATTTCTTGTAAGAGCTCATCAATTGCTGGTAATTGAACAATTTTAAAATAGACGAAACGAACCCGATGGGTAAAAACACTAAGTTGTATAGTAAAAGAAGGGGTGATGAAAAGCATGTAGGCTTCCAAGGACGTGAAACTCTTGCAAGTTTTTCAAAAAAGCAGAAATGGAAAGAGGTTGACACTGCATGGTAACCACATTGGACCTCCATGGTAAAATGAATGACCGAGGAGGAGATTAATTGGTAAGGATCTGTTTTCTGTCTTTTTGCCAGGGATAAATGTTATCATAATACATATAGCAAGGTTAAGTGGAAGAACAGACGGCGGTAGTCTCCGCCGAACTGAACTTCGCCTTGTAGAAGTATATTTTATTTCCGTTTTGTTTTTGGGGATAAATAAAGGCAATATTATTATTATTATTATCATCGTTCATGCATAAAAAGATTTTTCACCGTACCTAATGAAGGATTGAGGAGTGCAAGGCCCTAGCATAATTGTACAACTTCAGTCATTGAAGTGAAGATGGATCTTTTCTCTCAAAAAAATAACATAATAATTAGCAACAGACTAAAGAACTGCAGTTGTTTGAAACTGAAAAGTGCTGGTCATAAAATTTTGTCAGGCCAGTGCAGGTACACATCAGAAGAGCGTATGCCCATTGTTGAAACTGCTACAACCATCAAGGAAGATGTCAGCGTTGAAATGTACACCTATCCTGACTTTTACAACTGGTTTGCTGCGAGAGTTACTCTAGAAACGTTACTGGAGGGAGTATTATCAAAGGGAAACGAAGAAAACAATAACAACAAATATTCTACGCAAATCTGCAACAACCATGGGATTTGGTGCGCTCATCTCACCATGGGCCAGGGTTCTTCTCTGGTTACAAGTGAGAAGCTTTCAAATCTTGTGCATTAACAACGCACAGAGCTCTCCTTCTTCTGAAACATCAATTTTTTCCGTTTGTCTTGAATCGTTTTAAATTGATTCCGCCAGTTTACATTCAAATTCATGCTTCAGTGCCTATCACAACAACAAAATTAAGATACAGTTACAAACAAGTTGCAAATATGTATTTCGTATATAGTTAAATGTGAATTTTTGTGAGCAATAGTTACAAACTAAATATAAATAATGAAAATTCTACATCTTGTTGGTAGAATTAACATGTTACATTAAATAAATACATTCGAGCACTTTGTGCAGCAACAAAGTTTAAACCCTGTCCAATAATTGAAAAATTCCACAAAAAGTGAAACTTCCTTTGCTGCAAGCATTTCACCTATTGGGTATAATAAATAATATCACAATATTTAAATGCTTATTAATCAGTCAGCATTTCGCTTATAATACTATTTCGGCTGCAGGTTTGGGATCAGATCGCGCGATTGACAAAAATACCTCCTCCAAAGAGGTTTCACTTATGTTATAGTCCTCAATTATTGTATGTTTGCGTTGCAACTCTTCTATTTCCTTAAACAATTCGCTCCACTTTTTGGTTTTATCGTTTATGTGATAGTGCAGTAAACCCTAAAGAGGAAAACAATCAATATTATCACTATATTATTTCAAAGCTTACAGCATGTTTATCTCGCAGTGTACATAGGTCTTTATATTTATTTTCAAAGGCGAGCATCAAGTTCTTCACCTCTTCAGAATCTCCGCTCGCCAAATTTGTGTCACGCCTCGAATTTGCACTTAGAGGCTGACTTTGACTTGCAGTGCTATCGGTATCATCATGATTAACAACAATGTTAATACACGACTTTAATTTCAGCATTACTGTGTAGCCTTGGCCGTATTTCTCCTTTAATTTCGGTATGGTCCCGTAACACTCAAGTTGGCCGGCCTTCATAATTGCTAGTCTACAAAAAGAGACACGAGTGAAGGTGCAAAAATGATAACTTGTAAGCATTACTTATTGCACAACACTTCGCATTCCTCCATGCTGTGTGATGTTAATATAATTGAAGGTTTAATTGTTTGAGACTGAATGAAATGTATGGTATCCCACAATTTACGGCGTGCTATAGGATCTACACCGCTTGTGGGCTCATCCAACATAACTAACAGTGGACTACCAATTAAAGCCATCGCTATACTCAATTTACGCTTATTTCCTCCGCTATAGAGTCCACATAGATTATCGGCAAACTCTTCTAAACCTATTTCAAGTTTAAGCATAGAAATCGAATGAAAGCTAAACACAAACCTAAAGCGTGTAGCCACATGTTAATCTCTTCTTCGACACCCTCTTGGATTCCTCTAAGTTCGGCAAAGAGCCGCAACATTTCACGTCCAGTCAAAACCTCGTTAAGTGCATCGAACTGTGGACAATATCCAACCTTTTCCAGATACTACAAACGAAAGTATATTGTTTGCGTAAACAAACTCGAAAAGAACTCACTCTTTTACTGTCCTTAGAAATATAGACATCTCCGTCGTCGATCGAGTGAATTCGTGCTTCACCGTCAAGGAAAGGTTGATCGCCTGTGAGCATACGAAAGGTTGTTGTCTTTCCGGCTCCGTTAACACCCAACAGGCCGAAACAATCGCCGGGTTTGACCCCAAAGCTGACCCCTTTCACAACCTTTTGGCCCCAGTAGACTTTTTGTAAATTATGCACCAGTAGCAGATCCTCTATAAAGTATTTGTAAAGTGGGGGTATGGATTATGGACAGCACCTACTAGTAACCCAAATTAAAACAAAAACACCAAGCAACCATAAGAAAACTTTTAAAAGAATTAACGTGTTTTCAAAGATTGGCATCATCCCCCCCCCCATACAAATATTATTTTTGCAAATCGTTTGTGCGCATGCGCCAATTCCAAGGTCATTTGAACTACTGCGCATGCATAAATAGCGCTGAAGGTCATGGTTGTTGTCTAAACTCACTGAAGGTCATTGTGGTTGTTGTCTAAACTAAAAACTGAATAAAAACGTTCCCGATCTAATGAAGGACGAAAGTAATGGCAAAATTATGGCCGAATTCATGAGTCTTCGCACTAAAATAAACGCTTATCGCGTAGATGGAATACAAGTCATTAAAAGGGATTCACTGGGGCGAGTATCAGAGAAATCACCATAGACGACTATAAGAATTCACTATTTCATGCCGATACTATAAGAAGCCCTCAACCCCTCATCAGATTGCAAAAGCATTCTGTTTTCATCATCAAACACCATAAAGTAGTAACCCGCACGACGATAAGCGGAATATTCATCCAGAGTACATCAACATCCATGCTTGGGACTACGATCCACAGTAGGTAACGTATCAAGAGTAAGAAATTAAAAAAAACTATTTTTTGTCAAAAGTTGTGCTGGGAAAATATTTGTGTGCACTCTTCAAATACATGTTATTTGGACCCAAATGGACCATTTAAAACAATAAAATCTTTTACACCCCCTTTTGCAGGTTAAAATTATCTGCATACTGGACTAACAGCGCACTTTATATTTCCATTTAGTGACCTCCAGTGGCGACTTTTTTTAAGAAATCGACCTTGGAACACTATATGCCGTGAGTAATGCTATCGGCCTACAAGGCAGCGCACAGAACTACGTTTGACCTTTAGTGACATTGGTTCATGAAAAAAAACCTGCCGTTTAGTTTAAGACAACAAGCCCGCCGGGAGTATTTAGGTTAGACAACCATGATAACCTTCAGTGTCATTTATGCATGCGCAGTAGTTCAAATGATCTTTAGCGCATGCGCAGAATTCAAGATCAAAGTGGTCCAGGATCGGCGGAGAAAAGAAATATTGCGCTAGCACAACAGTTTACACAAATGTTGATTGCTAATGACTGGACCATTTTTTCGACTCTACTAAACTCCATGGTTGCGAAAACAAGTTTAGAAAATTTTGGGGCCAACCACCAGAGTATAGGCTCATATGAGTAGGGCCCATTCTGGTGTTAACAAGCGCGGATTTCCATATTTCTTCTATTTTTTCAATGTTTTAGCGCCAAACTTGCATAATCAACCACAAAGGTAAGTAATTAAATCAGATAGCACTCGGGAGTATAATCTAAGTCCTTTCAGTATGGGTTGCCTACCCCTTTTGGTGCATTCTACCTTCTCGCCATATGCAAAACGGACCTATTATGGTTAACTGCTAATTAATGTTAAAGCGGGGGGGATTAACTAAGACTAAGAGTTATTAATTGGTATTAAGACATTTGATTGGCTTTATATTGCAGTAGGCAGCCAATCAAATGTCAAACTTCTTGTTTAAACTCAGATTTGGCAAATAATGTAGGATTTTGATTATAATTCGCTTTCCTGCAACCGGCCGTTAAGGAAATAGTTTTGATGTTGTGCCTTTTATCAAAACAGGGTTGCTGGTAAGTCTGGAAACTGTCAATTATCGAGGAAAATATACAAAATTTGTATACAAAAGTTTTGGGGTTCTTCAATGTCTACTAGGCAGTAATAAGTTTAATTATACAGGGTTGGTCATAAAGGTGTGGCACATCAAAATTGCATTTTTTTAAATAGAACACTATATATCATGCGATATTTCGATTCTTCTTTCAATTTTAAGCAAAATTTGTCAGAAGAATAATGTACCTCTATTCAATTGTTTCCGGGTTATCGAGTTTTAAAAATACACGCTATTTATTTATTGAAGGAAGAACGATAATTAAAGAAATCACGAATTTCTTTGAAAACATTCTGTGCTGCTGACAAGAAGAGTGTTTGTTATTATTGTTGGAAATCGTTAATTATTGTTCTTCATTCAATCATTCAATAAATTTTAAAATAGCGTGAATTATCAAAACTCAATACCCTGGAAACAATTGAATTGGGTACACCGGTACATTATGCTTCTTACAAATTCTACTTAAAATTGGAAGAATTGAAATATCAAATAATATACAGGGTGTTTCATTTGAAATTTTCGTGTGCCACGCCTTTATCACCAACCCTGTATAATTAAAATTATTAGTGCCTGGTAGACATTGAAGAACCCTAAAACTATTGTATTTCAACACTTTGTATATTCGCTCCGATAATCGAGTATCTCCAAACTTATCTGCGTTTATTTTGAAAACTAGATAACCTGGAAACAATTGAATTTGGGTACATTATGCTTAACATTAAGAGAAAAATTGGAATATGGAATAATATACAGGGTGTTCCATTAAAAAAATGCAATTTTGGTGTGCCAACCCTGTATAATTAAAATATTATTGCCTAGTAGACATTGAGAAACCCGAATACTTTTGCATAGAACTTATTTTCATATCAAGTATATTTTACTCGATAATCAACCGTTTCCAGACTTATCAGCGATCTTGTATATAAACTCGAACTTTTTGCACATCCATCAAAATCAGCGGGCTTCTTGATGTTTCACACTATCACTGGCTGTGAGACCATCTCCGGTTTCTATGGGCATGGGAAGAAAACTGACTTTGAAGCTCGGAACCAGTGTCCTGACGACGCGACTTAGTCAAAGCACTTTCATTCCTCACTACTACAAATTATGAATATTTGCGACAAGACATGAAAAGTTTATTGTAAAAACGTACGACTGATGGTCGATGGCAACAAATGGAAAAGTCCTCTTCTTAAACAAATGCGCGAAATATGCAAGATCTCTCAAATTAGCGACGCCTTAAAGCTGGACTTTCTTCGAGCTGCCTGTTCAAAATTCCAGATCTCTGTACAACAGACAAATATCTTAAAAGATTATTCCAGAAGAAAGGGATTTTCGTACTGAATTTAGGTGAAAATTTCGACTCTATATCTGTTTTAATTTACAAGATTAGCAATTAATACTTGATCCATCCAAATGGGGGTGGACACGACCGATCCCAAATGAAAAATGGACACCCTAAATGGACCACAAAGGCCCCCAGCACAAGAGGTGTGCATGAGTGGGTATTGGGAGTGGGAGTCGAGTCAATTTATCCCTAATTAGCAGTTCACCATAATTAACAGTTTTCTGCATGGTGAGAGGCGTAGCTATTTAGCAGCACCCGAAGGGGTTGGCAACCCGCACTGAATGGGGTCAGATTACACCCCTGTCAGTGCCATAAAAACTGTATGTGATTTAATTACTTACCTTTGTAGCTAATTATGCAAGTTGCTGAAACATTGAAAAAACATAATAGAAAAAGAATAGTTAGCGCCTGAATGGGTAGGCAACCCCAGCAGGGGATAATCTGTATTTTCACAATCATGCAGCTTAGTAGTCGAAAAAAATAGTGCAGTCATTAGCAATCAACATTTGCGTACCCCCCCCCCCCCTCAGGGGTTCAACGAGCGGATGAGCGTGGAGACACGTCGGAACTTTAAGAGGAAGGGGGAACCTTCACTCATTTTCCTAATCTTCCGGACTATTAATGTATAATGATCCAAGAGACCCATTAAGAACTCAACTCACTTTCTCTTTACTCTTTTGTTGTTATGATGATGATTAAAATTTTGTTTTTGTTTCAATTTTTGTTACTATAACGGCTACAGTTCCAGTACTGTCAACTACCTACCAGTTTCATCGCCGTAAATTGGATTTTCATTTTTTTCTTTGTGCAAGGTGCTGTATACTCTTTTCGATTCAGAGAAAACGTCTTCGTGACCGGCACTGTCCAGCTCATCATGCCCTTTAGGTTTTCGGTTGCGATGTATTTGGTTATAAATGAAAACTAAAAATTTATCCCAAAGTCTATGAACGATGTTTGTTTCCAAAAATAAAAGAAAAGTAAAATACAGAACTGTGGAGAAGAGCATTATTATAAGGCTTAGACCCATCGAATCATCTCCATAAAAATAAGATTTGTACTTTATGCATAGTGGTGTATCATCGCCATCTATTAAACAAAAGAATTGAGTTCATCTTATAATGACAAAGGATTGACTACTAACCGCAGCAAGGATTATACCTAAATTGGCATACAGTCTGTCGTATTTCGGCGGATTTTATGTTCCAGTTGTAGTTCCTTACAGCTTTCTTCGCAAACTGTACACTGTTGAATGTTAGACCGAATTGTGGGGATAACGACAATACATATTTTAGCACCACACCCATTTTCTTCCATTCCTCAGAAAGCAGCATTACCATGACGATCACGGTCATTATGTTGCTTGTAAATAAGTTACTCATTAAAAAAGCACCGAACGCTCCAGCCGCAGTACTCTTATAACTGAATAAATATGCCAGCGGTATTATGCTAAAGCCATACGCTGTTAGTATTACAAATAGAGCGCCTAAAGATTTGGCCAATCAGAAAAGGCTGAATCACCTCTCTTTGACTTACCAATTTCGTTAAATCCGCTGAAAATTTTTGAAAAAACGAAGCCATAAATCCGAACCGTAGCAAGTATTAGGAGAACAGTGACGAAATATAAAATCAGATCCCACAAGTAACAGCTTATCCAGTACAAAAACGAACGAATTCCACACATCAACTGCAGTTGTTTTATATTGCTTACCCGCTCCATGTGGGGAAATAGCACAAATGTGCTTGTTAAAAATAACATTCCTAAAAGTAAGATCAGCTCATGTTACCATGCCTAGTGTAAAGAATAGAATAGCGAAACAATCCCCATGTACTTTTTGGAAACTGCAAAAAGTAAAAGAGGTATACACTATAAATGGAGGTATCGTCAACCCGCCATTTTGTAAGTGACAGTATGAAGCTATAAAAATAAATAAAACCATTCAAACTGGCCAAAGGAAATCCTTCGTACATTCCTGTCATACCTAATTATGCCCAAATCAGTTTCCCTTCTCCATAAGGACATTTTACTATTCTATTCTTTATATTATGTTACAAACAAGCGAGCAGACTAACCCAAAGGAAACAGGAGGAGCCACAGACTTGCAACCTCAACCTCAGATGCTTCTTCTACGTATTCTCCTTGCGTTACAGGTAATGGGCTATTGCCGGCCACTATGCTATACTCTTCACCCACCATTCCTTTTAAAACAGCATTCATAATCAGATTGAAAGAAATCGGGGCACCGTGAATGGCGCTATTTGAATACATCGCGTTTACAATTCGCTGTCCGCTACTGGTTTTATTAAATTCTGCAGCGACAACCATATGCTGGTTGTAGAATTGTATATTTGCAACCCCCTCCTTCAATATTTCTGTAAAATCGTAAACAATTTTCAATCAAGTCAATTTCTATACTAACCTCCCGATACGCTCGTAGTTTTTCTTGTGGCGCTCCATTGTTGTTGAACAAGTCTGTCGTAATGTTGCATAATTTTGGACAATTCGCCGTCGCTGTCCGTACCTCCGTAAATGACAGTCGTCTCTCCATATCGGGTTAAATTGAAATCCATAGAACTAAATGAGTCGGTCATCTGGTGTACGGCGTCGCCCAAGAATACTGACAAAAACGTGAGCACTAAAGCCAAAACCACCTAGGAATCTTATTAAATGTTGAGTTAGGATAATATGAATGTTACCTGACAAAGAAATATGAACCATTTCTTTTTGGCGACCAGTATACGCTTTTTGAATAGACACCATAGTTGTAACTTGGTTTTTTTACTACCTTTCCGTCTGACAGATGTAGACGCTAGAAATTCAAATTTATTACCTACTATGAGGAGACTAATACAGTAGACTTTCTATAATCCGGCATTCAAGTTGAGACACATTATTGAAACCCTTTTGATTCTAAAATACCTCTTATTAGTTGTTCTGCTACAATGAAACACTTGTTTTGTTCATGGTTGTTGATAACCTTCTAGTAATCTGGCATTTTCACCGATCCGCCATCCTGTATCCAATATTTGCCGGATTACTGAGCGTCTGCTGTATACTTTAACGCGAACAAGAATAATTAAATACCTACTAACAATCTAGCAACAATACGTCTACAGAAGCATACTAATACTTCAAACAACTACTAAAATTTAAAGAAAATGTACTTTTTGCTGGCATAAAAAATGAAGGAGAATCAAGAATGCTTTGCTGATCGGCACAAAAAAAAGACTGTTCTTGATTTAAAGAATACCACATATGCGATGGGCGTAAGGAGTTATGAAATAATATGCACGCAATGGGAATAGATAAAAATTGAAGAACACTTAGGCCAGGTCTTTAATCTTACCGTTCTCATGTAAGATCAACCACTCCATTGAGTGAATAAATTAGAGGGAGCGTCCCTGAATACCCCTCGACCGATGTTACAGGTCACCAAGCCTCAACAACACACCAATCCACGCAAACGCATCTCCAGCGCTGAGTAGAAGAGGAGAAAGAAGGTCAGGCTGTCAAACCGCTCCAGTCGCCATGCACATCCCGCGACCCAACCCTGTCCCAGCGGCAGGCTCCCCCTACCTCCATTCAGGCGAGCGAAGGGGTACGTGAAGAGAAGAAGAGGCAGGTGTCAGTAAGGCTGGAGTACTGCGTAGTAGTTACAATCAAACTGCCAAAAGGCAACTCAAAATAGCGATCGTATGTAGCAATAACTCTCTAGGTAGGCTGACGGCTAAACAGTCGAATATGGTGCACGGGTTTCAGCGCACTCTGACGTTAAGATCTGCGTCAAGTTCAAGGTCATTCAGTTCGGTTTTGTTTGTCGATCGAAACAGGTCTGTTGATCAGAAACAGGTTGGTTAAACCTTTGTTTATTCATTTATAGTTGTTCCACCTAAGTGAGTACTATCCGATGATTCAATTGGTTTGCGTACACTCTAATTTAAAGGGTCTCTGCTCTGCCTTGAACCCGTCACATTCCTTTACTTCTTTACATAGATCAAATTACATTTAAAGGGAAATGCAATAATATATCCGTGTAGGCGGCTATGAGAATTTAGATTATGTTAAGCGAATATTACGCACTCTTATAGCAGAGATGGAATGTTAAATCGTACTTTGTTTAAGAAGCTATGTGTACTTATATACAGGGTGAGTTTTTTTTTCCTTTTAAGCATTAGGATCTCGGAAACCGTAAGACATAGAGATTTTGTTAAATGAGGAAAGAATGGTCGTTTTAAGAGCTTATTCAAGATATGCTTTTGTTTTTTGAAAAAAATCCACAGTTTAGTAGATGTGGGCGAAAAACAGATTTAATGATTTTTCATTTAACTGTTGTAGAATCGTTAGTATCAGTATTAGGAATACAGAAATATGCAAAGCACAAAAATTTAGATTTTTCCGCTTAATAAGATACATTTATTAATATTTATTCTTCTTTTGTAATTTTCGAGTTATAACGCAAACTTACATTTTTTGTCATAGTTGGCTGTGACAATTTTTAAAAGTGCATTTTTTTTCTGTTTACAATGATATAAGGTTCATTGTACTTACTTTGACAAATAAACATGATACAGAACTGTTTGTATTATTAAGAGTAGTAAAAACACTAAAAACAGATTTTGCCATGGGAAACATTTTTGTTCTCTTAATTACTGCCTATTATAATATTTAACTTGCAGTTAGTTGTGCGGCGGGGCACCGTTGTGTTGAAACCAGCGTAAATTACGTCTTGTTTCCAAATCTAACCCATCTTACATATCTTCAAATTCATTTGGTAGAAAATGATGGTAACATTGGCCTGTTCAATTTTCGTCGTAAATGAAAGGTACCTATCTCACTAGATATTGTTTTCCATGGCCAACTCTGTTTACTTACCTCTCAATAATACGAAAATTACTGCAGGGCGTTTATTTATTAAAGTACATTTAGCAAGCCTTATGTCGTTATAAAGAGAAAAATTTGTCCTTTTTAAAAATGTCAAAGCCAACTATGACTACCATTAAAAAAAAAAAAGTTTGTATTATAACTCAAAAATTGTAAGATCTAAAAATAAATTAGTATGTTCATCATGTTAAGCATTAAAATGTCTAAAACTTTTATTCGTGTCATTTTGTTGTATTTCTAATAATAACGATTCTACAACAGTTAAATGAAAAATCACTAAATCTGTTTTGCGCTCATATCTAGTGAACTGTCGATTTTTTTCGAAAAACAAAAACATATCTTAAATAAGCTCTTAAAACGACAACTCTTTCCTATTTTAACCGAATCCGTATGTCTTATGGTTTCCGAGATCCCAATGCTTAAAATGAAAAAAAAAAAAAACTCACCCCGTATACAGGGGGGGAAATTTTGTCTGGAACACTGATTAGTGATTAATAATCAGAGCGGATAGTTGGGTAAGAAAAACTCTTTAAAAAAGCAGGCAAAAAAGCAAAAAAACAGTCAAAAAAGCAAGGAAAAGGCAAAATAAAAATTGTTTAAAATAAATTTGCCAACTACTTAGGAAGGAGGAATTTACTTCGAAAAATAAAGATTAAAGATAAAAAACAACAAAGTACCTACAGAGAACTCTTAATGCACTTCCACCACCAGTATGGAACTAAATAATTGAAAAGGAGTAAGGACAAGGTCGAACATCAACTTCGTCACCCGTATTTATGAGTATGACGTAAGAAATGCGATCATTATGTTACTTAAAGTAAACAAACCCCTCGACCCCGATTTCCGCTTTATTTACAATAGCAGGTAGACATTCTTTAGTAAAATCCCAGAATGCAATTGCACCTGGTAGACAGTTTCAAGGTGTCTAATTGTTTCCTAAAGAAATACCGGCAAAAAAAGCAAAAATCTCAAAAATTTCTTTAAAAAGGAATGAACGGTTAAAAATATTAAAGAAGGCAAAAAAGGCAAAGTAAAAATTACATTTTTGGAGTCGTCATGTCGTAAAACTTATACAGTGTGTAAAGCGATGGGGTATACAAGAGGGAATTTTTTTTAAATACTGATTTATGAAAAAAATTTATTCTTCGTGATATTTTTTGCTTGCTTTGAAAGTACCAAAAAACGTTTCGATTGTTTGTGGATTGATAGCAATACGCTATCCTGATTATAATGTAGAATGATAACTTTAAATAAAAAAATTAATTTTATTATTTTTCCAGATTTCTATAAATAAATTTCAGATTATCGAAACGTTATTGGTACTTTCAAAGCAAGCAAAAAATATCATGTAGAATAAATTTTTTTCATAAATCAATATTTAAAAAAAAATTCCCTCTTGTATACCCCATCGCTTTACTCACTGTACATATAAATTCAAATTTACTTTTAATGTCTTTATTACTTAAAAAAAAGCATTTGCCTAACTATCCGCTCCTTAGACTGATTATATATTCAAAGCTACAATTTCTGCAAGTTCTTTTATGGTAGGTACCTATCCACAAAATTATAAAAAGTTGACTATATTCTAATTTGTGATAAGTGGCATACTTATGCATGGTCAAGGGGCCAGGCCCAAGAGGGTATATTTTTTGTAATTAATTGCGCCATTTTATTCCGAATTTAACGCATTTAAGATTTGTCACGGTTTTTGACATTTATGTCAATTTTTCTCTTAAACATTTAGAGATACACGAGTGCTCTTTTATATAATCTCAAAAAAATTGGTTTATTATTGGACTTATTTATGAGCCCAATCGGTAGCTATAAGTGAACGGATTTCGATCTTCCTGCACAAACATATTTAAGGTTTTCCAAAAAAGTGTAGTATACAGGTTGATTCAAATTCGAGGGCCACCATGGGGACCTCGGGAACTGTAAGAGATAGGCGAGTAGTTTAAATTGGGCAAAGTTGCGTATTTTGATGCTTAACAAAATGCAATTTTGAAACTGAAAAAATTCCGGAGATATCCGGAAGAAACGAATGTTTGCAAAATCATTGTTATTTTTTACATTTCGGCCATTATGGCCATTTTTTTTCGTCTACAAGATGCTACTTCTAAATTTTGACGTTTCGTCTCCAGTCAACCATCTTCAACTTTGTATTTTTCTTATGGAAGTCATTTTTACTTTTGGTGTCATTTGACAGAAAATTTTTTTCTAATTTCAAAAATGTAAACATCACAATTTTCTTAACGTTAAAAGGAACTGTTTGGGAATATTATTAATTTCAATGTAAACGCGAGAAAGAACAATCGCACACAAATTACGCCTCCACAAGGTCGTAGGTACTTTAACACACAATACAAAAACCCATTGTTCTAATAGCACGCACGTAATGCATACTATCTATCATTGATACTATTTCTTCTGCGGACAAAATTCTACCTTCCGAATTTATAGAAGCGTGGTGTACCTATATCTATTGCAATACAAAGTTACACTAGAAAAATGTCCAGATTGAATCAATTATAGATTTTTTACTTTACACTGGAACTATTATAAGATTTTTTCAAAGCGGCACATTACCCAACACACCCCCTGGACTTTAACCAATACATACTAACGGTCAGGGGAATAACTATAAATGAATAAACAAAGGTTAAACGAACCTGATTCTGTTAAACGGACCTATTTTCACTGAGAAGCTATTTGTATGGAACGGATCTAATTATAATGAACAGATCTGTCTCAGCGGACAAACAGAACCGAATCAAATTACCTTTAACTTGATGCATGCGCAGATCTTGACCAAAGTACGCCAAAACCGGTGTTGTTTACCTACTAACATTCTTGGCATAAAAGGCGCTACATTAGCACCCACATTCAGGGGTTGGAGGCACTTGGGTGAGATCCTAAGGATATCGTGCGAGAACAACCATTCCCTTGACGGGTTGAAGGATATCACCCAATCAGTTTGATGTCTTTTCTTCTTAAGACACTTGAAAGACTGTGTTTTTATTTTATTTATTTTTTTAAATTTATTTGCCTTTATTTTTGAGTGGGCGGGGTTTCAGCCAAGGCTGCTCTACCAACCCAACCCACTATACATTTACAAATATCCATGCCCGAACCCGGATTCGAACCAGGGACCCTTAGTACCACAGTCCCAGTTTCAACTGAACTGCACCACACGGACCGGGAAGATATATGAGATAATGACGACAATAGGAACTAAAAGCTCCGCCCAGCCGCCATATTATTATATTAAATACGGATAAAATTGTAGTGTACACAAGACACAATACACGTATGACACCCAATAACCATATAAAAGTAGCTTCTTGTTCCCCAAACTCAAAAGACCTTTTAAAGGAAGATGGAAAACCAAATTAACAATGATGTGTATTAAAAAACCCTGTTTTTGAAACAACGTCTGTTGGGTCAACTAGTTACAAATAATTGCTTTTTATACACTTAAGGGACCACCTCCCTTAGGACTCCTGTAGTGTGGAACACGTAAAAAAATCAGACTGTCCAGCACAAACAGTGCGTGCAGATATACAAAGTTAAACACGGAAGACGAATACAAAACTAAATTATGCATTTAACTTAGTGCAGGCGTAATAGTCTAAAAAGCGGCAAGACGATAGTAAAAAGGGCATTGACCCTAATTATTACCTGCCAAACGTTCATGTAATCTCTGACGACCTTAAATAGTATAAAAATTAACTTCAGACCAAATGGATACTTACAACAACAGCTCGTACTACTACTTTTTGTGCTTCCCAGCTCCAACGGTTTGGATTTATTTTCCTCTTTCAAAACCATGTTACCAACTCTGCAAGACGAAATTGTATTCTTGAAAAACTACCGGAAAATGTAACCTTAGAAAAACTTCTTCCAAAGTTGTTACCGACAGATTTATGTTGGAGATGCCCAAAGCGGCCTTCTTCCCTTCGAGCTTCTCAAACAAGGTACTAAAGGAAGATTTTGCCTCGTGCGGAAGTACAAACGTTATGTAATTTCCAGAGTCTGCCTCAAGTACCGCCTTTGGAATGATGCCGGTTACCAGTTGCTTGATTTCGTTTAGTTGGTTATTTGTTTTGTTACCATCGGATATCAAGGATAAATGGTATCCGGCACCTTACAAATTCTACCATGAACGAATGGTTACGTAGACTGAAACTTACCAAACTCCTTTTTGAGAAACATCGAAGTTCCGTAACACATTAAGCGACCGTGATCCATGATGGCGATGCGATCGCCGAGAACATCGGCCTCCTCCATGAAATGTGTGGTTATGAGTATCGTACGTGATCCCCTTAACGACAGTAGCATGTCCCATATTTCCCGCCGCGATTCCGGGTCGAGACCGGAAGTCGGTTCATCCAAAATTACCACCTAAAATTATGCTATGATTCGACGATGTACACTAGTCGTGCTGTTACGTACCCTCGAATTGCCTATAAGTGCGATTGCTAAGGACAGTTTTCTTTTCATACCACCCGACATGCTTGAAGCCAGAGTATCCTTTTTGGGCGCGATACCCATGCGCGTAAGTAAAATTTGGGCTTCCTTGGCCGCATTCTCCATCGACAACCCTTTCAGCTAAAATACAGTTACACCAACGGTCATTTCAGTTGAGAAAACTTACCATCCCGAAGAAAATGAGGTGCTGCATTACGGTAAGATTGCTAAAGTGAAGATTATGCTGAGGACAGAGTCCTAGAGAGGAACGTATTTCGCCCATGTGATATTTGATGTCTTTGCCACTGATCAATACTTTACCACTGGTCGCCCCAATCAATCCTGATTAAGCAAAATATTGTTAATACTTTTAAGTGGGCGTGGTTTCAGAAGACAATCACTAGGCTAAGTTGACTGGTTTTAAACTCATATTATTGTTAATTCGTTTCATAGAGCTTGCACCAACTTGCTTTGAGTAAGTAATGTGTTCATAATAGGCGAACGCACAACCCAATAGATACTGCTGTGCAAACTATGTCAGTTGGGACGTTGTAGTTTGGTTTAAGGCAATTTAATTGTTTAAATTATTAAAATTTTTCTCTATACTCATTGTCGTGGGTCTAATTAGGTTTTAACATGGAACAAATTTGCGATTCGAGCGTGTAATCGAAGTCTCATTTGTTTACTGTCGTTTATAAATGATAGTAAGAAATAGACTAAGTAGTAATCTTTGTATCTCAATTTTATTTGTTATCAAGGTGCTCATTAATGCAAATGTGACAGTTTCAATGTGATTTATTAGATTTTTCGCTTATATGTGAGAGATAAAGGTAATTGTTTGAGATAACGTGGCTATTCTAATCTTTAAGGAAAATTTATAAGAATTAGTGCGGACGTGTCGATTTGTGTTTCATTATATTGGGTATCATTGCCTACTGCATATTAATATTATAAAAATGTAGTTACCTGGGATTGTTAATTGGTGAAAAAGTTGTTTTTTGTAAAATAAACCGTTCTTTGTCGTTTTTAATTTAAAAATCGAAAAGAGATTTCAATCGTTTGCGACCTGCATTCGCAACAGATATCTTACCTGTAATGATAGACATGGTAGTTGTTTTCCCAGCACCATTGTGTCCGAGTAATGCGGTAATTTGATCTTCGTATATATCTAAAGTTAAACCATTAACAACAGATTGCTTTCCAAAGGTTTTGTACAAATTCTTTATTTGTATTCCGGGCTTTAAGTTTGGAGCCGTTTCCACTTTGCAATATTCCCTAAATACTTCCACATCACCACTGTCAATAACACGACTGCTTTTATTACGCTTAAATATGCAATCATAAATATACTGCAACAATTCAAAATCATTTAACCATCTATTACACAAAAGCATGCTTACAGTTATGGGGAAAGAGAAAGGCTTAGCAAGTCCATATGGACCTGGGTTGACAGCATCGATGTAGAAAGTAAGCAGCGTGTAGAAAATCATGCCGACAATCAACATAACAAACATATCGCCGAGGGCGACATCTTCCTTTCCACCAGTAGGGGGCGTGAACAAATTATTCCAGCTCACTCCCACTTCTACACACAGATTGAGGTTTCCAATACCAAGAAACTGTTCAACTTACCTCTTGATTCGTACAGTGATATTGTAATATAACCATGGTATAGAGCTGTGTTTGGCAGAAGCGACACAAACATTTTCTTATACCATTTCATATTCACAGTTTTACCAAGGAAAGTGCGCAAAATAGAGTCGGTCCAAATCCATAGTGCCGTACCAATGACCACTCCGATTGTGGCTACGATTAACAATAGAAATATCTATGGTAAAAGCAATAAAATATTTACGTTTGTGACACAGTGTGCTAATCGCAAACAAAAATGTAATCCCTGCAGCTGTATACAACAGTAAAAAACAAAAAAACACAGATCCGCTACAATATTCAAGGACGGCAGGTTCCACTTTCCATAACGATCCTTTTAAAAGAAGCGTAATTATAAAAACCGATAGAGCGCTAACAAAAAAAGCGTGCAGAAACCATCCCAACCATAACATCCAAGACTTCAAACCCATCATTTTCATTAGTTCCTAAAATTTAAGTTTAATCCGACGCACGCGCGCGATCTCGCTACCTTAATTCCTGTACTTTTTTCTTCAATGACACGTTTCAACACACTTGGACAGAGAAACACAAAGCTAAAGACGGTGACAGCGGGTAAAAAGGATTGGAATATCTCGCTAAGGCCTTTGTCGTTTTTGTACGGCGGATAAGGGAATTCTTGCATCGTAATCGCTACAGGCGCTTTTTCGCCTGAGGCTATTTCTAAAAATGAGGTATCCAAGGCCATTTTTAGTGCCATAAATCCTGTATCCATGTAGGTTTCGGACCCTAAAAGGCAATATAATATTTAATCAGTACACACACACACAAATGCTCAACATTTGAGCATCGGTTAACTGAGATGGTTTACCAAATAACATTTGCAATTGCAAAATAACAACCACAAAGCGATTACTATACGATCAAACTACAAAAATGACGATCAATATTGCTCATACAAAAAAATTTAAAACTCCGTTCCTTTTAATACTTAATATTTCTGTAATTAAAATAAAACCGGGGACATGAAACACCCTGTATAAAAAGTGTTAGTTGAACAGAATGTGCAACCAAAAATAGAAATCGATGTGTCTGAGAGTTTTTTCGAGCATACCCCAAATTACTCTTACGGTCGTACTTATTTCATTTGCCAGATACACACTGTATAATAACGGGGGTTCAATAATTGGCCCGATCAGATCGCCAGCAGTTTATATTTTTCGAATTTGTACAGGTTTTTACAAAATTAAAATTATTTTTATTGAAACTTGCAAGTGTATTCGGTGTGTCGCGTTTTTTCTGCAATATAAATAAAACGCTTTTGTTTTAGACATTTTTAAAGAACAAAAGAATTGAATCAACAAAATTAGGTGTACGCAAAAATTCAAACTACAATAATTCAAAGTTTATTGTGGAGGTAAAGGACAAAAGATTGAAAAAGGTTTTCACCTTAAGGCGCATTTTCTATGAATTGATCAGTATTCCCCGAAAGGTCATGTAATGATCTATTCAATGTGTACAGGGTGAGTCAACGATTGCGCGGAGTAACATATAATGCCTTGAAGATAAGATTTTTCGATAGAGTGCTTTTGTATTATGATATGGTTGAATATTCTCCACATTTAAAAATAATTTGAATTATACAGGGTGCGTCCACAAAGTAGGGCGCCCAAATGGTACATTTTTTTAATAGAACCCCCTGTATTTGAATGCATATCCGAAAAACTAGTAGTTTTAAAGATAATTCGATTTGTAACAAAAATTGGGCGTCAGTATATTGTCAAAATAATTACTTAAATTTTGATTCCAGGTTTTATATCTTTTATCCTGTGTTAAGGAAAAGTCAAATAAATACATCTACTATGAAACATTAAAAAAATAGCTTACATTACAGGGTGTTTTTTTTGGTAGGTCCAAAGTTTCAAAACTTCATATTAAAAAATCTCACTTTTTTAAATGGAACACCCTGTATATTTTTTGTCATCTTTTAGCTCTTCCAAAAACCTTCAACGATAATAATGTCCTATACCAGGGGTCGGCAACCTATTGAAACGGAAGAGCCAAAAATTACAATTTACAAAATTTCCCAGTTTTTAAAGAGCCACAAAAATTTTTTGATCCAATATTATAGTATTTGTCTACATATATACAGGGTCCTGCAACAGTGCGCCGGTTTTTCCTACATAGCTGATACATGGTAAAAAATATTGGTGGTTGCGGATCTACAGAAATTATTTTTGAATGTACAGGGTGTTCCATTTTTACGACGTCAATAAATAACTGATCTTTTTAAATAGAACATCCTGCATATTTTTATTTGGTTCAATGCCATTTGTTCAAAGTGCTATAACTATTCTTTTTCAAATGGAACTACAACTATTTTATTTCGCTATTCGATTGTCTTTTGTGTTCTCTTCAATGTTTATAAGGGGTGCCCTGTGCTTAAACCCCCCAGCTTTTATGTTATTCAATATTTTTCACCAAAGTACCTACTCATTAATTAATTACGTGTTTATACATCGGAGTAGGCTGCTATAATATAAAAACAAAAGAATACCAGAAAGTAAACAAGTGTCACAAATTACATAATTATTTGCTGCAAGTGTACTTTTGATTTCGTAAACAAATAAGATTAAAAAAGGCGAATTTCGAACAAATGAACTAATTTCTTTAGATAAATACGGAGAGCCGCAGCTTTATATCAAAAGAGCCACATGCAGCCTGCGAGCCGCAGGTTGCCGACCCCTGTTGTATACCTATCTCTGATATTTTTCAAAATATCTTGGTTTTCCTGGTTTTTAATTCTAATCTTAAATAAGTTATATGTACCTAATTTACATAATAGTGAGGTGGACATGCAGCAAAGGCAATTTTTATCTATCTCGTCCAAAACGAAAATCATATCGATTAATTTATTTTTCAAACAATTTATTTTAAGTCCAAAAACTGGAGAATAAGTAAAAACATTTGACTACAAAGCAAAAAACTCCTAATGTCATCCAGTCAGTGATATTAGTTTCATTTGTTTTCATATTCACCTCGTTATTATGTAAATTAGAACATAGAGAGGGTTTTCGAACGCCATATCTAGAAGGTAATTAAAAGCCAATCAGTTAGCCCGACTGGACTGGCCTCAAAACGGGTGTTTAATGGTCCACAGCCGGCTTGACCAGGAGCAAGGAGTAGCAACTTCTGATGCCGCTCGAGATTAACCGTACCGACTCTGCCGACCACCGAAGGTTCCGAAAGTTAATTAGAAATCATATAATTGTAATTAATATATTTTGGTAATTAAAAATTTATCTTTTGATTCGATTAATGTATGCCATTTTATCCTAAGTAACCGGTTTGAGTTGACGGCACTGCAAAGTTAGTGGCACGGTCAGAAATTCCAGAGCTCTGTAAAAGTAAATGCTGCGAAATACTTTAGTAGACTTTAGGGAGGAAATGAGAAAAAAAGTGACATTTATTACATTACGTGAAATACAAAAAAAGGGATATCCTAATAAACATTGAAATAGATAATAAGCTAATAGTCCAAGAGGGGGCAGCATGGGACAGAGGGATTTTTGATAGGGGGAGTAGGCATATTTCAGGAACAATATCTCAGAAACTATCATCATGAGAAAGAAAAATGTGGGATTACTTTTTGTAGACCATCTAATAAGGAACAAAAAAGTACTGAAATATTCTTACCACTTGACTCGTATTTGTCGAGATAATTCCAAAAAATCATAAAAATTCACCTTTCCATTTGTCTAAACAAATGTTCCGGTCAAAATTAGAGGATTATTTTTTGAACACGCATGATTTACAGTTTAGAGAAGAGATTAAAACAATTAGTTTATTAAAAATTTTTTCCTTATTAAAACCTCCGACGCCTGGGCTATAAATAAATGTAATTAAAATAAAAATAATGTGACATAATTTAACAAAGAGAAGTTCAGTTCTGTGGTTCGACACCCCAGACCTGCTCTACAGTTTAACCCCACCAAAAACAAAAAATCAGAGAGAGAGAGAGAGAGAGAGAGAGAGAGAGAGAGAGAGAGAGACCTGCTCAACCGCTTAACCCCATCAAAAACAAAAAAATGAATGAGTGTGTGAGAAAGAAAGAAAGATATTTATGTAGTGACGGAGTGATTTGCAATATCGACTACTAGAATTAAATTAAATTTTGTCATAATTATAAGTAGATAGGCACCGGAGTAGAAAAGTGTTCATGCATCATTGCATCCATCATTCGGTACAAACTTCCATTACTTAAAGCGACGCTTTTATTTTGATTACGTAAGAAGTGGCATCAGAAAAGTTTTTGGAAAATATTAAATGGCGGTTTCCAGCCAGTAACTACATTCACTTTGGAACTCGTTCCTACTTCCAAGCGATATGACAGTACCTAATAAATTGTACACGTGTGAATGCTGTGCTGTTATCATAATAGTAAAAAAGTCTAGTTTCCTTTCCCTCGCACGTGAAAGGAAATTTATATCTGCTTGACACACTTGATATCAAGTGCACCGTAAATAAGTATTTTATAATTGATATCGTACATAAAGTTAATCTGTAGACTTTCTTGAACAAAATATGATTTCTTTCGCATACGTTGATTTTTGGTCTTTAAGTTTGTCAAATAATTTACTTTCATTAGTAGTAGCTGCAGTTGAAATATCGCGCTTGTGCAGAAACAGAGTTTTTGGACAAAATCCATCTTTCCAGATGGACAAAATTTAAACAAGTATGAGCTGCTTTTTCACAAATAAAGGTAGAAATTTTACGATTGACATTCTCGTGTCAATAATTTTTAATGCGCAATGTGTTTGAATAATTGTTATACTGTCGTAAAATATTACCAGTTATAGGGTAATAAATTGTTTTACTGCTCCACGACTGATGGTTTTGTCATTCTGAAGCGAAGTTACTTGAAATTGTTTAAATAAACAAATCAAACTAATGATGTGTTACTAAATAAATACTCATAGGGTTAAGGGTAAAATAAAAAAGGTTCATAGAAACACAGAAATCATGTTTGCTTTTTTTGAGCCAGACATTAAGCTCTAGCATGGATTAAATGGATGGGAATTTTCACTATTATTACTTTTTGTAATTCTTTGGAAAATTGATGAATACATTGTACTTAAACCAAATTAATTGATGTAATTTGCGAGCACCTGGAATGCAAAATAATTTTAGAATGTTAAAGTATTCCATATAGACAACCTAACGATAAAATCTCCCCAGTCTAATCAGAACAACTGGATATAGTTAAAGAAGTTAATCTCTCAATTAGTAAAACTGAGATGGTGGGCGGAATTAAAATATCTTGACTATACTAGTCTGCCCTGGAAACAAACGCATTAAAGCCATTGTCACTTTCAGGCTCAAAAATAATGTTCTCCTCTTACGTCAATTTCCATGTAGATTTAACAAAAAACATTGAGAAATATTGCTATAAATCAGTTTTATCAAGTTGCTTAGTAGGTAAACTTTGGAGAAAAGATAAACCTTGATACGTACACGGTGTGGTTTCGGGGGTTCTCAAACATGACTCAATTTTTGATGATTCAAATCACAATATTCACAATAAGCTAATAATAAAATTGTAGGAAAAATGAAGTTTTTATAGGCGATTGTAAGTACGTATATAAGCGGAAATAAACACCTTTATCACAAAGTAAATAAGGTCAGTAAATAACACGTAACACCTATTCAATTCCAGTAATCGATTTTACAGTTACGTTTGCTCTATTTTTAAGATTTTTACACCTAAATGGCCTGATACCTACAATATAAATTGAAACTGTAACATTTACATTACCATTGTTTAAATACTTTAATAAACAATGACATTACTAAATTTTATTACTCGGCAAGCAGATTATAACAAACCTCCAAAAACACTAACTTCAAACGCATTTATGATTTTTAAAGTGCATAACGCTACAATAAAAATATTTGTTTAACCTTAATCATTACACCATTAAAATCTTGAAGCGAGTCAGCTCATCTACTTTCACGGTTGACCTACCTTCCATTTTATCTACAATCATTAGAAATACATAATAAGCAAAACACTAACACAGAGTCAGTAGATACGTATTTTGCTAAATCATTTAATACATAATTATAAAAATACACAAATATGTTCACGGGATAAACTCCTGTAAATTGACCTCTTCAGGAATATAAAAATGATGCCAAACAATTGCTATTTTTAGGAAATATAAAAATACAAAGAAATAATGATTTATTAATATAAGACCATAAAGGGATATTTTAACCATTGAATGAAAGATGTTAATTCACCAGTTAGTCTCTCTTTATCATCGTGTATAATACAAAACTTTGTTTTATAGAGAAGCCATATAAATCATTGTAAAGCTTCTGACGATTCTGAATATAATTTGCAGCCGCGGCCATTTTCATAGAAACAGCATTGTATTATGTTCTGAACGTCATTTTATTTCGTGCTTCGCGTCCCATTTGAAATAAGAATGACAGATGTCATTAGACTGCACAATCCTCTGTTGCCCTTGCGGTTAAAGTGAGCACTTTATCTACCCTTACGGTTAAAGAGCGGCTCACTTGCTCACTTACTTTTATCGATGCGTTGAAATTTTCTCTAAATGTCAGTTGGAAGGCAGCAGCAATTTGGAAAATTGGATAGTGGAACGCCTCATGCAATACGATCAGACCTCTTGTATTGCCAGTAGAATTGTTGAAAATTAATTTCGAAAGATGCAATTGATTCAGGACTAACCCACAGCCTTATGATTTAATTAGTTGGACTTTGAGTTAATCACAGTAATTACCGATGTTCCGCAATGTATAAATTGTTGTTGTAACAAACAAAAGCTTGAATTAATTGTCTTTAACCCTTTTACCTGTAGCTGTTTTGTTCATAATGTTTATTAAGCGACAGACCAAAGCGATGTAAGGGGAATCGATGGTGTCCGTCTGTCCGTGAACACGATAACTGTCAAACGCTTGGACCGATTTGGTTCAAACTTTGCACAGTTGACCAGTATGCCAAATGTAACAAGCCAATTGAAAATGGGTCAAATAGAATGACCCCATAGGGTCACACCGAGGTGCTATGCCGCTTTTTTAGATGCTCTAAGTGTTTATTTCATGTGTTCTAATTGGGTTTGCTACAAGGTAATGAGGAAATAGATGATGGTGATGACAGTTTGGTTCTTAAATACCTAGTTCAACATATTAGTCTATCTATCCAGCATACTTATTTCTTTTTTTTTTCAAAATTATAAATAACAATATAAGATTAATTATTTTTATGTTTAAAATACCTTGGTTTATGTAAAAAAGCCCAATTTTTTTGAGATAAATCGTGTTACACTCTGTATACTAAGTACCTTTTTAAGAATGTTAGGCCACTTTTTCTGGTGTCAATTAAACTTATCTCATAGTTAACATTTAGCAATGGAAACTAACCATTAAATACAAGAAAAGCTGGTCCTTAAATACAATTTGAGACTTAAACAATAACGGTTACCTACACAGTGATACTCTTCAAGGGGTTTATCTAAAGTGCTCAAGTCACTTTTATCTAATCGGACACATGCCATGCAAACATTACGAAATTATTTATTTATTTTATATGAAAGGTGAATATTTTGTTTAGACTCTACAACCAGCAATAGTATTAATTAGATATGTGTAACCACATCCTTGCTCAAAATACACACAAACTTACCTAATTGATAGAAACTCACCTGATTCCGGAATATACTGCTGGCTTTTACTAAATAAAGTATTTGTTTCCCAATGTACGTGGCTCTCGTAAGGTCTGATCACGTAATTTAATTGTTTTGGCACCGGGTCCCCCGTTAAATTATTAAAAATTACCATCATCATGCCGTCCTCATCGGGACCGTGTTTTTCATAATATGAATTTAGAGCAGCTACTGTCGCAAAACCCATCACAGCTGTAAGTTTGCCAGTGTTAGGTACATTTTGATCCCGTAATAATAATAAAATGCATACCTTCATTGGACAACTGAAAGACAATCTGTACATTTTGCATTAAACGAGTCGTAAACACAGTAGTTGGGGCATAGTAAATTTTGTACTTATGATTGAACTTCTCATGGTAGAAGTATTCAGCGGGATGCTGCTCATTGTAAGTGGGTATGTTAACTTGCTCTTTCCCAAGATCCGGTAATTTGGCTCTCATTATAACAACCAGCATAAATAAAGTTACAGGCACAAGGATTTCACATATTGTCAAAAACCAATGAAATTTTCTGATCATGCAGTTCTTCCACAGAACAACAAGCAGTTGTCGGTACAACGGTGACTTTGCCATTACTTCTTCTTCGAAAACTACCTACATTTAATAGCCCTACAAAGAACAACGTAAAATACACACTAACTGTATTGTTTACTAAATACGTACCATTGTCTTGTGTTGAAAGGCGCTTGGCACCAAAGCTGTTCGCTAAAAAATAACACAAAATAATTGGGGCACAGAGGGACACTTTCTCAAATGAAAATACTCTACTAACACAGCAATCGAACGGAGAATATTAAATATACCGAAATGAAATTTGCTTTTCATATATAAGAAATGTTGACGTGACGTCAGTTTGACATTAGCATATTGCAGTGATTCTCAACAGGTTGAGGTTCAGCTCTGTACAACACGACTCCCAAGCAGTTATCGGAATTTTGACTCTTAATTATAATAAATTTATTAATATTAGGCAGAACCAAATTATAAATTGGAATTAGAAAAATTAGTCTATTGAAATTGTAACGTAACTCCCATTAGAATTAATTTATGTTCGCAACCAGGGGTTGGAACCCATATATGAACTAACGGGCGATCAAAAATGAGTTGCTGTCGAGTCGCCTTTGGAAGTTCAAGTCAAGTACGATTTCCCATGTAAACAAAAATTCCAAAGGTGACTCGACAGCAACTCATTTTTGATCGCATAGTACATACTACATAGGTTGCGGTTCCGTACTACTTTAGCTAGTTTACCTACGTCCAAAGAAGAAATAAAAAAACATTTGAATTGTTTATTTGTCGGTTATATAGGTATTTCTTTTTTTATTACCTTGACCACCTCCCAATGCCTACTATACCCAAGTGAGCACCAGCAAAAGGCGAGTCTTGCCTTCAACCACCACTTACCCTTTTACATTCTATGAACCACGTTTACACATCTACTCCAAAATTCACTTACTAATTCCTTTCCTATCTTCTCTATTGTCTTCCTGATATTCTTCTCTCATGACGCTCCGTGGTCTTAGGTTCCCAATTCTGCCCAATATGGCTAGACTTCTTCCCTTTCCAGGATCCACCGGTACAAAGGCCTCGAATTTATCATATTTTTATCTCGATAACAGCTGTAGTCAAATATACGTCCTCTCTGGGAAACTCATTTAGAATCATAGTTAAAACTTTTTAACCGAGCGAATCCCCAGCATCTCCCATCCAAGGCGAAGTTGGCGGAATAAATTCCCAACGTATTCCTTGTACACCAGATCTTCGGGATATTTTTCTGACATCCAAAGCGTCCCATGCACTCTTTAGTTCAGCCGCTAGTTGTCTGAATCAAGAACCTTAGGATATACTCTTCTATTAATAAACCGTTTGGCCGCCATCAAACAACCTTCCGTCGTTTATTACATCCAAAAGTACTGCCCTAGCCGACAAACAAGTAAAAATTATTCCATATCGCTTTTCTCATGTCGTGTCGTCCTACCGTTACCCAGATTGGTTCGTAACAGTCCGTCCCGGTTTCAGAAACTGGTACTCCTATTTCAAATCAACACGTGGATACAGCAGTCCCATCTTTGTTGTGTAGGTCGATACTGCATTCCGTATACATTCACGCTATACCTTCTTCACAAAGTTCCTGCGAGTGCGACAACAAAATTTTTCGGTCTGACGTCAAGTAACGGGCGATCAAAAATGAGTTGCCTTTGGAAGTTCAAGTTAAATACGATTTCCCATGTAAACAAAAGTTCCAAAGGTGACTCGACAGCAACACTCATTTTTGATCGCACAGTATAATTGGGTTCTTTCTCTCATCATTCAAACTACTGAGTTCCAACCGACCTCCGACGAGGGGAATTAGACCGTGTTTCAATTTCTGGTGTTAGATTATAAAGTCTATACTTTTCTCGCCTATTGACTTTCCATTTTTTTTCCATCATTCTGCGAAACTCTCTTCTTGGCTTTGCTGTATCCAGAATCCTTCACATTCATCAATTTCTCCAATTGTCAATTACCTTGTCAAAATGTATTGTCCTCTAGCACGTCTAATAAATCTTTTTACACACGCCGTAACTCTCGCCAATTTAGTCTAATTCGAGTAGGTAATTCTCCCGGTTTATGATATACCTACTAATTCCTAGCTTTTACTAAAATCTTTGCTTCTTTCATCTCCAGTTTTTCAGGATTGATTTTTCGGACGTTCCCCTTTGGCCACTCACCTCCTTCTTCATATAATCCAGCTTGTAATGGACGTTTAATTCAATGGAGCAACCCTCGTTCTTCCTCGCTCGCATCACAGAAGACATGACCGCACCGTACATTTGTGAAGTCTATAGCTATATATGGTAAACGCTCAATTTTGAAGGATCTTTGCCTTTTGTATTTGCCCTTGCATTATAATCCCAGTTTTGTTTTTCATTTTCTGGTCCGTTAATTTTCGCAAGGTAAGCTTTTATTTTTGATGAAAGGGGGGGGGGGATTTTCCGTACCTTTTCCCGTGATTGTTGGGCTTAATCTTAATTGCTTTCCGTTCGCTAGGAAATTTGCCGACTGGGCTTTAATTTTGTTTTAGTTACCGAAGTGATCGCCGCCATTTGATGGATCCGACCGCCAGGTTCCTGGAGAGACTCTGTTTCTCCGATTGAGTTTACCCCAGAGGCTACCGAGGCCGACCCGCCGACCGTTGCTACAGCCGACCTCGGCCAGGCGCGAGATTTTCGCCTGGTAGCGCTAGAGCCCGTCCGTTTAGCCGTTTCCTGCCACCGGCGCCGTTACGTCGTCTCCCGCCGACTACCACCATGGATATTACTTGCCATATAATTTGTATATGTATTGATTCGTTTAAATTAGACACTTATAATTATTCGGTTAATAGTTTTTTTATTTCGAAAGCTCGCCGACCGCGCGCAAGCTGCCCAAATTCGTCACAATACAATTCCTCTTCCAAATAGCCATATGATGACGACTATGTTGCAGCGTCGCCTTCACTCTTGTAATTTTTATAGAAAAACTTGTAGATTGGCAGAATCAATAACGTAGTGGAGAGGAAAGCAGTAGCAGAAGAGAAGCAGCAGCACGATTCAATCCAGCACTCAGCAGGTATCCATCAGCTTTGTGAACCGATCAGTTACTGATCCAAGAGCTTTACCAACGGATCCGAGAGCTTTGCTGTTGGCAAATAGCAATAGCTTTGTCATCAGATCCAAGAGCGTTGTGATAATTTCAATTCTCCATAGCACGCTTTTAGGCATAATCAGGTTCAGAGCACAGGTGGAATCCATTTGACACTGTGTCGTCGAGAAGTGCAAACCTCTAACAATGTTTAAAGCGTGTAATTGGGTAAGGTCCTGCCATTATAGCGACTTTCATCCTGCCTGAGCTAAAGGAAAAACGTGAAATTTACTGCGAAAGAAAAGGATCATTGATGGGAAGTACGTTAAGAAAAGACAGAAAGGGGATAAATCGTATGACTTTGAAACTTGTAGCTACCCAATGATATCAAGAAGATTATGGTTAGAGATAAGAACAAATCTCTAACATCTCTCAAAAATCCTCCCAAAAAGGCTCAGCATGTCCCTCTCTATTTAACCAAGCGATAAGAAATTAAAGAGGTGTTGTGCAGATTATTTAGAGAAGAAATGTGCAAGACTGCGTGATAGAACAGCTTCCTTTTCAATTTTGAACTGTATTACGTAGTAGGGTACAAATATTTATAGGAAGTGCGGGAGGATATGAATAATCCTCTTAATATGCATTGTCGCCACTGTCTCTATAAAGTCACTGTAGTTCCATTAAAAAAATTTTTTTCAGGCTACTCGGGTCACGCGACTTTGAGGATTAAAGACGGTGCCGCGCAAAGGGTCGGCGCGCGCATGCGTACATAATCGAAGTGCCTAACAAACTACCGAAATGAACCTTAGAATTACCGATAAGAAATAACTTGGGATTTTGGGGATAATTGCGTTAGAACCAGTGCTGCCCCTGGGGTCGCTCTCAATATCCCAAAAAGCATCTAACCAAAGTAAAAAATAAGAAATTTAAAAGACTCTGCAAACACAGTAACTGAAACAAGCTGAGTTGATTAGAAGACTCTTACCTATACGGAATCAAAAAAATAATCTACACCCTTGGAACTATACCGTCACAATGGTCAGCTATTTCTATATACAAGTACTTACGGAATTTCAATGTCAAGAGAGAAGAAGGATTTTAGGTCTGAAAAACAATTAATGTATATGACAGACGTAATGATATAAACTTTTCTAGTGCAATAAAGTCAAACAAAGTGCACCTAAACGGTTGATCTATATTTTGTACAGTACATCTATATGTATACTGTATACAGCGAATTTTTCTTTAAATGTATGTAGGTACATATGGGCTACGTATACTTAAAAGATTCACAGATTTCGCAATTCATGTAACCATCGGAGACATTGGAAATGATAACCGTATAACCTATACAGCCATAATATGTAAAACATTAAATAACCCTATTCACCCGAAATCACTTGCCCCACTCGCTCGCAAGCTAGCTCGTGTCGCAAACGTAAACTTTCGAAATAATAAGCGTCGTAACATTGCCTGTAATACTATCATTTCCAATGCTAAACAAAAGCATATCTGACAAACGAGTTTTGTTTTTTTCTCACCTCAAGAATTTAATAATTAAGAATTAAATCGCGAACGTTTCCGAAACCTGCTGCACAACTCTTCTAGAATTATGGAGATCCTTTGTCGACGCTCTTCATTTTAAAATAAGCGCAAAATGAATTAAATACGCGTTTGGCAAAGTTCGTGATGGCGTCAGTGCAAAAAACATTTTGAATTTATTACGTGTATACTTGGTTGCTTATAGCCATCTATTCAATGCATGAACATGCGGTTTTATTGTCATAGCCCATTATGTATACATTTAAAAAAATTCCCTGTATGTATATCTTATCTCTACATTAAGTAATAAGTTTTTAATACAATCACCAATATAAGAAATTTTAATGGTACCTATGAGATGAATGATATCATTATATGCGTCCCTACTTGAATACCATTTTTAATTTTTATTGTTATAACACAGATAAAACACCTCTGTGGTTATAATTAAATAATAATATAGGTACAGGGTGAGTTGTTTTTTCCAGAGCTAAAAAAGTCGCTTAAATGAGCAAATTTATGCAAGATTTTATGATGATTAATTTTCCTTTTTAAAGTTTCTTGCAGCTCTACAAATAGCAAAGTTATGACGAAAAACCGGAAAGTGTGATTTTCAAGAATGCCTGGTGCTCATTCAAAGATATCAAAAAATAATTTTTTCTACAACTGTCAAAAAAACCTGTCATTTTCTGACGGATTTCGAAACGCGAAGTACTAGATTTTTAAACGGTTAATTAATAAGTAAGGTTGCTATTGACAACGTGCGCGAAATCGTCAACAGTGAAAAAAAGTATTTCGCGCACGGGACAAAGTTGAACTTAAACAGCAATTTAATTAACAATCGGTTCAGTTGTAGAAAAAATATTGTATATAACGCTAGCGCGAAGTTATTTCGCGCATTTGACTGATATTTTGACTCGGCTTCGCCTCGTCAAAATACCTTCAGTCTCAATGCGCGAAATTGAACTTCGCGCTCTTGTTATATAAATAACTATTTTATTTCTTATGGACGCGATGTTGGATTTTTATGTTACTAGATAGAGAAAACCAGTTGCCAAATTCTTAACAGTGCAGCTTCCTGGTTTAAACTAGAATTTCGAGAGATTTTTTTCGAAAAACTTACTGTTCTAAGGGAAATAATAGTTTACAATGTATTTCTTGTGCCAGTAATTCCATGACCGTGTTGATGATGACTGTGTGAGACATTAAACGGAATACCTACATAAAATTATTTCAAGCAAGCTATGAAATTATTGCCCTAAGAAATACATTGTAAACTTCTAATCAAAATTCAAGATTCATTTCCAAATCAAATACTAAGTACATACTTCGTATCGCCTGATTTTGTAATTTTCTTCTCAAGTGACATAAAAATCCAATATGGCGTCCATATGAAATAAGACAGATAATGTGATTTACTTGGAACTCACATCTCATAGTTTTGTGTTAGCACCATCAGAAAGCTTTGTGACAATTTTTTTTGATATCTTTGAAATAAACGAACGCCAGGGCATTCTCGAAAATTACATTTTTTGTTTATTTTGTGGGCATAACTTCGCTATTTGTAGAGCTAGAAAAAACCTTGAAGGGGAAAATTAATCAGCATAAAATTCTACTTTGTACTTTGTATCTTTAAAAGTTTATGAGATCCCCATAGTCAAAATGAAAAAAACTCACCCAGTCACTCTGTATAACACATATTCTATTTTATAATTATTATATAACATATCCTTTGTTAAAAAAAATAGTTATAGCGATAGGGTATAAAAGAACTACATCATAATAATAATAAAATAACTTATTTACTTTATGTAAATAAGTTATTTTATTGCATGATGTAGTAAAAAAACACAGGTGCTAACTACAGCAGAGTTCTTAATCACCACAATGACACCACTCCGTATATCAATATTTTTCAAATATACGGACGGACGGGCGCAGCGTCTCATGAAGCACTTTTTATAGAGGTGGCAGCATCGTACCTTCCAGATATTACCCGGGATTATTCTTCAAAAGAGCTAGTAAGTAAGAAGCAACAAGGGAATATCTTGTGCAATTTACATGCATTTTATCTAGCGCGAACCCGCGTGCTCGTCAAGGCTTCAACGAACATTAAATCATTAAATCAAAATACCTCAATCCTTGGTTTCAATCATACTCGTGAATTAAATTAATATTAGAGTCATGATTTAGTTCTCCATAAATCTTTGAAACCCTTCATTTTCCAGCCTCCCTGATCTCATTCACACAATACGATGTAAGCAGATCAAGGATCACAACATGCAATGCTAATAATAGCAATCTTTTGTGTTGTATCGATCGTTTGAGCCTCATTCCAACTGCTTGTAGCCAAACCTTAGGTAGGTACCGGCAAATCATCAGATCTACTATCATTTTTGATTGAGATCAACGACGTCATGAAACATTTTCGTTATTGATGTTTAAGAAAAGGGTCTCCAAAGTTACCTCGCTGATGTCAAAATCTTCAATGAAGTAGTTATCCAAGCGAATTTTCTCAACGATCCGAAATATTTCGCTGAGAGTTTTTCCATTTCGTTGTACCCTATACTTTAATAACGTCTAAAAAAAGGAGACAAGTGTAATGCAGATCATTTATGCAAACTTACCGCATGCTGATCTAATAACTCGTGGTCGGTAAATTCCTTCTCGATCACATCTTTTAGATCGGTCATCCAATTTGGTTCAACGTTGTTGCACAACTGAAGCTTTTTCTTAGTTGATTGCACAACAACAATCTTAATCATCGGGGCTAGTTTAAGGGCGATGATGCAAGAGTCTTTGTATTTACTCTTTAAACTACTTATAGAGCCGTTGAAGATGATTTTTCCCGATTTCAATGTGACAATACTACAACAATACATGAAAGAAAGACAAAATACTTAATCTTGACTAACTTTTCGCACAAAATTTCACACTCGTCCATATTGTGAGTGCTTAAAATTATGGAAGAGTCACTATTTTTCGTCAATATAAGGGCGTCCCATAACTTTCTACGCGAACTCAGATCTACTCCGGCAGTTGGTTCATCTAACAAAATGAAAGGTGGCATGCCAATTAATGCGAGGGCTGTAAACAATTTCCTTTTGCAACCAATACTGTAAGTGTTACAGAGTCGATCGGCATATTTAGTTAAATCAAAAATCTCCAAGAATTTGTCCACTTCTTCTTCCACCGATTCAATGCCACGCAAACCGGCAAAGAGACGCAGAAGTTCTCGCCCACTTGTCAATTCGCTCAGCTCGTCAAACTGGGGACAATAACCGATATTTTGCAAGTACTACAGATTTTAAATTATTTAATGCGACAGGAAATGTACGCCAAACCTCTAGTTTGTTTTCATTGATCGACACGCGTTTCTTGTTGGCGTGTAGAATTATTTCCCCGTTCTCGAGGCGATCTTCTCCTGCTAACAATCGAAAGGTAGTACTCTTTCCAGCCCCATTCACCCCCAGTAATCCAACGCACTGCTTAGGCTGAATCTTGAAATTGATGTCATTCAATACCACTTGTGATCCAATCTTCTTCGATTTAATATCGGCGTTAAGAGATCCATCTGATGCTGCTCAGAAATAAATTGATTCTGATGCTAGTCACAAAATATGCACACTTACGATTAAAAACCTGATTTTCTGATTCTTCTGCTTTATCTTTCTTCTCGTTCCGTTTTAAAATCTTTTTTACTTTCGAATAGCCTTTTGAAAAGGAGTTTGAATGGAAAAGGTACAAAAGCGAGAAATACAAAGCGGAAGATGCCAACATTTCATAAAGGGTAGTTGCAACGGCATTTTCACCGAGTAAGTATGACTGGTACCGGATACAGCCCTGGCTGTCATCGCCATCTGTTACGTAGTTAGAACTAGAGCACTTTCGATGCCGTAAAGACTATACTTACAACAACATGAGTTGTAGTTCGTGGCACAAATGGCTTGTTTGTGCTCGGGTGACCTAACCCTCCAGTTATAATTCCAAACGCTTTGTTTGATTAGCTTCATCATTGTATACTTTAATCCAAATGTTGGGAACAAAACAAAGAAATAATTTATACCGTTGGCGATCGTCTTCAGATCCTCATCTTCCGAAAATTCCATATAAAACACGCCTATAACAATCGTGTTGCTGATTAATAGGCTTGTGATAATAAATAGCCCATATCCAACAAAACCTGATGACCTGTAAATGAAGAGGTACGAGTAGGGAATCGCGCTTACGCCAAACACCGCCAATATTACAAAAAGAGTTCCTGAAATCAGCTTATTAGCGAACAATCGCAGACGTAGTCGTTCTCGTACCCATCTCGGCGTCTCCAAAAATGCTCGACATGGTGAGGTAGGAGTTAAGTGCGTATGTTATACCAATTACGATCCCAATTGATATGAAGTACACTACCACATCCTTTACGTAACACGATAACCAATACACCCATTTTGAAACACCGCACATCTGCTGCAAGTGCATAATCTTGGATGCATACTCCGAGTAAGGACAGAAAATTGATATTCCAACTAGCAATAGGGCGCCTATAAACAATGTTCCATCAGTATTTTAGTAGCAGAGGCATAGTCTTGGAGATAGTTCTTATATATAGTCTTGCTTCTATCCAAAATAGTTTTCAACACCGGAACAGCTAAGGTCGTTTGAGGTAGGTGCAGATTTATGGGCCTCTTTAGCTGGGCGTTTTATTTCAAACAAGTAAACAGGTTTTAAGTTCAAATTACATGCCTGGTGAACCGCCCCCCTGTACCGCCCCGTCATATGATGGTGATCACCGCCCTAAGGCGCATTTTCCATGCATTGATCAGTACCTACTTCCCAAAAGGCAATAGCTATGTGCGCTATGCTTTTCAAAGAAATATATCCATAAATAACAAAGTTGATATTGCGCAGCCTGCGCATGCGCACAGTAATCTTCAAGATTTTTCTTGGCTCAGATGCCAGAGCTATAAGCTACCGAATTAAAAAAGAACGAAATATTGAAAACTGTAGGAGTAGTTAAGGCATCGGACGGACGGACAGGCGGACGGACAAAGAAAGTTACTGCAATAGCGCACCCAACTTCTTTGGAAAACGCGCTAAACAGGAAAGCTTCCAAACTTTCCACACCGGCACAGCGTCTTAAGGAAATGATCACGAATAAACATTGTTACAAAAAGCATGAAATTTTAGCCGACGTTAACTATGAACAAAGTGAGTGGTACGAAATGGGAATTGTAACTACAAAGCCACATTTAATTTAGTGCGGAAAATGTTAGACGGACCACTACAATTCATAGTTAAAAAACTGTATGGTCCGAATTTCATTGTAAAGAAGTTTCAATTACCTAGTGGCAAAAAGATATACCATATCAGCAGCACTTGAATCATGGAGAGATGTTGAACGCGATGCTGGTACGGACTTGTTAAGGGATGATTTCCTACCTTAATTCCATAATCTGGCCCCTTTAATGATTTCAGCACAGCGTTAGTTAGGAGATTGAGCGAAATTGGAGCACCATGAACGGCTTTATTTGAATAAAATGCAGTGGCAGAGTGCTTTCCAATGAAATCATCGAAGGAGACAGCTACCACCATACGTTTTTTATAAAATTCTATGTTATTTATCCCCTGTTGTATGATTTCTATAAAGTTTTTTTAAATGATTTTTGTGAGAATAATGTGCCATACCATCCGATAAGTTTTGAACTGTCTTCGAATATACTACCGAACCGTTTAGCGAATCTTCGTAATAGTGAGCGATTTTTGAAAACATTCCGCTTTGATTTCTTCCAATAAAAACCGCAGAGTCTGAGTAGGTCTGTAGGTTAAGTGGTACAACTTTATCAGATTCTGATGCGTCTTCCGAATTTTCGCTACCACACAAGCAAATAACCATGCACAATATCATTATCACAATCTAAAAAAACACACGTAACTTATTCCGTGAATGTTACTAATTTCAAGCGAGTGCTACAATATCATCAGGTCACCAAGACATTTGCGTCTGAAAAAGGTCAACGTGTTTCATTCCTCTGACACCCCTGAGGAATACCGCAGGCGTCTAGGCGGGCTGCTTAGGGTTTTCTGACCCTCTTCAGCCCGAGAACAGGAATGGGTGATAAGTTAGGGATTGGAACGGAAGGTAGGGGGAGAGTATTGCTCGCTACCGGCTTCGGTGCGTCTGAAACACTTTGAATTTATTTTCTGATTTGTATTTCTAGCATGACCCGATGATGTACTTGCGGAAATCGATTGTGAAAAAGTAATCTTTTAATTATCTACTTTGGATTGTTTGAGTAGCCGATCTTACCTGTATAAACTGTAGTTTTTTTCGCGTAAATTTCAACCATTTAAGAAGTAAGATTTTAAACTGTCTCCAGGTGTTAATTTCTTTCATCTTCTTGAAATGTGTAGCTAAATTTATACATCAAATTAATGGGACAAGCTTATACAATTGATGTTACTTACGCTTTTCATCCGATGAACGCGGTTGGTAATTAAAGCCTAACGTACTGGCCCTGTAAGATTTTAAATTATCAAATCCTCAGTGTAAAATAAATACCCAATACGTTTCGACAGCAAAGCTGCTATCGTTAACGATACATAATTTTATAAAAAACGTTTCGACTTGACTCCCGGTATCTCCGGCTCTAGGTGTTTGTGGGCGAGTAGTCTTAAGTACGGTCCTGACTGTTTAATTACCTTAGGGTCGGTTGCACAAAGACAGTTTAAACCTCGTTTAGATTAACGCAATGGATTGAGACATGTGATTAGCTGAAATTTGACAAACCAATCTTATACCTTAATCCACTTATTAATTCCCAGCGAGGTTTAAACTGCCTTTGTGCATTAGAAGAGTCGTGAAATACGAAATGATTGTCTAAGGGTATAGGAAAATTTCTGTTTACACTGGAAACGCCTCTGTCAGGTTTTCTCGCAACAATTAAGAGTGTGGAATTTTTCTGAATAGATCATGGATAAGGAATCTCGGTCTTGAAACGTGAAAGATTAGAAAAATTATTGTTCTCGGAGGACATTATAAGATATACTTTGCGAGGTTAAGTAGAGAAATTCTTGAGAGCCGGGTCTTTTGTGTGGCATCCCATGTTTTTGGAGCACTCGGGTAGAGATCTCGTGGAACTTTTGCAACCAGAAATGTTCATCGCGGCGTTTTAAGTCTAAATAACAGCAAAATATAAATAATTGCGAGTTTTCAAAAGTACAAAAGTCAAAAGGTTTGAAGTTGTCTTATCACCCCATGAACTTGATGTATTTGTTTTGCCGTTAAAGGCTATCCTAGTGGTATAGGTTTCTTATACGATACTTCTTGGACTTGTTGCTAGAGCGCATGCTTTGAACCTTTCTACATTTAATTTGGTCTTACGCATTTGCTGTACTTCTTCCCCTTCAGTGAAGTTCTGCCGTCGAATTGGTTAGATGCAAATGTTTCACGGATTTGTATTTGCATTTAAACTATACGCAGCATTTTTCTCATTACGTATGTTTGTGTAGGGCTTTTTTTACCTTCACTCTATACTCAACCAGTTTTTCTTTTGGAACACCTTTTACGTTGATTTACCCGGATTTTACTTATATGTCCTAACGTGAATGACTTCGCAATTTTTACCTGGACCCGCCATTTTAGTAAGATTGACAGTGAACGACGCGATGGATGTTTCTACATTACCGATTTAGCAGAATTCACCGCCATTTCATTGAAGCTAAACCTTACACCATACAGTACCTGGACTACTATTAGCCCTACCCTATGCTTCCAATACAAAATGGGTGGTCACGGATAGGGGACACTGTAGTCGTGGGCATGCGAATCTCAGGGTAAACTAAAGTCGGTGAACACCCCCAGGATCACATAAAAAGCTGCACGTAGTACGGAAAGTTTTAAATACTCATTATTTTCTATACTTCCACAAATAAGAATAGGTTGCTTTTTGGCATTTCTAACTATTTCTAGACGATTAATTAATTGACATTTGTTAATTTAAACTTTGATAGTCTCAAATCGTGTATCATAGGACAACTTCGGACAGGCTCGTTCACCCTGAAGCCGTAAGTATACAAAAATCAATAAAATTAATTGAACCCCAACCGGAAATTAACGTAAGCAAATCTTTTTTTTAAAGAAGGACCTGTTTCCAACACTGCTTTTGAAGCAATATTGTTTACAGATGCACAATAGTCGAAATGTTTTTGCTTTATTCGAAAGTACCAATACTTACTTTAAAAATATCTCCTCCATTGTCATTTTAGTCAGCCCAATATTTTCAATATTGTAAAAGTTCTGAGAGTCTTCAAACCATTTTACCGCATCCCTTATTTCGTTGTTTGTCGAACTCGAAACGCAAATAGTAATTTCATCGCGCGCCACAGTTTTAGGCTTATCATTCAAATTGGGATTTTTCTTCACTGCACTGACTAGCCTTTCCACGTCTGAAGACTTTTTTAACTTCACAGCGATGTGAGACCCTGCGCCTTTTAAAGGAGATCATTTTTAAGTCTCACTACTACTACATAAGAACTTACCCAATTTATTTCGCAGGAATATCGGTGTTCCGTAGCTCTTTAGAACGCCGCGGTCCATGATTGCTATGCGATCACCCAAAACTTCGGCCTCTTCCATAGAATGCGTCGTAACAATAATCGTGCGGTAACCTCTCAGACGGATTAAGATGTTCCATATATCTCTGCGACATTCAGGATCAAGACCGGCTGTTGGCTCGTCCAAAATGACAACGTTGTTACTTCCGATAACTGCGACAGAAATGGATAATCTTCTTTGCATTCCTGTCGACAGTTCCGATGGCAAACAATTCTTTTTACTGGATAAGTTCGTGACACCAATCATATGTTCGGCTTCCTCAATAGCGTCATCGGCGGACAACCCTTTTAACTTCAAATTAAGTTAGATATGATTGGCAAGTGAAGAAGAGGAGTGCTTACTATTCCATAAAATTTTAAATGGTGAAGTACGGTAAGAGCGTGAAATTGAAGATTACTTTGAGGGCATATGCTTACAAAATTGTTTGTATTACAGAGATCTTTGATCGATATAGTTCCGCTTGTTAAACTTAAAATTCCTAAAAAAAGATGAGCACTTAGGATAAGTTTTGAAAGTTTGAAGTGTAAAAAAAGTAAAACAAAAACACCAATAAATAAATGACCGAACGCGTTTCAACAGCAAAGCTTTCATCAGAAGACAGTAGTTGTTCACCGATGATGGTAGTTTTGCTGTTGAAACGCGTTCGACCACTTTTATCGTGGTGTTTTTGTTTTAATTATTTTACACTTCAACGGCCACTGCTGTCAGTTTGAAATGTAAACCTGCAATCATAGATAACGTTGTCGTTTTCCCAGCTCCATTTTTTCCCAACAAAACTGTAATTTGTTGCTCATAAATATCCATAGATAAATTGTCAACGGCCTTTTCGCTACCGAAGTGTTTACACAAATTCCTCACCTTTACACTTACGGGCAAATTTATTTCTTCAATATAAGGGCCGAAATTGTTCGGTTTTGGGCCACATTCGTTCTGTTCGATTTTTCGTCTAAACCACTGCCAAAAATAAAATGAGCATCTGCAGTGAGAAATTAAACACTTACCAACAGAGGGAAGTACCACACTTGTGCTTTTCCGTAAATTCCAGGTTTAATTTCGGACATGTATAACGTTATTGTAATATAAACTAAACATTGTACTATAAAACAGACAAAAATGCTTCCCATCGTAAATTCGTTTTTTTGCCAGCTTGGCGACTCGAAGATATTCACCCACTGCACCCCCAACTCTGTTCGGATGCGTATTAATTTGTACTTTGTGTTATATCTATTTATTTACCTCTAGTTTCATAGTCCGAAATAATCTTATAACCGAAAAGCAACCCTGCGTTTGGGAAAATCATAATTATCCGTTGAAAGAAAGACGGGTCGCTGTAAATCCATCTTTGTGGAATGACAAATGTAAGTATCCATGCCAGTATTGCTGTGGTTATCGAATGGATGGCTAAAATATATTCGACATGAATAAGTCTATCGTTTTGCTGTTAAAAATTATTGACAAAGTTCTCAATGTGTATTAGGGCTTCACTGGCTCTGTTTAAGGGAAACCTGGTGGTATCCCGATCAGTAGCGGTCCCAGGATTTAGTAAAGCGAGGGGCCCAAACCAGAACTTTGTCCCAACACGGAAAAAAATAAAAGAAATTTGATGAAAAAATTAACAATGCCCCCCCCCCCGGAACCGCCTCTGATCCCGATGACTCTATTTGTCCCCGGCACAAAGTTGTTTTTCAAACCTGGCAGGTGAAAGCAGTTGTAAAAGATACCACAGTGAAGCATATAGTCAGGGCCGGATTTAGCATGGGGCCCGGGTCCATAGCGGCAAATTTTTACGGGCGGTAAAAAAACAAATTTGGGAAATAATTCTACAGTACTATCGTGGAAAGATAACATAACATTTTAAGAGATTGAAGTTGGAATGTTACGCATACTCTTCCCAACTTAAAAGTAATCATGAAATATGGAATATTTCGACGAAATTATGTGAACTTTGTATAAGATTGTGGAAAATGTAGGGCTTCTCCCGCAATTTTTTGTTGAAAACGCTTAATTAAGGTGCCCTGTAATCATTTTTATCAATTTCATGATCCTACGGGGCTTAATAACGTCACGTAACCGTTAGATTCTCTGAATTCTCTGAAACACGATTCAGTGGTTACATTTACATGTTTCTTTATTGGATTTGATTGTTTAAACTGTAAAATACTTAAACTTGAAACACGTTATTTGAAATGATGTCTTTTATTATTTTGGACAGTTATTTGTTTCTAATTGAAAGTATAGATATTATACCTACTTTGTTTCAATAACATTTTATAAATTTCACAATTTTTTTACTTCTAATCTGAGCAAATTAGGAGAAAGAAAATCGTAAGTAATTTTGGTTGAGGTATATTGCTTTTAATTGGTTGAGAAGGGGGGGGGGGGCAATTTCGAGGGGCCCAGAGGCGCAAAATATATGTAGATCCGGCTCTGTATATAGGGGCAGATAACTAAGATTATGCTTTTCTAAGATTTAATAGGTGTTTACGAAATTTCAGCTGCTTTAACCTGTTCTGCAGGTTTTGTAACAATTAGGTATCTGCGTATAGTACTTTCTATACGTACGGTTAACACGATTAAATTTTCGTAAATCCTTATGATGTTGTACTTACGTTTGTTAAAAAAGGAACTGAGCGCAAAACAAAATGTGATAAGTGCGGCGGAGTACAATGAGAAAAACGTCAATAGCACACTGAAGCTGCAATGTTCTAGAAGTGGGGGGCGAGTATCGCTCTTTAGGTATACTAACATGGCCGTAATTACAACTAACGAAATGAAGTTCCAGCAAAACATATCCAAGAACCAAGTAAACCACATCATACCAGATTTTAGCCCCATTACGCGCATTAACTCCTGAAACATGTTAAATTGTTACATCGGAGAATTCATCACACGTCATTGTTTGTCTCCTTGTTTTAGTCCGGACGACAAACGCGATATTTTTGAAGAATCGTGCACTTTTGTATAGAAGCATGAATTTTTGTATACGACTTACCCATACTCCAACAGTCATTTTAAACATTAGAGCCACTCTGGCTCTCTGCCAGGGGGGGCGTAGGGTGCCCATTTCAAAACTGCCGTTTTAGCAGTGGTATCCATTCGGTAATACCCCTGGCAACTCGCAACCACTAGGGCTAGAACAAAATTAAAACACGGATTTTGTTGAGCACCATCTTAGCTAAAAAAAATGTTATATTGGTATTTACCCTAAATGTATTGAGTGTGGCTTTTTTTTGGGGTCAAAGTTAACCTTGATTGTTTTTCCCACAAAAAGTCGAGAATTTAGGCTTTCTTCACTCAAAAATAAAGGCAAATAAATAAATAAATATATAAATACTGTTTTTATTCATCTTTTTAGATGTATAGTTAAACTTATTAACATACATAAATTAAATTAAATTAATGAAATTGTAATTTTATATTATTTGTTGTGTCCTATTCTTCGTATAGTAAAATCTTACCTATATGTATGTTTCATACAATTAATTAATACTGTACTATAGCTATTATTCACGATCGCATCCACCACACTTGCAACGTGGAGTGCAAGGCAAGTTCAATTTCGTACACTTGCAGGATGTACATACGCTGCGCTTAGAGTCACATTTCACCACTTCCTTATGCAAGCTTCGATCCCTGGGGGCAGGTCCATCCGTTTCATCTGATATAGAATCGAAAGTTTCAATTAATTTATATAATATGCGACCTTAATTATTTTGATGTAATGCAATTTGTCCTCACTTACCTCCCACCTTTAGTTGCTGCGCTTCCACCCGAAATCGCCTGGATCAGGAAGAACAGGGTTTCTTTGAAGGGCATTACCCCAGACATGACCTCCTTGGTAGGCAGCACGGAGCAAATGGAGACGAAGAGCATCCTGTGTAGGGGGAATATTCTCAATTTGCCTACCCTTGTGAACAAATAGGACTCTTCTGCAATCGTTGACAGTTACCTCAGGACTCTGCTCCGTGCTACCTACCAAGGAGGTCATGTCTGGGGTAAAGCCCTCGAGCGAAGCTTGCAAGGAAGTGGTGAAATGTCACTGTAAGCGCAGCGTATGTACTTCCTGCAAGTGTACGAAATCTAACTTGCCTTGCACTCCACGTTGCAAGTGTGGTGGATGCGATCGTGAATAATAGCTATAGTACAGTATTAATTAATTGTATAATTAATTAATTATAATAATTATTATTCTAAAGCTACAATTTTCTTTTCAAACTAGGTACATATAACATTTTACTATACGAAGAATAGGACAAAACAAATAATATAAAATTACAATTTCATTATAATTTAATTTAATTAATTAATGTTAATAAACATAAACATGTTAGTAAACATCTAAAAAAATGAATAAAAACAGTATTTTGAGTGAAGAAAGCCTAGATTTTCGACTTTTTGTGGGAAAAATAATAAAGGTTAACTTTGACCCCAAAAAAGCCACACTCAATACATTTAGGGTAAATATCAATATAACATTTTTTTTAACTAAGTTTGTGCTCAACAAAATCCGTGTTTTAATTTTGTTCTAGCCCTAATGGTTGCGAGTTGGCAGAGGTATTACCGAATGGATACCACTGCTAAAACGGCAGTTTTGAAATGGGCACCCTACGCCCCCCCCTGGCAGAGAGCCAGAGTGGCTCTAATGTTTAAAATGACTGTTGGGGTATAGGTAAGTCGTATACAAAAATTCATGCTTCTATACAAAAGTGCACGATTATTTGCTAATCCTCCGGACTATTTCATTTGGCAATGAAAAACTTGAGATTAAGGTGGCGTTTACATTGCAAAATTAGAAATTGATTCCACAATAACTGCCTCCTCGGTATAAATTTTTGGTTGAAATAGCTTTCATTCAAATATATTAGGTATACTGTTCGGCCGTTATTTAGGAAATAAGTTGTTAAAAAACTCCCATATAAAATACATATCCTTCATTTTTATCACACACTGATAATAATTTGTTATCAAATTTAACTTCATTCACAAGCTTAAACCTTTAGCAACCATCGGTTAACAGACGTTCCTTTTTTTACCTCGAAACAAAGTTATTGAGGAAATTGCAATGCAACTTTTGCACTTTTTGTAAACGCCACCTTAAGATACAAACGCACTGCTACTAATTCGTGACCAGGATAGTACATCCATCCTGTTCGTTTGGAGCAATCTTTTGTAATACCAAATCTTACCTTCATTCCAGTAACTTTGTCCTCCATGACACTACTGATAATCATTGGACAAAGCAAAGTAAAACTGAGCACGGTAATAACAGGCAAGAAGTATATGATCACATTTTTTAATTCCGAATCATTGATGTGCGGTGGATAAGGAAACTCTTCCACGTTGATGGCGATTGGAAGACTTGTGTTCGATACCATTTCAATGTAGGACGATTCCAACGCCATTTGAAATGCAAGAAAACCTCTATTCACATACATCTCTGAACCTGGCGGACGAGAAGCATGCGTTATTGTGCGTCATTCCAACGATGGTACTCACCTTGGTCGGGGACATAACTTTCACCGGAATTGTACAAGATCCCCGTTTGCCAGTTGACACATTTCTCGTATGGTCGAATAGTATAATTGAGACCTCCAGCGTCGAAATTAAGTATTACCGCCAGCACAGCTTCTGAATCGTAATCAATGCCGTTCATCATCTCTTCTTCACTTTCATAACCGTTTATTGCTATACAAATCAAGTGTAAACTCGAGGGTATAAGAAGGGAAAACTTACCTCCAGAGTTAAGGGAAAATTTCAACTGTACTTGATACATTAATTCCGATGCGAAGAACGTAGATGGAGCGTAGTATATTTTGGTTTCGTGGTTAAATTTGTCATTATAAAGTTGTTCGCTGGTGAAATGTGAACCTGAGCTCGCATTTCGAATGTACTTTTTTTCGAATCCGTCAACTTTTGTAACTATAATCGCAGTTGTTGCGAATAGCACCACTGGCAAGACGACTTGGAAAATTGTAAGCATCCAATGATGGATTCTAATGGTAAAGTTCTTGAATAAAACCGCCCTCAATATATTTATGCGACCCATTGCGGTTTTTTTATGCCCAAAAGTAGGAAACGGCGAATTTTGGTCGATAAGTGGAAGATTCACTCGTCGACCAATCACTCTAACAGCTCATCTACAAAAAAAAATGGATTTTAAATACTGATATGTGATTTTTGGTAATATATTAATTACACAGAATATTATTGTGCTTACTCTTTATAGGTACTTGGCTTGTCCTTAAAGTAGGAAATATACCTGCTTACTTACTATCTTTTGCTATTGCACTAACGACTCTACAATAAAAATTGGATTGTAAACATTTTGTAACCATAATGATAACGCAAAGGGATAGGTATGAATGAATCATAATATATAATATAATATAAGGAAATATGTGTCAACACAAACAATGGAAAAAAAATGGGTAATTTGGGATTTTTAAGATAACATCGTAACATTGTATCGCATCAACAGCCGTCTGTTTGAGAGTTGTACGACTGCCGGGACCACCAGCTTTAGGTACATACCCTCCGAAGCATGGTATTCAGATGTTATGTACCACTAAAAACTGGCAAGTTGTGGGATTCGAACTCGCCACCTGTGAGATTCGAGTCCGAGTCTTAAACCGTTAAAAAATGGATATAAATAAAAAAAAGTCTATTGGTCAACGTCAAAAACATCAAGAGATACGATTGTTCGAACCTGGGCTGAGGTAAAAATTTGTCATCTGTGGCAGAGATGGGAATTTCCTTAGATCAGTTTCGAGCGTTCTGCCGGCGCCTCCGGAATAGTGTAGAACGAAGGTATAGAACAACCTTCTGCACGAGCACCTCCAAAAAGCATTATGCGGGTCACCCTGTAATTAGGCGAAAGCCTGTTGAGGGCCCAGAGAGGGACAATACATAAATAAAATAAGAGAGATAATGACATTGAATCAAATTACACAATAGTTATTATTTATTGCTTTAAATCGCTTGATAGAACAAAACGAAAACGAGGAAAACCTGGTGTGAGGAGTTGTATCTCTCATCTGTATCATCACTTGTATTGATAAGCAGGTATTTACTATATTTAACTGTCACTTGTCCCTGGAGCGATAAACAAACTCAATGCAGGCTTATCTTTGTGCCTTTAATTTCCAGTAACGTCACATAAATTAACATACGTTCGTCATGAATTACTATTTACTTTACGTTAAATTCTGTGCCGATCTGTCCAAATATAAATTACCGACAACCCCCAAGTAATGGTTTTACCAATACTTACGCTAAGTGAAGCACAATGTAACGCTACTACCATTGTGTGTGCTGCGTGATTGTGCTCCATTATGAAGTCACTGCTTGTGTCCAAGCTTTGAATATAAAAACACTATTCAGAGTAATTGGTTACAGGGGCCAGCCTATACCTATTTTGTTTGTAATTTATTAGATGTCACGATGCCTAACGACATCGCATTGCATGCACAAATTCTTTGTAAGTTTGCAACAATAGAAAGGTGGAGTGCTGTGATGATTTATAGAGGTTCAATACATGGGTAGCGCATGTATTTGATTTTTATTACGTGTAGCTTGTGCCATTAGATTTTAAGGTACCTATTTGAATTCTGAAACATACAAGGCAGTTGTTACAGGAACGCCAATTGTTGTTTTACTAACGAATAAATATATAAAAACGTTCCGTACTATATTTTTTACTAATAATACGACATAGCTATGATCATAGTGTAAGACACTATGCTATGATTAACAAAAAAAATGATAATTACGGACAATGAAGAGTTCAATACACACTATATCTCGAAATGTCATTAAATTGTGTAAATTTATTTTTACAATCTTATCTATGTCAAGTTATACCTTATACATTAAGATAACAATTATGGGCAACATTCGTTGAACTAGATACTGAACAAAGAGTGAAAGGTAGGTATAGATTTACTTTTTTGAATATTCTAATTTTGTTCCTTACACAATATCACAGATATACGTAAAGACGTATGTACATACCTATATCTGACAATATTTAAGAATAAGTTAAAAACCGACACGTGCATGAATATTTTCATTGTATATTACAGTATCACTATCGTAAAGCTGGGTACTCAAAAAAACTGTAAAACTAATAGAAGGTACTATGTCCGTCAGTGGAAGTTGCGTAATTTTGTTTAATAAATTATAGACATTAACTTTTGTTTTTGTCTAATGCTTTGAAAAACAGAAAGGCACTTCGTATATAGTCATTTGGTAATTTTCTTTGACGCCAGTCAACAAAGTCTAATCTTTATTTTAGTCGACAATTCATCAAAGAAATCTATAGATATATATATGTATGTATCTGTTTCTATTTGAATATAAAATAATAACAAAACTTACATACCATTTTATTGAAAAAACACATATATGTTCGAATGACATCATGATGTAAACTAAAATCCGAATTATCTAAAACTCTCCCATATCAGATAAATATTGTAGGTACTAGCAGGGAGCAGAAAACACTTGAGAACCAATCGAATTACCGCAGAAAATCAAAAAAAGCAGAGGTAGGTATTAAATTATTGTGCCGATATTCACACCATTTTTGAGTCAAGTGGACGACAATGGGACGATGCTGCTAACGAAGAAAATGTGTACTTTCAGCAAGATGGGACTCCGCCACAATTGCGCTTAGGCAGTGCTTCAATCGACGGTATCCTGGTAAATGGTTGAAAGAGGGGGAGGGGGGAATTGTAACACCGTATCTGTGTGCCAGGTACTAGAAAAGTAGGAACAATTTGACCATCTAATAAATATTTATACAATCAACGCAACACAACATTTTGTTTCGTATGTTGCGTTACATTTTTTGCGTGTAATCATAAAAAGATGGACGACGTCATACTTCTATGGCTATTTCTCTAAAAGTCTATATGGTGGATGGAGATGAAGGCCATATAGTTTATAAAGCTTTCCATATTTTTGAATTTCTTTACTGTAGGGGTGTAGATAAATGAGAAATCCAATTTAGCGTTAGGCTTATATCGATTTCGGCCTATGGTCATCATCAGGCTGTGCGTCAAATAGTTAAAGTTAAAGGTAAAATAAGTAGAAACAATAGTGGTAACATTTTTGGCATATCTAATGTTGTCGTAAAAGTCATATATTAATCAATAAGTTAAAATTAAACATTTTTTGAAGATCGAGGCGTGTATAAAGTGTGAAACTAGCTTTAACTATTTGACGCACAGCCTGATGATGGCCATAGGCCGAAATCGATAGCTTTTAGAAAATATAAGCCTAACGCTAAATTGGATTTCTCATTTACCTACACTCCATTGAATTTCACTCAACAATAAAACTCTCAATAAATTCACCCAGAATAAAAACTTTCAATATTTATATGTGACTAATCCTAATTCCCATTCTTAATCTAAATGACGTGTAGGTACTGTTTATAAAAAAACGTCTAAAAGGAAATAAATAAATACATGTATCATTATTCATTGATCAAATATAACTACAAAGTATACTCATATGTAGGTATATACTTACCCATATTAGATTTTGGTATGTTGCGAATTTATTTTTGAAGTTTGGTTTGATTATTGGGTTTTCCCTCCGATTTCTGTCGACACTTTGATTTTTATTTCCGAAAATCGCACCTCCTGTTGATCTTGACCCCACTCTGGAATCCGATCCCGAACTTAACCCTGATAATGAACTAGTTACCGCTGTTTTTGCTACTGACGTCCGGGTCAGCTGGGTTTATAAGCTCCGCAAAGCTGAATTAATTCAGGCTGCTATCGAGGGACCCATGACAATAAGTGGCCTTTTCATTCATTTTTTGTTTCTCTTTTGTTAATCTATCATCCCATTCAACCGTCCTACGCACCGTAAAAAATCAAAACCAGAGACTGATGGAATGTTAGTTTTGGAGGGAATATCGATCCGATTTCCTTCCTGAAGCGACTAGATTTGATAAGTTTCCGTTATAGTATACCGGGTGATCACTTATTACTTCTTGTGTTGTTAGAATACTTACCGGTTTTGGTACCGAAACAATCGCCTCTGTGCTGGCACCTTTGGGTGGATTTCGTCACCGATTTTGACAAAACCATTCCGATTCTTACCGAAACCGATCCAATTCCGTAAACGTGCTGGTCCTGATCCCCTTTAGATTACCCAAACCAATTTACACTCAAAACCGAAGGCATTGGGTTTCTTCGCAGCCCATTCAGAGGCAATCAAATACCCCTAGCCGGAACTATAATAGACTCGCAGTTCCTCCGAATTCTACGCATTCCGCACCGACCGATTATCTTTTATTCTCGCTGTGGTCGACGAGGGGTATTGTCTCGAGGATCTGGGTGTCAGAACCGCCTAACCGTCCCGTGTAATCCGATAATCTTTCTCCCTCGGCTGCTGCGATACAGGTAGTCGTCCCTCGTCCGTTTATTACAGTTCATGGCCAACCGTTTACCGCTTTGATCGACACCGGCGGATAAGCCATTTCATTTATTAACAATCATGTCGCTACTTTAGTTTTCGATACCGTCCGACCGTCGAAACATAAACAAGGCAAGAGCTTTAGCAACCTATCCGTTAATATCCATAGCGCTTGTTATAGCACTGATCACCACTTTGCAAACCCAAATTTCCCACTTAGTCCATCGTGCTCCCGAATTTCGGATATAAAGTAATTCTTGGAATAGATTTTCTTTCCCGAACCGACTTCCATTTCGACATGAGACCCGGCAATTTATTCCTTGACAGTGGTCTTGTTCCCCGAGGTACCCCGTTTCTCAACAGTGCACTCCTTTTTCTGTTATTGCACCGCTAACCGCCGTCGAACAAGCTGAATTGCAAGGATTTTTTCAAACCAAATTACAACCATTCAAAAACCTCAATGGGTGTACTGATACAAAGTATGTCAACAGCAACCCGAAGGGAAAATGTAATTGTACCCCAACCGTTCACTCTGGGACACTGTCACCACTGACACTGTAGGCACACTTCTCCGCTCTTATAAAGAAAACCAATACCTTCTGGTTTTCCAAGACCGTTTCACCAAATGGGTATGTAACAAGAGCCGTCCGTAAAGTCACCGCCGCGCCGCTATAAGGGAGGGGGGACATTAGTCTCGCTTCCTGCATTTGCTTTCCCGTAGAAACCACTACAGAATCCCGATTATTCACTGTTCCCCCTTAGGGAAATTACTGTGCTTCTCCATACGAGTTAACTGGACCGTACCTCGACATGAACTCTGTAAAACGAGACAGTACGGCATTAATGGGCGTGTACTTACATAGTTTACATAAACTATTTAAAACCGACAGATACCGTTTTGTGGGAAAATTAGCCCTCCACAATTTACCTTCTATAAATTCTTTCGTATCTACTTCGGGTTGCCCTGCTTTTATAAATACGCGCGATAGTGATTTTCGTAAGAAAGCACTATAAGACTTCAGTTGAAATTTCCCGTCTCTCTTATTTTGCATTGCATCTGCCACAAACACTAGATTCACTTTGGGTTTGTGCGTGTTTATACGAAAGAGAGAGAGAGTCCATACTCGTACGTCACATTGTTTTACACTGAAAGCTGGAAGTGCAAAATGTGTCTTTATTAAACTAATCTTTGTAGAATATTAACAGAAAAAAACAACAAACGACTAGACATTGCGTCACCACCTCAATGCTTATAGTTTTCCAGAAACAAAATCCCATTGTTGTCTTACGGATAAGTCACTTGAATGTAACCGTGATAAGATTTTAGTATCTATAAAACAATTCTCTAGTAACACACTGACTATCAGACTATCAACGTGATTCGCCTACCTCCAGTCTGTAAGAAAAGTTGAAGATATTCCAAAATAGCTAATATTGGAACAGCTAAATTGATACGCGGATATACAACTCCAACGTCCTCCATTTTAGTGTTAGAAACTGTGATGGCGATCAACTTTCCATTGTCGTTAAAGATTGCACCGCCACTGGAACCTGGAAGCACGGTCGCCGTTGTTTTCACAACGTACTCTTGAACCAGTGATACGCATCCCCTCGTAATCGAAGGCCTCACCATGAGATTTCTCGGAAATAGTGGATAACCGACGGCGTAAATTTGATCGCCTGAAAACATTTGAGAGGTGTTGCGTCGCTTGGGCGATCCGTACTCACCTCTTTGGGCCGCTTCAGTCGATAATACCGAAGAACTGATGTCGAGCTTCTCCAAATCTCTCGGATTCGCTTTCAAAATTGCGAGATCGAACGGTTCAAAATCGGGGGTTCTATGCAGGACTGTCGCCTTAATTTCCAGCGTTCTCCAGTAGACAAACACTTCGGTGTGTGGTTGCTGAAACCGAACACTTTAGTCGATTTTTCTCGTCTAGAGTAGCGCTCACTATGACGTGAGAGTTGGTAATAAAAATTCCTTTCGTCTTATTAAGTAGTATGCCTGTGCCCCACAGACTGCCTGATACTATTTGCACTACGGATTTGGTTAAAGTTGCTAAAACTTAATTTTCTCTTGAGAATCTCGAATTCATTCAGAACAATGGCGAACTTTCTTATGAATAAGGTTTCGCTTACGTTGTAGTTCTTCGTTGGCGAACGTGGGATTCGACTTTAGAACGTTGATGTTTTGATAACAGGGCGGTATCAGTTCTCTTAGTAAAGGCACTAAATTAGCGGCCAATGTCAGTCCAACCCATTCGCCTTTCCACCAATTTAAGCAAGAGATCACGATTGCAAAAATAAATTTTTGCTTCCACCTGAAATCGTTCAATCTCACTAGAAGCCGATGTCTTCGACTTACCTTGTTTTAATGTAAACCGGGCTTCCTTCGCTACCCGGAGTGGAAGAACAATCGGTTAGCAATAGGGAATTCTGTTCGCCAAAGATGTTCGAAACAACACCTTGGCTATACGAATTTAAAAATGCCCGGTTACCAAAAGGCGTACTTTCGATGTACACTTCTTGACCGATCGACAGAAACTGTGGACTTGTGGAGATAATGAGGAGTTCATTTAGCGCTTTGTTTAAATCCTTCTTCTCATCATTACTGGTTTGTTGTTGAACAACTGATGCGGCCTTTAATATAAAAAATAAAGATAAGGTTTCGCGGCGTTGGTTACCGTCACAGTCAACAGCCCAGTCTTTTAAGTACTTCTGACTTGAAACCAAGATATTGTTACAGATGAAGCATGCCACAACACGAGCTGAGCGAACACTTGTCTTGTCGGCGTCCCGCGCTACGATTCGCAACTTGGGTTCGTTAACAGAGGAAAACGGGTAAATGTGCATAATTCCCGGGGCAATGTCATTAAACCATTTGTTAAAGCTGTGTTCTTGTAGATAGGACGTTAATACGTTACTGTTGATTAAAACGTACTGGGAGAATTGTAGCCCGGAATTTGTGTAGATATCGTTGTTGTTGTTACATTCGACAAGTACGCTGTGGAGTTCCATTATCTGTAAATAAGTAAATTAAACTTTTTACAAATGGCTAAGTCAAGCGAAAATGTGTTTTTTTTGCGGTAGAAAGTGTGGCGAGCTTTTGGACATTAGCACGCACTTTCGACAATCCGACCCTTTTGAAATTATCACATTTCATTCCCTTTTTGTACAAAACTGAAAACTTTACCGTATATCGATTTACAGATCTTTACCCCTAATCTGGTATTTGATACGATCAGGTATGTTCGTCATTTACCTGTGCAGTAACGGGAAAAGATAACCCTGCAGTAATACTGCATATCGTAAGAGGCAACTAACGATATCGTCTCGCTTTCCTACAATTGATTTCCCATAGAAACCGCTCCCGAATCCGATTATTTACTGTTCATTATACAGTGTGTCCCAGATCGGGTGGGATTGCATGGGTAACTTTGTTATTATTAAGGATAGAGAATTGGTTAAATGGGCAGTGTTTTGCAGTTTTAGATGCTTATTTAAAATTTCCTTTTGGAAATTCAAAATGTCGCATAGGTTCGTCGTAAATTGAAAAAAACTAAAATTGGTCATTTCCTTGAATGCCTTATATCATCGAAAGTATAAGAGATATAAAAAAAAGTTTTATATAAAAGTTACTGTGTTTGATACGTTTAATTTAGAATTGATGTCAAAAAAAAATTTAAGATGGCTACTTTTGAGAAACATTTACCAACTTCCTAAAGTTAAATGGGGGCCATATGGGATTTTTAGATTACTTGATAGATTTTTTAATTCTCTTTTCAACGAGCTATTATAACATAAGATTGAAAATAAGATACGAGTTATATCAACGGTTTTTGTATTTTAATCAAGTAGTTTGTGACGAATAAAAAAAACAAAACAAAATCTATTCGAGGCAACAAAACAATGAAAATAATTACATTGATGTTTAAAAAAATCAGGGACGCACTCATGAGAGGGGGGGTTTGGGCATTACAACTCCCTCCAAAATTTTATATAAGCATTAGGTCTAGAAAAATTTGATTTTTATAACATCACTTATTGACTTATTATTCATACTTACATACCTACAAATGGTGCTATAACTACAAACTATCCCCTCGAAAAAAGTCATGCCATTATCCAGTTAAAGACATTTCAAGACACTTCGCTATATTTTACACAATGTATTACCATTGATGCATTGTCCCAGGTCACATTTTGTAGGTGGTTTATCCGCAAGAATATCGAAACTAACAGTTTTACCAGTCCGAGTATATGGACAGATGAATCTTATTCTTCTAACTGTGTAAAGTGTTCAAATCGACATTATGAACACTACTCGTCACAGGAAAACCTACATGTTGTAGTTTCACACCAAAATCAAGTAATATTTTTTTAATTAATGTATTTTATGGCATAATGGGAAGTCATGTAATTGGACCGGTAATCTTCAATGGATCTTTAACTGCTCACCACTATTTACAAATCCTCCAATAAACTTCCTTAAAGGATTTTTCTCGACAACGTATGTTTCGAAGGAAGGGTTAGTTTATGCTACCTACCAACAAACTGCCTGCTCAGGTCACAATTCACGAATTATGTACAGTACATTAAATTATAAAAGTAAGTACTTAATTAAAAAATAAAGGTAAAGTGGAAGTAGATACCACTACAATAATAATAATAATCATCAATGGTAACACGTTGCCTAAACTAAACTGTCTTGAAGTCTGTTTCACTAATAATGGCCAGTATTTTAAACATCTGGTGTAAGTATTTTCATTGTTTTGTTGCCTCGAATAGATTTTGTTTTGTTTTTTTTTATTCGTCACAGACTACTTGATTAAAATACAAAAACCGTTAATATAACTGGTATCTTATTTTCAATCTTATGTTATAATAGCTCGTTGAAAAGAGAATTTAAAAATCTATCAAGTAATCTAAAAATCCAATATGGCGCCCATTTAACTTTAAGAAGTTGGTAAATGTTCCTCAAAAGTGTCCATCTTGAATATTTTTTTGACATCAATTCTAAATTAAGCGTATCAAAGACAGTCACTTTTATATAAAACTTTTTTTTATATCTCTTATACTTTCGATGATATAAGACATTCAAGGAAATGACCAATTTTAGTTTTTTTGAATTTACGTCGAACCTATGCGACATTTTGAATTTCCATAATGAAATTTTAAATAAGCATCCAAAACTGCAAAACATTGCCCATTTAACCAATTCTGTATCTTTAATAATAACAAAGTTACCCATGCATCAATCCCACCCGATTTGGGACACACTGTATAGCATTCGCCAGTCGCGCTCTCCCAATGTGATAGAAGCAGACAAAAATATTAATTACATTAATTTCAATTAAGGGTACCTACTCTTGACTTAATTTTTTTCGGCCACCCATTTCCAATGTGTTTGGTTACATATTAAGATTGCTAAAAAAATGTATTTCACTCGGTAAACAGATGGGTGAAGATTGACCTTATGCGGGATCTTAAGACTATTATCATTGACCCAGATAGCACCAAACGTTCGAAAGACGTTCCCTTTAAGTGCAAATAAGGCCCAAACGTTCCGGAACATAAAATGAACGTTCAGTGGGCGTCTTTATTTGCAAATCCCCGGAACGTACAGATCAAACGTCCACAGAACGTTCATAATAGGTACCCACGGCACTAGAGTAATTTTCATATTGCATTGGCATAGATATTGAAAAACCACCAAAACTATTACATTAATTAATTGATATGTTAAATAGGAGCATGTGTTAAGAAATTCGTTGATTAGACTAACAATGCACGTCACTCTTACATTCGCAATATGGCGGGAAACAAAACCGATCGGTGATTGGACCGACTCGGATCGAGCGCGCACATCGCAGTTCGCAGTTTCGCACTTGACAACTTGTGTTGATGATCTAAAAAAGGTGTCGTTAACCTAGCGTTTTTCAGTTTTTCTGGTAATTTGGAATTTTCGTGACCTATGCTGTGACTTTTGGTAAGTAAATCTTGTTTTTGCTCGTCATATTTTTGAGATTTTTTGTTGTGCATACTTATTTTTATCTCAGAGGGGAGAGATGACTTTTTGCTACTTTTTGTATCATATGACATAACCTCAACTTTATAATTGTTGTGTAATAAGTGAGGCGCAGCCTTCAAGTTTTGTTGGAATTATACTAAAAACTGTATCATGTAATACTGCAAATGGTAATGAACTTGAAGTCTGATCCTTTTTCGCAGTTTGTCGCCTGCTGTTGGCTTTATAGTCAGTTGTTTGAAATTTCCCCTTAAAGTTGGTTTACATTTAAATTATCATTACACCCAAAAGCTTAGCGTTCAGCTTGCGCCAAGCAATCTATTTTCCCTGGTTAAGTGATCAAATTGAACTACCTTTGTATAATATTGACTTACCCCACTATATGTTTTTCTAGAAGCTGCAGCGAGCTTATTCCAGAAGACTGAAAAAGAGGTTGAAAATGACATTTCCAAGTGGCTGCGGAAGTGCACAGACCGATCAAAAAAGCAAGAACTTAGAAATTAACATTTATCATTTACTACATATATATACATATGTCATACTCATAAGAATGTTAAAAATAAATTTACACTTTTATTGCAAAGTATTTTTAAAGCACTTAAATAACGTTCCAATGAACGTTCAAAAATGTTCACTGAATGTCTTCAAGACAACCTAACGAACGTTCATGGAACGTTTTCTAAGAACGTTATGTGAACAACCAAATTTGTGCCATTTGGACAATGAAGGAACGTTCCAGGAACGTCCATAGTACATTCACGATATGTCTCCAGAACGTATCAATGCCCACCTGCAAATGTTCTGAGAACGTTCAAAGTACATGCTTGTGCTATCTGGGGAGTGAAGAATCTGAATTATTATTCAATGTTATTATCCTTGAATTATTCAATGCTATATTGTAGTGCACGCACGCAGTGCAAACTCCACAATTTTAGTACAATGAAAATTAGGTACATTAATTTTTTTGGCAGCTCCTCCTTTTGTAATGATGTTGGTATTTCATTGCAGCAGTTTAGTACGGCAGCGTGTTTTGCTGTTTTCATCGGCGAAATTGGTACATAAATGTAAATATATACCTAGTATAGATATAGGTAAGAGAGGAAGAACATTATCTGACCTATCAAAATGACGATGGTCAGCTACAACTTCCGATTTGGCAATCAGGCATTTTAATGCTTTATAGTACCCTTAACACATTGAGCGAGAGGTACAGGCGGGTCAATAATAAGTAGTTCGAAAAAATCAATTTTAACTGTACCCCTCGTGTACCCCAGTAAAAACTAATATCTGAGTATCTTTAGGATGCATCACATGGAGCGAATCTCCAGGTATCATCATAAGTCGCCATGTCCAAATCTTTCAATACACATGTTTTATTCAAAGGTTTAAATATTGTGTAGGTTTCAGTAGATATTAATAGCAGAGTGCGCAAAAACTGTTCCCCAACAAAATTAAAAACAAAAGTTCTAGAAACATGACTGAAATTGCACAAGACTTTAATACGTATGTGTTTACTGCATTTATTTAATCTGATAACAGAATAATAGTGTTTTTGCATGGAAGCAAATAATAAAAAAACTGGCCCATGGGGGGATCGAACCCACGACCTTCGCGTTATTAGCACGACGCTCTAACCAACTGAGCTAATGGGCCTGTTGGATGAGGCTTTTGAGATTTTGAAGATCTCACAATGGATATTCATCAATATTTTTCATTAGCAAGTACAAAATTCACTTACCAAAGAGCAACAAGAATCTTTCGCACTATTTATCACATTAGCAGATAATTCAGAAATGTAATTACAACTTTACCATAATTATACTGTAAAGTTCCTTCAAACTTTTAAAACAGTGAAAGTAGCAAACTAGCGTTACAAAATACAGGAGCGCGCTCGCTGTTTTAATAGTTCTTACTAGATGTCGATAAAATCGTCGACCTTTGCTTTTAAATCATATCTACATAAAAAATAAAGATTCTGATGCAATATACAACACGCTTTTACTACATTGAGGTGATCGTGATAAGAGTGGTATTTGTATTTTATTATTTACAATTTAGAATGTTTCATTTTTTTTTTAAATAATACTTATACGGGGTGGTGACTTGAACGCACGAATTTCAATAGTAATTTTTTCATTTCTGATTATTGACTTCCCTAATTATTTTAGAGATAAAATCTTTTGAGGTTTTTTGTAGAGAAAAAAGTTACCGACAGAATTATGTCTTTTTCGAAGCCTGTATATAGGTAGGTAAGTTTTTGGAACGTCGCGAGAGCATTTTTTAGGCCAAAGGGCATTGTCAAGTAGCGAGAAGTCTCGTAAGGCGTCACGAACCCGGTTTAGTTTCAAGCACAGATATTTGGTGTTTCCATTAAATATTTACATTACATTTGGAAATTTTGAGAACGTTAGTTTTAGGTCTCAGTGCGGTTTATCGTCTATTCTCTTGTCTTTAAATATATAATTTTTTTTTACAAAAACCGCGAACTTAATTGATCCTTGGGTACAATGAAAAGAAATATCGTTGGCGTTCATGGTTTAAAATAGTTTTTTAACTATTTTTTTTGCCGAAAGGGAAAAAAAGTTAATCAATGACCGCCAACAACCGCAATTATTTTCAATCGCTGAATTAAACTAAATAAAAATTTAGAAATATGCGCTATATAAGACTATAAAAATTTAAATATGCCTCAATAACATCATATGACATTGACGTTTTTCAAGATAATCCATAGCTATTTATTGACAATAGATATTGGTTGGTAAAAAATGGCCTGAATGCACGTTTTTGTGTAAATTTAGTATTAAATGCATACTTGTATTGTTTTGAAAATAAAAAAAATGTATATTTAGATGCATATCTTGACATTTTACATTTCTACCTTGCATAAATTCATGCATATTTTAGGCTTAATGATCGGAAACTCAAAGATATAAACGTAATACTTCGTGTAAAAAAGATCTGAGTGTGTTAGAGAGGACCTCTTCATAAAATATCGTTATTATTCAAAAAAAATATGCATATTATAAATCGAAATTTTTCATTTCTAGGAAATTTGTAGGATAGGTGTTCTCGCACCATTAGGGAGTTGTGCGCGGGTGCACCATCCTGTTGAAGCAACAGTTACCAACTTACGCTTCAATTTTTTATATTTTGTTGTGTCAACTCTTTCACTTCTAGTGGTAAAACAAAATTCCGGTATCAACACCCTCCGAGGACGATTGAAACGTACCTTTGTGCGCGCCTTGATTTCAATGGCTTTCTTTCAATGCGTAAAACCTGTTCCCTGAGAAAGATCGCTGCCTTTTGAATCATAACAATTTTCTCCATGTTGCGAGAAATTCATCCTCAATAAAAACACGGGTGGGATAACTTTTTTTGTACTGTAATAATGACCGAGTGTCTTGACTATATACAGTGCGCTTGAGATAAGAGGGTCGCCCCAATATCTCTTTTATTTGGTGAGATACGAACAATTTGTTAAATATAATTACCAATTTTCAAATGCAATGCCTATGCTATTTTACGATATTTGAAAAGAGCAATCAATTTTATGTAACATGCAACAGACATCGTGCATCCTGACTGTACACGGCATGCTAGATTTCATAAATTAGTTGGACTTGATGGGCGTATGATAACTCACAATACTTTGGACATTTGTTTGTCATTTTTTTATATTTCCTGAAGAAAAACTAAAAAGGAAATAAGAAATATGTTGCGGGCACATAATTTTATTATACCCATTACTGCATTATAAAATGATGATAATCGCCGATAAAACTAGCTAATAAACATTATTGGTTGCCTATACAATTACCTACTTGCTTGGCGCAAACCAAATTTTTATTATTAGTCCATTCTAGTGACATAAGGCAGGCAACACACAATGCAGCATTCGCATACGTAACAATTTATGAATATAAAATAAATAACTATTCATTCATATCGTACGCGGGCGTTTCGATTCGGGTATAATTTATTCATATACAAACTTTGGAGTATTAACATATTGTACGCACTATTGTATCCTTGATAGAAGAACAATTAGTGGTTACAACTTTTTTTATTGTAACAAATACAAAGTGGTATTGTATAAATAAAATTAAAACCGACCAACTCCAAAAATTACTATCTTATAGTTTTCGAATTCGATCGAGAAATGCCGCAAAAAGATATAGAAACTTTACTTGCCCAAAAGTGTGAAAATAATTTAGTCATGAAAGGGTTCTGTTATTTTTAGTTGTCTGTTTTATTCTTATTTCCAAAGTAGGGAGAAAGAAAACCACCACCTACACAATGAGTCTGATGATATCGATAATTGGTGATACGATAAAGCCACTTACCATGATACAAATCAAAGTTTGAAATTACTTCATTGTTGTAAAAATGCCGAGTTATTATCGCTATTAGAACCTTTCGTCCCAGCAATCTACCCTGAAGTGGCTCAAAATATCCCGTTCTGTTCATTTTCTGCCACACCTCACCGTCAATGTGCTCGAAAACGTGGAATAATGGCTCCAAAACGGCGAACTAAAACAAAGGTGGTCAGTCCAGCAAATTAATAATAAATACTACTTACCTTCAAAAGTGGAAAAATGCTCGACTGAAATACTCGCCACTATATTTTATAGTTTTTATGTAAGAAATTTCTTAACATTTTTTGTTCTATTTAGATCCAAATGGAGAGGATCCACTGCCTATGCGTCAAAGCAATTTGTGAGCGCCTTCTGTCTGTATGTCTCTGTATTTAACTAACTTCAAGAATAAAGAGAAAAGGTGAATAGAGACCCAAACAATTTTTAAGCACATTGATGTCATATAGAAAGTATCCAAATAAAAAGTATACCAAAGACTAACTTACGGTATCTCTTGATTAACAATAGAGGTAGAAAAACACACAAAATACACTTATAGAGTATTAGTACTACTGTGTAGAAAAATTTCAACCAGATGCATAAAAATCGGGGGGGGGGGGGGGGGGGAAGAAGTCACAAATGGAATTTGTTGTGTTTTTTTAGAGTCCTTAGGGCATAAAAAATTCACCTAACGCGAATAAGTAATCAAAATCAATCTTGCAATTCTTTAAAACACACATAAGTATAATAATAAATACACCTCTAGATAAGTACGGTACCCAATGATTCCCTATGAGCTATTGCATCCTCCTGTTCATCCCCTTCTGCAGGAAATTTATTGCAGCAGTATCTTACTCATCAAAAAATCAATTTACAAAAATGAAAATTTATTTTGCACATTTTATTAAAGAAAGCAGTTTACATACCTAAATGGCAACATCGAATCCTATTTTCCTCACACACTGCATGCGCATGTACTTTTGTTTTATTGGTAAGGCAAAGGTAGGAATTGTCCCAATACGGCAAGCAAACATTAACAAGTTAAAAAAAGTGGTCACTCGCGACCGACGAAAGCGCATTTTGCCCGCACAGAATCAAGAATAACCAACTCGGGAAGGAAGTGACCAATCCACATAAACTTTTGTCGTTCTGGTATCTGGGCTGTACTACACCGTATAAGAAAGAAAAGAAAAAGCTTAAACTGGAGGGCTAGTAGTGGTACAGACGGACAGACGAACAAAGTGCGGACAATAGCGTTCATTTTCCTTTTGGAAAATGCGCTAAACAGTGGCATTATATTTTATATTAGCATTAGTATTATACAGAGTGGCCCAACGAGAAGTAAGTATACAGAGGGCTTTTAGGGTATTAAATTTAGAAATTTTGAAAAATCCTCGAACATGTCAATTTTGTATTCGAGGGGTACACTTTTGGAATACAAATCACGAACCCAAGTCTTCACCCCTCTACGTAGGGAGCTTAACCCCTAAAATTTTAAATGGAATCCTATGGCAAATTGCACATTATTTGAAAGCCAATTTAATCGTGATTACTAATCTGCTTTGATTTTTAAATTCTATTGATTCGTTTCGGAGAACTGACAGGTTCACTTAAGTTTAACAAACAAATTGAAGCGTCAAAATAAAATTTTAATACAAGGTGACTTAGATCGCATTTGTTTTGGTTTTTTTAGAAAAAACCATTTCAAATGCGAATTATCTCCGAAACGAATCAATAGAATTTAACAAGCAAAGCAGATTAGTAATCACGATTAAATTGGCTTTCAAATAATGTGCCATTTGCCTATTTCCTATAGATCTCTTTTCAATGCCAATTTCCTTAACAAATGTAGAGCATAAAATTAGTTAAGATAAGTTCCTACCGCCATTTTGACCGCCATCTTAATTTTTGGCCTACACATTTTTTTATAAGATAGTAATAAATAGTAAATCGTATGTACTAGATAAAAATCATGATAATATCTTTGTCTACAACAAGAAAAAACATTATAGTGAGTTCTAGTCGCCATTTTGGCCGCTATCTTGATTTGGGGCGTTAGCAGCTTGATTTCGAGGTGGTGACAATATAAACAAACCACAAATTCATTGGGGTCCAATTACCCTAAAAACACTTTTCACCAAAATGTCTCAGGATTTGCCGTTAGAAGTTAAAATCTCAAAATTCTCGCCCGGACTATAAACGATTGGGTAAGAATTTCGTTAAAATTGAAAAAAGGTTCATTCAGAAAATACGTCCACGCGTACACGCACGAGCTCGTAGTATCGAAAACAAGTTTGAATTAAATTATTTACAAACTAATTGGCTTCATTATCTTTATAAGGCGGATATGCTTAATTCTATACTAAAATATATCTGTTCAGATTTAGGTAGGCAGATGAATGAATTCTTCAATTAGCTCATGGTAGGTATACCTAAATAAATGCGAATAAATATAACCACCTCTGAAAACGTAAAATTTTGGTTATTAGGGGACGCATTAAATTTTACTTTCCAAATAAACAAGTAAAAGCTCAAGAAAATTATCAAGAATCATGCGGCAATCTATTTA